TATCTCAATTTACCTTTCCACCGAGAACCTCATCGCCAATGATGAGGCATGCTGCCGTGTGGATGGGCTTCGGGTGCGCGGCTGATGTCATCGCGAATAGACCTGAGCGAGGGGCCAGGGACGGGGTCGAAAAGGAGGGACTGGTGGGACGAGATGGACTGAATGGACGTTGGAAGTGTCGCGTCACTAGATTCAGTCGGTTGAACATGAAGATATAGGTGTTGGTAGGAGTAACTTGGGTCTGTTGGTTCAAAGCGCGGAGGAAGTGAAGTGGGGGAACATGGAAACTCCGCCCGCATTTCCATCGTCTGGCCTCACATTCCTACAGCCTTCTCCGTTTTTCAGGACATACCAGTATCATCTTTATTCAGTGCATTATTAGCGCTAGGCTCCACACTTTTGTTTACCTGACTTCTCTGCGTGTCCCACGATTTTCGTCCAAAATGGTGAGATGGCTCCCCGCACGTTGATTGGCATAGGCCATGCGAACTGCTCGCGAGTTTCCCCCATCAAGAGCCGACGGCTGACTTATGGTAGTCTGATTCACGACTATATTCGTTCTCTCCCGAGACCAAGGAGAAGCTGCGCAAGTTCCGCCTGGGCACATCGAGAGCCAAGGATGCGCAAGCTATCATCTGTATGGGCCCCTAAATCTGCGCTTTCCCATGCATTTCGACAGAACGCGGGTTATATAGCACGTACATAGTGCCAACCATAGCCATACCGATATCATTTTTTGCGTCTTAAGCTGACGAGTGACGCATAATAGATATCATTGATGCGAAGACCCAGGAGATCCGGCCGCAAGACGATGAAATCTACTCCAAGATGGAAGATCTGGCCGATGATCTTCCCGAATCCTCACCACGATTCATCCTCCTCAGCTACCCAATGACCACCGTAAGTTGTTATCAATAATGCAGACTTGATCCGTCCTATGACACACACGTTGTACTAATTGAGATATGCACTCACAGAAAGACGGACGTCCCTCCGTCCCTTATGTTCTCCTCTACTGGCTCCCCGAAAACTGCAACCCGATGCAACGCATGTCGTATGCAAACGCAGTGGAGCTGATGCGCACCAGTGCCCAAGTCAACCGGGTGATCGAGGTGGAGGCCGATGAAGATATCATCGACATCAAGTCCAAGCTGACCGGGTCGGATTAAACCGCCTGGGCTAGTGGATGCAATCTCGTGATTGGAGAGCATGTCTGTCGGTGGATTGAGCATATACCCGAGGCGTGGGATTTGTATAGAGGGCGTTTTGTTTTTTGGTTTTGCGGATTGGCTGGATCCTATTGGCTTGTAAATGCCGCCCATGCACACACAGAGACACCCAATGCGGGTGTCGAATGTACTTCTGGAATTCGAAATCTGACATGCACTTGGCTGCCTAGACGAACCTAATTTCCGGGATCTCAAGCTGGCGTCGATCACACAAGAGCATGGTCCCTAGAACGAAATTTGTGATCTATCAACCAGTGATTTTCAACGGTGCAGTTCGTATACCCGAGCTAGTGGTAGATCTCTCACGAGTTGTGTACTCTCAGATAACCTTTTCTTTTTGTTTCTCGGAGAGAGTGGCCAAGGCCCGTCTTTCGAGGATGCCGATACTCACCTGGGTTCGACCGTACGCTTTAGTCAGTTGGCACTGTATCCATGGATGACCTATGATTGAGGACAGCACGCTTGTAACAGTTCTTGGTTATCATTAGCACCCATCATCCACGAATAGCCAGTTCTCGGACCTAGAGGCACGTGCCCTGCATCTCTCCAGCTAAGCCATCGATCGCCCCACGAAGGAACAGCCAGGCTGATCAATGCAACTAGATCTAGTGCTCACCAAGGAATCAACCCAACTATCCAGCACACAAAACTTTCGATCTTACAAGAATTTTGAGATACGATGCTCATCTTGGTAGCTAGCGTATGGCCTCGCCGCTGAAAAAGCTTCCAGGTCCTTTGGTCGATACAATTGGCGGCTTGTTCCTTTTTCTTGCAACGTGTTGGTTGAAGTGGGCATGCAATATATATGGTAGTGGTTGATTGGTCCCTCTGTAAATGTGATCGCCCACTACGAGATCACCTTGCCTCCACCGTTCACTAAATTCTGATTTTCTCGTTTAGTTGCAAGTTGGTCGGTTGGTTCAGGGCATGTGCTACACCGGTTGCATGATTCAGAAGTTCATCGTGGGTTGATAGGTTGTCAAGATGTGGATTACTACACGTGAAAAGTCAAAGCTCCTCACTGTGGGCATTTTATAGGTACAATACGACTAAGTCTTCAATTGGGTCTTCCATTGCATTAACTTCACAATGCACACCATAAAGTGATGATGATATCAGTGCCGTTCACACATTCCAGTACCAATGGGATGGTACATAGGGCCGAAATCCCGACGATGAATTGTGACATCTGGAATGGCGGTGGCAAAGCGGGCGTGTCATCCGTCTGTGGCTTTACCCCGGGGCCATTGCGCCGGGTCGAGTAATACTCGTATTTGGAACAGTAAGATTTAATGTATGTAGTCTATGCAAAGGGAGGCGGCAAGATATCTACACCAATTGGAAGAATACAAGCCTATTTGATGTTATAAAGTATCATCTGCACATATGAAGTGTAGAGTACTATTATTGTGTGGTCATGTAGCAGATGATAGGTTAATATTCAAGATTACAGTGTACTGGATACAGGATACACTACACAACATAAAGCATACATAATGCATAATACAGTATATGTACGAGTTTTCTCGTTCTGTCTATCAAATTGTGCAGGTCTATACTTCCGTGTACATGGGAATGGGACGGGTCATTCATGCTTACTGCATGCAGAAGTCCCGGCGGGATAATCAAGTACAGGGAGTATCGCTGTTCCAGACATGATAAGTGATGATATGGTCTCCCTAAGTATCTACCAGATTGGCAGACTGTATAACGAAAAGATGTGTCAGTATCTTTATCAGTACTCCGTACCTTGTTCCCACCTCCAATACCATTACTTTGTATGGAGTACATACTTTACAGCACCAGGGCTCTGGGACCAGCGATCCGACCACCAACTCCACTTCTCACCCGTCCCACATCTGGAGGGAAATGCATTCCCTTATTTGTTTTGTTTTTTATTTTCCGAAGGGGCGATGAATTTTATAAGACATGAATATTATAGTATATCAAAGTATCTCGGCTTTCCCAGGTCTGGAATACCGTTATAAATGTGCCCGATTTCATTGCAGGGGTTCAAAAGTGACAACGCTAAGGACAGGCTAAATACTTCATAGCCCGATAAAATTCGAGAATGGGATGATCAACAGTTAAGTTACGTCTGCGACTCCCTAGTGCATACCCTCGGCGCGAAGTCACTTTCATTATTCTCCCTACCTTTCTCTCCTGTTTCACTTGATGGATTTCATCACTTGCGGAGTACATCGTAAAAACCATGAACTGCTCGTGTTTATACTTTTGTATTTTGCGCTTTGGGATCCCCGTGTCATGCATCATGCATAGCCTCTTCTAGTCCAATGGTCGGACAGACGCCCGTGTGTCAAAAGTTCTTTCTTTTGCCACCGGTACTAAAAACATTCCGCGTGGGCTTCTGGATTCTGCATGGGCTTCTTCACAATCCCAGTGATCAATAATCCAATCAACACTGTAAAGACCGCTACTGTACTGGTAAGATACCTTATTAATGAAAACAACGAGTTATACCGAGTACATACAAAGTAAGGAAGACATACAGAGTACTTATCTCCAGACCAGTAACAATCCATTTATCTATGTTGTATGTTGTACAAGTCACTGTAGTACACAAAAGGCTGTGAAGAAAAGACCAAACTCTATCCATAAACGAGTTCGGCATATCCACAGCAATTCAAATCCCGGTTTGAATCAGGCCTCCTGATCGACTTCAATAACCTCGAAGAAATTAAAGGGCATGCTCATCCCTCATTGTGCCCCTCAACTATTTCTCCTCCCCGATCCGTTCCCACTGATAGACCAATAAGTTAGCTGTTTCAAGACAGCCGGGATAGCGGGTGCTGCCGTAGAGAGACCTGGAGCCAGATGCCATTCCTTCCCGGTGCCCCCCGGCCCACTCTGGGACTCGAGGCTTCATTGTATGCCACGCCATCGGTCGACCGCCGGGGATGGACCGCTACATATTTTGTAAGTGTACTTCATACATTGTACTTTTGTACTGAGCATGACGAAACACAAACGTTGCCCCATGAAGGTAGTTCAGGACGGGAGGCCAGAGGAACCAATGATATGCCAAGAAACAGGGGGCCCCATGTCTGATGTGCGCCGGGAGCCAGTTAAATGGCATACTATTCTCGGATATGAGTTGTTATGGAGAGAATCTCCTGAAGCCACAGAGAGTTTCGCGGCCAAAGCCTTTTTTTTCCTTTTTGTAAGGTGTCACTGGGTTGGAGGAGAAAGAGTGGGGATGCACATCAGAGACTAAATAGGAGACGTCGGAGTTAGCAGGACTTCTTAATCCAGTCATCCTGTGGTTGGTACTTTATTATCGGTACCTCCTATAATGGTTAGTATGGAGAAAGACTTTCGCCTATGTATTATCCACTATGCCCGGAGAAATAGTACCTTTATAGTGGGAAAAAAAGGAATAAAAATATAAAATAAAAACATTTTAAAGTAAACGAAATAAAATAAAATATTAAAATATTCAATAGCATCCCAAACCATCCGAATCCACAGGACCACAGTATCGGAAATCCCCACGTCTGAGCTTTGGACTTTTTTTTATACAATTGTTATACAATACGGAGTACCTCTTTTGGTATTATAGTGTGATTTCTGATCCGATCCTCTATAATAGTTCGGTTGTCCCTACCCTTCCCTCCTGTCAACTTCTGCACGGAAATCCCACCTCCGGTCCACTTTGATATTCCTCACACTTGACATATTTTGTGTGGAATGAATCCTGACACTCTGGATATCACCCAAGCAATTGCCGTTACATTCTAGTTCGATTGAATAATGGCTCAAGATGACCACCCTGAAGAGAGGCCTGAGGGCTTTTCTAAATACCTTAAGCGTATGAAGACCGTCCTCCGTCCTCGGTCAATGTCCAAACGACAATCTATAACTCCTGCGGTAGTCGCTCCGGCAGAAACTACGTACGATATACAACATTCTTTTACTTCAACAATATATACTAACCAGCATTGCCAAGATATAGCGCGCCAAAGGCAACATCGCCACCAGCAACAGTATCAGCACCAGTGTCGGCCCCAGCTCCAGCCCAAGAGCTGAGCCCAACAGGCCCAGTCATGATCACCAACTACAGTACCACCCAACAGGAAAAGGCGCGCACCCTCTTCGCCAAGTATGGCCTGACTGTCAACACCCTCGACTGGAAGACACCCCCGGACCTCCAGCTAACCCGCGTAACGAAGCCAATCCGCATGCGAGTGCACCGTACCTGCCACCGCTGCGAGACAACCTTCGGCGCCGACAAAGTGTGCATCAACTGCCAGCACACCCGCTGCACAAAGTGTCCCCGATATCCAGCTGCCCGCAACAAGGATGGCGAAGCGTCAACCCGCAAGCTCAAGCTCCCAGAGACCTACGTCCACCAACCCCACCTATTCCCCAGGACCTCGCACCTCAAGCTCAGCACCACCAAGGAAATTTCGCTCAAGATGCCGTCACCCACTGGCGGCCAGGATTTCGTCCGTCGCCCGGTGCGCCAGCGCGTCCACCGCCACTGTCATCTCTGCGCCTCGCCCTTTGCCCTCGGCTCCAAGGAATGCCCAAGTTGCAGCCATGTGCGCTGCAAGATTTGCCCGCGGGACCCGGCTAAACTCGATAAATATCCTGATGGCTATCCAGGGGATGCTCATCCGCCCAAGCCTATACCCGAGCGCACGTTCAAGAAGCCTCGTCGCAGAGTCCATTATGAATGTCATGTCTGCGAGACTGGCTTCCAGGTTAATTCAAATACTTGTTTGAAATGTGGTCAGGTGAAGTGTGCTGAAACTAAACGAATTCCGTACGTGTGATATCAACCCTACAACATATGTGGCTTGAGATTTTTTTGGCTAACGTTCAATTTATTTTCTTTTGCAGGCCTAAAAAGGTCAAACCAGAAATAAGCCCTGAGGTTCTCAAGAGCATGGAAGAGAAGCTAGCAGCCATGGTGCTTGAACACACGCCAAACATTGTTGAGGCGACGGCTTGAGCTTGGAACACACAACATTGTCACAGTCGACCAACACAATCATTTATGATATCCACTGTTTACTCGCACTTATCTTGTCTCTCACGTTGTTCATACTGCCTCAAACACGATTCAACCTGATGATATGCTTTGTTTATTTTTTACACGCCTTGGTTCTACCAAGCAAGACAGTACATACATAACACACACATCAATGCGACGGCATTAACTTCTGCACATTGAAAGGAACCCATTTCTCTGACCGGGTCGACTCTAGCACTCAACACCAGAACTAAACTACACAACGCCTCTTTTTCCCAATTGCCAGGTTACACACCCCTGCACATGCGCCCCTGACATAAATCCTGATGATGTGTACATTCCCATGACGGCCGGGGGCGGACGTGCATATGGTATCCTACCCACTCCGTTATAAACATACGGAGGTATGGCTGGGTGTATACATGTAAGTACGATAGTAGTATTCGCCTTCACGGCTACAGGATATGAAACTCGGTGGCAATTCCAAACAGGAACCTAAATCAGGAATTCCACTTATCCACAAAAATAGACTCTATCGCGCCCACTTTCCGTTTCCTGGAATAGCAGATGGTATTATACAATCTCTTGAATACGGATACTGAAGACACCGGGGACAAAAAGAAGCACATTTAATATGCATTGCATTGGAATGTCTTTTCATGGTAGTACAAATGTACGGAGTACCTTTTTTCATTACCCAAAAAAAGAACAATGCATCGAACCCTTCCACAACCCTAACGGCGTTTACTCCTAACCCACGTAGGCCCCTGTCTAGTGCACATTTATAATGTTCCTACGTCATGCGACAATGTGGGGACATGCATGTGCAATTGCCTCGTCCAAGTACATCGTGTATCATGCCTACTATTTTTGCCTTTTATCTTTTACCTGGCACCCAATTTCCATGATTCCAAATATGTTCCAGGGCCCAATTCCCCGGGCTGACAGTTACCATCAAATTATGTGGGCTGCGCAGCGCCACGGAAGGTGAGCACAAACCGGAACTCTTCCGGGGATGCATTCCAGATAGAAGAATGATTTCGGCCGAAGAGGACATGCATCGTACCACATATGAAACTTAGATACAGTTTCTAAGAGTATTTAGCGTTGGGGAAGTGACTTTGAGAAAGGTGGGTAAGTGGGAAACACAGCCCGTGTGGTTCCGTTTGGACGGTCCGAGCCTTGCTTTTATTTTCATTTATTTGGGTATATATAGATTGGACCTAGTTGAGAATGTTGCATAGATTTGACAGCGGGATAATTACCAAGCATTCGTTACTCCGTTTTCCGTGTCATATTGTACCAAATAGTTTTGGAAGGATTGTCTTTCATGACAAGAGCGGAGCACATCAAAAAGCCAGGAAGTCAGGCAATACACAATACTCCATAGTGGGGCTAATAGGACGGGAATATAGGCCGAGGGTTATTGGCTTGGAGAAATCACCCATAGCCGCCGATATCTCGATTCTGGGGCTTTGAGTTCGGTCAGACTGTTACCTGTTGTAGTATGGATCTGTGTACAAAGTAGTCTGGTGGTGTTGTGGACTTGAAGGTTTGAAGGCAATTGATATTTGCTCGTATTTGGCGCTTTTTTCTTAAGATACGAAGTAGCTTATCATTTGATCCGACTAGTTCTCTGAATGGTCCGGTTCAAGATCTACTTTGTATACAAATATTTTAATTTTCTTTTTTTTTTGCTTTTTCCCGCTTAACAAAAGTACCATAAACCATGTCGCCTATAATATAATTCCGGAGATCCCATCTTAGCTACGGAATACCAATCACGGAGTAGCCGAGTATGTAACCTACTGCAGGGAAATGACTGGACAGGGCATAAACCCGGAAGTCCGGAGACGAAAGGGCTACCCGCTGTCACAGCGCATTATCGCACACAGAACATCCAGATTGTTGGGTCGCGGGCTTTGTCTCAAATCCCGAGGTCTGGACACGGTCTACTTATGTGAGGGTTCGGTCAAAAGTACCTGGAATATGCACGGAGGATAATGCCGGCAAAAAGTCAGGGGGGGGGGAGAAATGTCGCTTCGGAGCAAGAGCGGGCAACCCAGGTTCCAGAACGCCGGGAATTGAGCGGCTAGGGGTAGATACCCCCGAAATGTGCCCTTTTATTTTTATAAAAGAAATTAAATAGTCGCTGGGGGCTGGACACTTGGAATCCATTTCAACGGTCAACTAACCCAATCAAGAAGTTATTTCGGTCTTTTTGTTCTCCATTGCTTTTACTCCATAGTGGGTGGAAATCTGCCAGCTGGCCGAGACCCGTCGGTCAAAAAAATATTGACTCGCTGTCACTAGAAAATAAGAAATAACAGGAGTTCTACTGTGGGCACTACAGTTTGAAGTATGTGAGCCACTGAATCTGACAACGTATGTGAGAACAGGCTGCCATATTGGAGCAAATGTTTTCCGAGTGCTAGCCTTGCTTCAATGGAGCCCATTCGGTGAGATTAGACTCTACTATATCTAGACATTGGCACGTCAATAACCAGCACATTGAATTGCACTAGTATACCATTTTCTAATTCAGGGATAATGTACGGAGTATATGTTGTACCCAGGTAATATGTCCCATTGCACAAGAGGAAACTCCATTCAGGGCATAATCTTTCATTTCCACCCGTGGAAAATGTTGTCGAGACATGAAATATGATAAATACAGAAGCAGGGGACTTTAAGAAGAGTCTAGGTTCTCTCCACCGAATTGAACTGCCTTTACCAAAGTGTCGGGTTGAAGAATCGAAGCTGTCGTATCTTCAGAAGATTCTAACCACCCGTGCGAAGGATGTATTTTCCTTAATCTACTTAAAGTTTGGCTTCAGGGCTTATTTAGAGTAGCCCCTCTTGCTCAGTAGTCCTTTTCTTGAGATTAGTGGATTCGGGTTTCTGCTAGTTTTGCCCCTTGTCGAGGCTATCCTTTATGTTTATGTTGATGTTGATGTTGGTATTTTTTTTTTCTGATCGGCAATATATAAATATTTAAGGAGTATGACTATCCCAATCCCAGGGGTCTGGTATATACAAATAGTCTCAAAAAAAACAATACCCCCGAAAGAATTGGTACCTTCCCGATTTGGAAATTTTGAGAGGGAAGTCATGTGTGTTACGTTGTTCGTATTAGTTGTAGGCTAATCAAATGACAGGACTATTTTACCTATGTCAAAACAGTATATGTGCTCCATACCATGGCTATAGGTCGTATGTAAAGATGGCCCTCCCCTTTGCTGGCGAGGTGCCTACCTACGTTGACACGTCATTTGCAAACGCATAGATTTCAAGTTGCAACCTATTCCAAGTTTCCATATATAGACTAGAATAATATTCAGTCGTATATGTGGCCGTGCGACGTCTTCTCTGTAGTTTTTTTCGGTAGTCTTTTTGTACATCTTTTGTTTAGATATTTCCTTCCTTGTTGGTGTTACAGCTAGAGTGTAGCCTGTAAAACGGCTTAAAACGTGCAAAACGGCATTTCCATGTATAACCCTTGACTTACACTAACCTCAGATCAATGCTAAGCCTTGATCCTCCGGCTTAGTTGCTCTGTCCCTGCAGACTTCTCAAAATCAAGGTCCTTTACACAATCCACCCGACGACCCAAAGCCCGCCGAATAATCCAGTCCTTGCTATTGATTTCCTCGTCACTCTGGCCATCCTCCATCACAGGAATCCGATCAGAACCCTCCAACCGACGCAACATCACACTATCCTCGGGTCGTGCAAAGTACACGAGACTATACCGCGTCGACTCAGCCTGGAGCCCCGGTGGTGCTACAACCCGGTGAATGTTCGACCGAATCAGCCCATTCGTAAACTTGACCATTGCATCCCCGAGATTTATAATAGCATGACCAGGAAGTGGTCTGACATAGACCCATTCGGCATCAGCACCCGGCGGTAGCACTTGCAGTCCCCCCAGTCGGTTGAAAAGAACCGTCACGCTTCCAAAGTCAGTGTGCTGGCCCAGCGCGGTACGTCTGTCGTCTACTGGCTGTGGTGGGGCTTTGATGAACCGCACCTGGTCACCACTTACAGCTTCTTGTCGGTGAAGATTGGAAAGTGTGTCTTTTGGTAGGGCGAGTTGATCGTTCAGGATGTCAAGAATTAGGGTTACGATTGCATGTGACCCTTGTATGAATGATCCCAGTCGGGTTCTGCTTTTATGCAGGGTCTCTGGTGCTGGTAGAGAATCACTGATGCCCATAATATCGTCTTTGGAAACCTATAGATAGAGGTGTCAGCTACTGTGAAGGTCCACGTAGATGTCTTGGGTGTTGACGCACATTATAGAACTCATTCCGGTCTAGATTCCCCTGCTTGTCAACCACTGCAGCTCCCTGCCCTTTGTATCCAAAGTATGAATTTTGTCCACTGAAATCATACTGTTTTTTCTCCTCGAGGCTCAGCTCAAACAGTCTCTCGCCGACTTGGAACAGATCATCTGCATCGCTGAGGAGTGATGAGCCTTGCTCTGAGTCTGATAGATCGAGATAGAAGAACCCTATGTCTGTAGATGCTTGGAATAGTCTTTTATGCTCTACAGGGTCACCTGCTAGCAGCCTATTCGACGACAGTCGAAGAAGGGGTGCTGTAGTGACGTCGTCTGGGAAGGGTGGGATACCTGGGAAGTTGTTGGGGATGTCCTTCTGATCGGTCTGGGACTGCATGTCGGTATGAGCAAAATTGGAGGATGTAATAGTAGATAATTACTATCGAAAAATCTACTTGCAGATGTTTTGTCACACTTTGAATGTATGGAAAGGTGTCGGTCCTGCAATATATATATTTCAAAAATGATATATGCGGGGAAGCATAGAGGAGCCGAGGGACGATCTAAGCCTATTTACTGAGAAAGTGTAATATCCGAGGATAGATCTAAATGTAGAAAATAGAAATCAGATTTGGATCATGTTCGAATGTAAATAAAGTAGTTATACCTTTGATCTATAGATGCCCAGCATATCTCTTATCGGGTGACATCAAATAATTTTTCTCCAACCTCCAACAACCACATTTCACGACCCCCAACTCTTGACTCCCAGTCAACCATCCCCTGGCCCTGACAAAAAAAGCCTGTATAAAAGCCACACCGATATCCAACACAACGCAAAATGGCATCCTCGCCAGCCCCAAAAACCCACATCGCGCACACCCTTCTCTCACGCGCTCACTCCCCAGACAGCGCAACACAACAATTCACCGAGCGCGTCAAACAAAAACCACTCTTTCTCCGTGCAACTTCCCCCTCAGCATCCGACAACCGCTCCCGGCGCCGCCTCCACCGCCTACGCAAGAAAGAATACTTCCTCCGACACCAGAAGCCACAACCGCTGTCAGCGCGGGAGAAGCGTAAGACAGGGCTGTACGACCTACCCAAGGAAGAATGCAAGTACGCTCTTTTTAAGGGTTTGCATGAGCTATGGGTCGGGTACATGCAGGAGATCCTAGATGTGAAGGCCGGATCACATGGCCATGTTTCGCCCGCGTCGCATGGAAGTAAGCTTGTCAGTGCGGATTACCATGGGGCTGAGGTCGAGGTTGTTAGGAGTGGGTGTGCTGGGAGGGTTGGTTCTAAGGGGATTGTGGTGCGGGATACGAAGTTCACGTTCATTATTGTTACTGAGAAGGACGAGATGAAGAGTGAGTCTTTGACTTGTGGAGTAGGAGGTGCGATACTGGGATTGTGCTGACTTCGTTCTGTTTGTACAGCTATACCGAAGGAGCACACTATCTTCCGGTTCACGGTGCCTGTGCCGGCGCCATCTGAGGGCGTGCAGGATCAACAGACTCAGTCTGATGCAGAAGCTCCTAAGCCATTGGTTTTCGAGCTGCATGGGAATCAGTTCGAGAATCGGCCTGTGGACAGAGCCAATAAGAAGTTTAAGTGGAGGAACATCGATTACATCTGAGAGAGTGGTCATTCTGTTCGGTTCTTGTCAATCTACTACCGGTGGAATTGACTGCTCAATCGTGAAGCGGCCTTGAGCGTTGCAAGTGCACTCCTGCCATGAAAGCTGACACCTGTGCTCCGGACTGCTAAGTCTCTACGATACAAATTTTATGTCCCTGCCTTGCGGAAGCATGACGGTGTTCTATGAAGCTACTTAGACTTGTTCTTGCTCCATCAAGCCCAGTGGATAATACCACATTGTGATACCACGGTGCACAATTTGGCACCCCGGCGTGGGAAGGCACGCCATGACCAAGAAAAGAGTGTTGAACAGAAAGTTTCCGCTCGAATACCCTATCAAGTCGCCAGAGAGGACAGTCAATTGGAATAACGATGTTTATGAAGAAATTTTACCCAGTCGTCTAGAGATGTCTAATGAGTGAAACAGGTCATTTATAGCTACGACATGATACTACAAATTTACTAGGACAATTAGTGTAAGGTGTAAATGTTTGTTCGACAATAAGTCTTCTGCGAATTGTATCATGGTCATATGATACGCGATTTCGAGCCAGGCAATGCATGGATAGACCAGAGACATGACGATCTTTTTTAGCCACATGCTGTTTGCCCTTGCAAGCCCCCGACCTGAGTCGCTAGAGGGCGAAGTCATGGTAAACTACCTTTGGGGGAAGCATCATCTGTATCTTTTTGATCAAGGATGATCCAAATCACCAGTGATGGATTTCTTCCCTAGGTTCAACGAGACCAGGCACAGTAACAAATCGTGCATCTGGTTCGGGGAACCTGAAGGCAGGCAAGGACGACCCGGGGTAGCGTGGTGCATGATCCATGAAATGGATCCTTGCAGGGGTGAATCAAAGCCATAGGCCTGATAGATGGGAAATCAAAACAAATGAAGGGCATGAAACCCTTCATGTCATTCTCCCCTCACATTCCAGCCCATTCAAGACTGAAAGCCTGCACGGTATCCACGCGATCGGCCTCCGAATCGACCTCATCGATTCCCTTCTGTGCTCCACCGACCAAGAAACCTTTCTTCACACCAGTTCCCAGTCTGCCGCCGACAACGAGGTCCATCAGGTCGATATTCTGGTCCCAGTCGTAGGACACCACGAGGAAGTGCGAGTGGAAGCGCAGTGGATCACCCGGGTAGGCCATGTACTGACAACCAAAGCGCAGGCCGGGAGAGAGGAAGTATCCTTTGGAGTGGAGGTGGGCGAAGAGAGGATAGGAGGGTGGCACTTCGGGTGCTGAGAGGTAGCTCGAGGGCGAAGGTGTGGGGAGAGGCGGGTAGGATGTTGCGGGAGTAATGGCGATTGCGCCCTGAGGGGCTGTGCTTGTCGAGGCGGGGGATGGAGACGATGAGCGCTCCTCTGCGTTGAAGAGGTCAACGATGGCAGCGTTCTTCGGCGACGGGGTGGAAGTGGCTTCCTCGGGAGCCGTAGGTGCCTGGGCGGCAGCGGCAGCGGCAGCACTGGCTTTGGCCTTCGCATTTGCTTTCTTTTCTTCTAATTTCTTCAAGGTCTGTTCCCGGTTGCGCTCTTTGCGATCCAACTGGATGCGCGAAACATGCAGACCTTGGGATTCGAGGTCACGGAGGTACCGTCTGCGATCTTCTTCTAAGAGGGTATTCATGCCGTCGTGTGCCTTGGCTTCGTCTACGATGCAAGCTACACCCTTATCCACTAACAGCCGTGCCTCCTCGGGCATCAGCTGCAGAGGGAGACCCAGGAAGACATTCTGCTGAGGGATCTGAGGCAGCGTCCCAATGAGCACACCGCAGATGTGATGCTCACGTCGCAGGTATGTCACGGCGTCAATTGAGAACAAAAGGTATCTACCGGATACATAGGAGATCGGAATGGGAAGGTCTGGTTGGAAGTCCATTTTTTCTTTTTTGATTTGAGATTTGTGGGATTTTTCAAAGATTCTGTGGCAAGGACAGTTAGCGCTTGTCCAATATGCAAAGATGCAGTTTTCCAGCAAGGTAAATTTGGGGATCGCGATTCATTTTCCAGTACGTTTCTCAGCAAGCACTCAGTGACGTATCAAAGAGCTTCAGGGGATTGACAGATTGTAGTTAAATAATCATGCGAGGTGGGGTTTGATGGGTAGGTTTGAGGATGAAGCTTACCATTAAAGCAATATTAGAGTGTCGATAACATTATTCAACACCCAGAATTGCGTTTGGATTTGACCAGCAAAGCCAGGGTTGATTGCAGAGAGAAGAGAAGAAGAGAGGAGCAAAAAAAAAAAGAAGAAAAGGAAAAGCTGAGCTTATGCGCTAGCCTACTTTGGGAATAGTCATCTTGGCAAGCGAACTGCTGAGCATCGCTGTTGTGTTTATCATCATCTTCATTGGCATTCGTTGAGTGTTCTATATTTCTTCTTTTATACTGAAGTATCATGGGTTTCCTACTCTTGCTGTTCCTGGTATTCTTTGCACCTTTGATACTCTTTGTTGGTCAGTATTCCGCAGCATCCTTGCATAGTCCCGACCGCATTACTAACATCGAACAGCATGGCTTGTAGCTTCATCCTGCCTGGGGAATCGCCTCCGTTCCATACGACCGGGATTGGACGGATTTGGAGCAAGCTACCTCCGCACAATGGCCAATTCAGGTCCTGCTATGTCTGAGCAGATCGAGATGGACGATATGCTAGCAGAACCAGGGACCCACCGACACTTCGAGGAGGACGATTGAGTCTAGGGAATCACACCAATCATCAAGCGTCTCAGAATTCAAGATCTGATTTCTTGGGCATTCCGCCAGGAGCCGATGCATCTTGCGCTTCTGTGTCTCCTTCGGCCGGTGGCAGACTGAAAGGTTTAATCTCGAATCGCCGGCGGCTCAGAACAAACGCCCAATCCTGTCCAACATTTTGATCGCTTCCACCCCCGCGCTCATGCAATACTGGAAGCCGATGCGTCTTAAGCATACCCTGTGGGGGTTCTTCTTGTGAGGTCGCCGCTCCCGAGGTAGCCATGGCATCCGCAGAGTGCGGGAAGGGACAGAGCTCAATCACGCCGTCACTGAGTAGTTCGATCCAGCGAACCAGTCCAGATGAGCGAGGATAGAGAGACAGAGGCATGGTAATCATTGCGGTCACTCGGGCGCTGTGCGCACTCATCAGCGCCTTGAGGGCGTGGAAGAACTGGAGCACATGTTCGGGTTGGGAAGCGTTCGGCGGGTAAATTGTCGGGTTGAGCAGAGAAGGAATGACGATACGGTGGATTGTATTGGCGGCGCTGGATGTGATTGCGGTCTGGAGTCGTTTAAGGATAGCGAGGAATGGTGAATCTTTTGAGGGCATAAGTGGGATGAAGGTCATGTTTGTGATAGATGGATGTGTGAGACGTTTCGTGAGATCGAAGGCATGACAGAAAGCAGGCGCTTCTTTCGCTGCTGCATCCTGTTCGCCAGGATTAGTTGGGGCTATATTGATCAGCATATTGAAGATAGAAGCGGTTTTTTTGTTTCAATACTCACCACCCCGCGAACCAGCGACTGCCCCAAACTCGCCCAATCGCTCGTATCGCCATGCAATTTTCATGCGATCATCTTTGCGCCTGTCGGATCTTTTATCGTCGAGGGACTCCGCCGAGCCGATCAGACCAGGCAAACTTCGGCCCCATTGCTCTGGTACTCCAACCACATGAACCTTTTGCTCTTGGATTACGCCCTCCGCTGCATAGTAACGCAGCAATGCGCCCGCAAAATCCGTAGTTCCATTTTCTTCAACCAACAGAAGTTTTCCCATTGGAAGCCCAGCATGGCCTGCAAGAAGATTATCTAGAGAGCGAGTCCCTGTCGAGGTTGTTGGTCGTCCATCATCGGGGGAGGGGCGAATGCCCGGCGTGCTTTCTGGCGCAGCGGGCTGTGCGGTAGCATTGGGAACAGCGTTGCGGTCAACTCCAGGAGAAAGACCGATGTTTCGCTTGCGAAAGGACATGGCGGAGAAGTTCAAATCAAGTAAAAATATGTAGCAAAGCTATAATAAGGAGCTGATGTCAACCCAACGAAATCGTTATCGGCGGGACCAAAAAGGCGGCAGAAAAAAAAGCTTCAATTCTCCGATCAACCTCTCCACCTCCGACTCCAACTCTTCTCTTCACCACTCTTGCACCACCAACTAGCCATTGCGAGCCTCTAAACCTACAATAACTTGTGTGCGATCATCTGCGCACAATCCGCCCTACAAAAATACCCATCTATAGACCGAAAAACCAGCGGTCGCAACCTTCATCATGTCCGACCCGCTCCTCTTCGAAGATACCTTCACGATCACCTCGATCAACGCCCAGAAGTATGACCGCGTCTCCCGTCTGACCTGCAACTCGAACGATGCCTCTGTCACTTTCACTCTGGATGTGAACACTGAGCTGTACCCATGCGCGGTCGGCGAGTCGCTGTCCCTCGCTCTGGCCTCGACTCTCTCTCTTGACGGGAAGGAGGATACCCGCGCCAGCTGGAGGGAGGTCAGCATGGGTGATCAGACCCTGGCGGATGATTACGATTATGTTTGCCACGGCAAGGTGTACCGCTTTGAAGAGGGTGCCACTAAGGATACCATGTGAGTTTCGGTATTGATGTGTTGGTTCTTGCGGAAACTAACGTTTGCATTTTCAGGGCTGTCTTTGTCTCCTTTGGAGGTCTGCTGCTCTACCTGGAGGGTCCCTACAAGAAGCTTGCTCCTTTGAGAATCGATCACGTGTACTTGCTGCTTAAGAAATAGGCTCGCAATTGTTGGAACTCTCTTTTTTTTGCTTACGACCTTGGCATAGGATGAGATGGATCTTGGATTGATCTTGAGGCAAAGCCCAAATGGGGGAAAAGTCGGTGTATTTAAGCCGGACCGATGTTCATATCGTTCTTATGGGGTGCAGCGCAGGCGTTCTTTGCATTTTGATTTGGGAATACCAATAGATTATCATAACAAAAATGATTTTCATGGGATCGATGAGATGAACCTTGACCTTTCGACAACCAAACTATGTTTCGGGGCGGATAGAGCTGTAATTGCTGATGGCAATTGCACAGTGTGCCTCGATCGCTTCCTGGCCGTGCCTTCAAGACATAAGAACCTCAACCGATCTGACTCTAGCAGCTCATTTCAATTCTTGTTCGCACTTATAGTAGATGATATCGTATGTGTCATCGTGCCTCAATCATCATTTGCTGCTATATGGGGTTTACAAGTCTTACAAAGACTGCCTTATTCCGCAAATGGGAAATGAACCCGCCTGGATACAGAGCTAAACCCATGTCAAGTTGATACATCTTATGTTCATGATATCTAACGTATGTCTCAGGTTACAAAAGCATAATCTACCTCGCGCAATGCGAAGCAGTCGGGTACTCCAAGCGACGATGCAATCTAGCAACAATCTGCAAATAATCCGGCTCATTCTCTGGCGTCAGCACTCCATGCCTCACAAAGAAATCAATCATGATATTAGCACAATTGGGCTTGAACTCGCCGCGCGCCAAAGCCGCCCGCACCTCGGGAATCGACAGCAACTTGAATTCCTCGACCTCATTATCCCCAGGCTTCGGAATAGTCTCAGCATCAAGCTTGAGATCGTATATATACTCAACCTCAGGTTGAATAAGGCCTGTCTCGCCGCCCGCACGCACATCACGCACATGCGAGTACGTAACACAGCCCGCAGAGACGGTCGCAGCGCGCACCGCCGCCTCAGGCAATGACGCCTCTTCCATAGCTTCGCGGACGATACATTCGAACGGCGTTTCGCCAGTACACATGCCGCCGGCGACGGTGTTATCAAGGAGGCTTGGGTAGGTCTGCTTGTTTTTTGCGCGGCGTGGGACCCAGATCTTGAGTCCGGATTCACCTTCCACGTAGCCTGTTAGATGGGCGCCGTAGGAAACGATGCCGAAGAGCGGGGTTGCGGCGCGCTCCATCTCGAGTAGGAATTCTCCCCCCGGGCCGTAAACTGCGTAGTTCTCGTTGCGCCAGCCTTTCAGCACTTCGAATTTGTCTTGCTTCACGGCTTCGGCTATGTCTGCTGCGACGAGCTCGCTCCGGTGTGTGGGGGTGGCTCCTGCGGGTGCCACTAGCGTCACGGTCTGCGCGGTCGAGTCGATGGCCCAGCTTTTCTCGGACCAGGGGAACTTCTCGACAACTGCATTGAGGATGTAGCCGAGTGTGCAATCGTATCCAGATACTTTGAATGCATGGTAGTTGTTCAGATTCTCCGTGTATGCGACGCGATCATCCTCGTAGTAGGGGAAGCTGCGGGGTGTGAGACGAAACCACGAGTGGAGGGAGCAATCGAGTTGGGACAGCTTTACTTATCGCATTCGCCGACCAGGTCTAGATTGGATTTGCCCATAATGAATTCACTGCTGAATACAGAAGCTGATCCCAATTGTGAAGTAGAAGTCGGAAGTTGATACCAATCCTTTGTTTAGCCAGGCCAAACCCTTATCGGCCACCGATAAGGGCAGCCCCTCCTATGTCATTTCATCATCGAAAAACAGGACAAAGAGAAGCTTGAAGAAGCTTAAAGAACTGAAAAAAGATCTTGATCGCAGCTCACCTTGCCAAATTCCGCTTCACCAGCTTCTCAAGCTGCCTCCAGCTCCTTCAGCTCCTCCAACTCCTACCACCACACACACCATGTTCTCCGTCGTGGTTCCAGGCCGTCCGTGTCTTACAGACATCGTCGCAGTAGACAGCCAACTGAATGGCCAAGCAACCAAATTCGCCTTCACAATCCCAGTCACCCCATCCCTCAGCGAAATAGTCGTGTTCTTCCTACCAGGAACAACCCTCCCACCTAACACCGGCGCCGCAATCTACGCCCAACTCCCAGATCCGAACACCGGCCAACCCTCCGACTTCCGCTTTATTGGCGCATTGGCAAATGAAAAGCCTTCAGGTATCTTTACTGTGCGTCCACCGGGCAGTACAGTGCACCGCTCAGAAGCCGAGGAAGAAGACGACATGCTCGACGATGCCGGCGCCAACAGCGCTGGTGCAACGGGCGTCATGACACTGGGAATTTCAATTGAAGAAGCGCAAAATATCGCACCGCAGCTTGCTGCGTTGGAAGCGGAGCGCCCCTCGGGTCCGATGTCTATGGCGCTGGTTCCACAGGCTGTCGGACAGAGGCAGGTTTCGACGAAGGTGCTGGCGCAGCGCATTATTGGCAACGCGTTTAATTACCTCGCTAGCTTTGCAGAGAACAATAAGGGACAGGATTTTGTGCCGCTGAAGAGCTTCCATAATTGGTGGGCGAAGTTTGAGCGTCGCATTGAGGCTGATCCCGCGTTTCTGGAGCGTGAGGATCCTAATGCGAATTAAGTCATGATCCTTGAAATCTATGCTTTATTGTACTTGAGCATTGGGTTGGCTGATCTTTAATTGATTAGCTGGTGCTTCTTTTCGGATTGCATTTATTCTCGACTCGCTCTCGGCGGGTGTGCAGAAATGAGTACATGACATCTCTTGCATGTATTAGTTAACGAGTCTCTTTCTTGATGTGTGACGATATTCTGCTTTTTCTGTGACCCACTGGAGTTGATCTCATGTATTAACAAGAACTATTCTGGCTTTTTATTGATAATAAGACTTTTGAAGAAGCTGAAAATGTACTACCACCTCCACATAAAATATAAAACATGCATGCTTGTATTGATATCATCTATGTACTTGTCAGAAAAAGGTATATATACAATCCTGGGCCATTTCTGGTCTTTCACACGTAAAGTAAAAAGAAACATGAACATAACAAATCACATAAAACGCCAGTCCCAATTCCTCGATAGATTCCACCTCGCGCCAGCCATAACACGCAAAAGGAAAAGCAAAGCAAAAAAGCCAAAAGAAGTAATCAGCACGCAGTCGATCCACGCGAAATATTCGGCAATGACGCATCAGGTCTTGAGCGGATACCTGGCGCGTAGCAAAGACTATACAACTCATCAACATAAGTCGTAGGTGTAACCTCAGCCCCACCGACAACAACCGCCTTCGAGTCCCGAATACCGAGATTACTCTGATTCGACTTCTCATGAAGGTGGGTGAAATCAACGCGAACCTCCTTTCGAACCGTGATATCTCTCAACGCAGTCGCAGTATGATCCACAATCGACTCCTGGGAGTGTCGTGAGCCGGACCCGGAGTTCAAAGTCGGCGAGCTCTTGCGCGACGGCCACAGGCGCAGGATGGTCATTTTAGCCGAGGAAATGAGATCATTCTCACTAGCGGTCGAGCCCGAGCGCACATCTGTGCAGAAGAGTTCTTGGCCCAGTTCGCGGGCGAAATCATCGCGGTCGGTGAGGGCTTCGTTTACTTGTTGCTGGACGCGGAAGAGGCGGAAGGGTGTGAAGGTGTAGTCGTCATTGGAGACTTGGGTGTCGAGTGTGCCGACGACACAGAAGGTTAGTAGGGTGCAGGTGTTTTGCACGGTGGTTTCGGGGTTGGAGGGTCTGCTACGGCAGGGGGCTGTTAATGGGCGAGAGGAGAGTTGCGCTGCTGCACGCAGATCTTCTGGGATGGTGTTCGAGAGGGACATGATGGCTTTAGTGAAGTGGGCGCGGAAGTCGGATAGGTTGGGGAATGCTCGTGCTGCGGCGGCTGACTGCAGGTATCGTATGCATGAATCCATAGACCAGCCTTCCATGTGGGAGATGAGTTCTAGGTGGTGGACTTGAAGTTCTCTTATTGGGAGGGTTGCGGATGGGAGGGGGTTGCCGAGGCCTTTTGCGGTGAGGATCTCGAAGTGATCGTGGATTGTTGGGCGCATCATGAAGGAGATGAGGTGTACTCCCTCGTCGAAGCCACGATTTGAGCTTGCGTAGTCGCGCATATCGCGGAGGGAAGCGGTTAAGTTTGCTTCGGGGACGTGGATTCGTCGAGAAAGCATTCCTGTGACATGCTCGATGGTTGCGAACCGGAATCCCTGTGATCCCAGGCGTGCTGCTTCATGCTTTTGTAGCTGGCGAACTGTGAACATTATTTGGCCCTTGCCGGTGCGGAGGGACGAGCGGCCCATGGCTCGAGAAATTCGGGAGATGGGGATAGCAGTGGAGAGAACATCGTCGTAGAGTGTACCTAGGTCTTGGAGAGGCAGAGAAAGATCATCCGAGAGCTCTTGGGCTGTGACACAAAAGAGTTGCTTGAACAGGGTGTCAAAGTCAGTTTGCAGCTCCGTATCGTTGTCCATAAACACTCCTCGGGATAACATGTGTTTCTCGATGGCGCTTTCTTCAGAATTAAGGCGGTTCCGCATGAAGGGAACCAGATCCTTCACGACAGGCCAGTTCCGAGTTGCCCTAAACGCCCATAGGAACGTAGGGTGGGTGCGGGTGAGATCGTCATCTTTGAATGTCTAATTCGCGATTCGTTAGTTGAGGCTTCTCTAGGGCTGTTATAATCTAGTGATCAAGAGACATACTCGTCCGATATAATGATCAACAATCTTCTTTGTAGGAAGCAAGGCTTGTGTCGTAACCATGATTCGTCCAGTGGGATCAAAGTAGGCACAAGCGAGAATAAGCTGATGGGCACGTGTCGTCGACTTTCTGCGATTTCGCCCAGCGATAATAGCGCACATCGACAACACCACACATGCAACACAGGCCTAGAGAGCTGTCAGTCTCCAACCCACCCATACCGTCGAAGAGATATCAAACATACCAGAACAGTGCAGACAATAACAACCTGACTCCTCGACAACTGAGTTCCCTTCATGATCCCGCGGTTATGATCCAGGTAGACGGTTCCAGCAGCCGCAGTCCAATGCATGCCCGAGACAGCACCCGCCAATAAGCAAGCACAGATTCCTCGCCTCCACCAGCTATCAGTCCAAGATGCTCTCCAGCGGAAGAAGATGCCTAGGGCAGCAGTGCTGGAGAAAATAGCAATGATCGCCGAGCCCACGACGTTGGCGACATGATAGGAGCACCTATAGTTCGAGATTCCGAGTTGACCGACGTAGTGCATACCACAGACAGAGCTACCAGTGAGCAAGCCTCCGACGAGGATGCGAAGATAGCCTGCCTTCTCCTCGACGCCCACGGCGTAGAAGGCAAATAACAGTACTACCACGGGGAGGACGAAGGAGGTACCCGTGAAGGCGACATTATATAGGACTTGTACGTCTGACTGGCCTTCGCCTAGGACGATGGCGCGGTTGCCGATAAAGTGCATACACCAGATGCCTATGCCGCCCATTGTGATCGATGATGTTAGGAGAAGGTACCTTTTAATTTTTTTAGTTGATTAGTTGCATGTTTAAATGCTAGATTTGGTGAGATAGAGTCTTGTGGCATACCAGTTGTATAGACCGGACCTCGATGTCCGCCGGTGGAGCAGCTCCAATGTGGTCGCGCATCCCATTGCACTGATCACATAAGAGAGGACGATATACCCCGCCAGGTACGTGACACGCACCAGCGGTTCATGGTCTATCGCTGACATTGTGTGAGAGAGAGAGAGAGAGAGAGAGAGAAATAGGTGTTGGTATTTCGTTATTGGCACATTGGCGAGCAGCACGGATAGTTGGAGGATACGATGGTCGAAGACGACTGTTCGAATCAATATAAACGTGACAACATGGAGAGATTGATTTTGAATATGTTGTATAAGTGTAGAGAGCAACACAAAAGATATAAAAGATCACAAATTCCAAATCAGTGGAACAGGGACAGAGGTAATTAATATCTTATAACACCCAGGGTACATCAGCCAGCCCAAGCGCCCCTCTAGCCGCATATTATAGCTCCACGGTACAACAAAACCCTCCGATTCCACGTTATAAAATGAATTGACGTGTACCATGATGGCGGCCTAGTCCGATCTAGACGTGAACTCCACCTAGAGGGCCATGCATTGACCTGTAAGTGACCCCATGCCCACAACTCGCGTGGCATATATACAACATACAGTAAAACACACAACAAAACGAAAACGAAAAGGTCAATGCCGAGGTAGATCTTACTCGAATAGGTTCAGGTTAAATTAATTTTATCCAATAGTACGAAATAAACAACAAGGGTCCCAAGGCTCTTGGATTTGGTATTGTAACCGACGCCTTAATAGCAATTCGCTCCGATCTAGATCGGATCTGTGCGGATATGGGAACTGCGGGGGCAGAATGGCTTTTTCGGCGTATCAGAACCTTCACAGAACGCCAATGGCCCGTGAGCATCGGACTTTAGTCTGCTAAGTGGTTTGGGATATACTTTTCCCGTGTCTCGATTTGAGACAACTCCGATAATGGAGTTGTATTAACCATGGAAACTACATTTTAGATGGAGTCTCTGGCATTTTTTTTTTCTTTGTACGGAGTAGGGAATCCTCGGTACGGAGTACAATATAAAGAAGGGTGGTTTCAATCGTTCATTTAGATTAATTTTTGGAGCCTCGGGCGAAGCTAACAAGCGAATTCAGCTGCACCTCAGCTGCGGTCACATCCCAGAGAAAAAAAGGGGCCCACTTTGATGTCCATTTAGATCTCTCTCTTCTAAGTTATTATCATCATACTCCACATATACAGATTAGAGAGTTCTTCCAGATATGCAGGTTAAACATATTGATCAATCAGATTAGCCTAGTCGCCCAACACGAACGCCAGTAAGAGCTCAAAATAATGGCAATCCGGAATCCGGGATGTGCCCCTGGATCACACGGCTTGGAAGTGCAGGGTTTATGGTGCTAAAGTCGTGATAGGATGACTAGCCAGTTAATTAATTAAGAAAAATTACCTCGGCGAAAGCGAACAGAAAAAAGAGATCAAGAGTGGGCCACAGGAAGTCCCACATCCATCAAGATGCACATATAGATTAAATCCCAGATGGAGGCGTATCCCAAGTTTCTTAATTTCTACTTTTTAATTTCTTGCTGAATCACATGAACTGAAGTAAATTCTGATCGATCTGGTTTGCGAGTCCACTTGGTAGCGTCGGCTAAGAAAGACACAATTTTGACTTGGGGTTGGACGCCTCTTTGCCCACTTTTAAGGTTTTTTTTGGGTCTTTCATATGTAGTGGATATGTCCTAAATGACAAACTTGGTTCCTCAGACAAAATTATAATTAGTAAGTGTGATGGATCTCCCATCCTCTACAACATATCAAGGCAAATAGACCGAAGTCACCAACGGCCGTCACTTGTCATTCGCGTGGCTATGATGTATATATAAGATACATCTCAAAATAGGTACAGAGTACACAGTGACTTGATAGTGGCTTCGGGGAGAGTTGGACGAAAAGCCGCGTGTGCAAGGTTTGACATAGATCAGTTCTGTCTCAGTGCTATCTCATTCAACTTTCTCTTTCTCTCTTTCTCCCTCTCTCACTCTCTCGCTTACTTCTACTAAAATTACTTGATGAGGAAAGTCAAAATCGAAATCAAGGCAGCCTTGTCATTGAAGCATAGAAATCGCCCTACGTTGTATCAAATCCACTTCCACCATGGCTACTTCTTCGTCTAGCCCTGACGTTCCTTCCAGTCCCTCTGCAGCATGGACATTTTCACTTCGTTCCACCACTCGCCGTCTTTGAAATAACATTCCCTCCTATCCCCCTCTGTTTGGAATCCAATCTCCTCACACATCTTGCCCACTCGCATATTCCACGATGGCACGTTCATCTCCACTCGATGTAGACCGGCACTGTTGAATGCCCAGTCCAAAGCCCAGTTGATTGCCTCGGTCTCATAATGCTGGTGTTCCTTTAGCATACCGATTCCCAGCTTGGAGCATCGATGATGAACCATATCTCGATGATATGACTCCAAGAAAAGTGTCCCAGCAGGTACGAAATCGAAAAACTCGTCTTTTCCGTAGATAATTACAAACAAGTGCGAGTTCCTCTGGAGATGCTTGGCAACGCGAGAGGTGAAGTTGAGGTCCATCGGCCGTGGAGTTGATGCGCACCAGTTGATGACTGAAGACGAATATGTTTGAACCTCATTGAAGAACTTATCATCTGTCGAGGGATCGTAACTCTTGAATTCCAGGTTCTCGGTTCGAAATTCCTCCGAGGTGACCTCTTCACTCTCCGAACCAGTATCCATACCTGAAGTGGTGATTACTTGATGTCGCAGTGGGCTGGAAATGTACATGGAGATTGTAGATAGTAGATGGAGAGAAAGATGATGGAAAAGATACATCTCACAGTTTATATATGCAGCCATTGAACTGTTTGTCGTCTTGCAGGCACAACTCCTTTCCCCACCTCTTCACATCTGCGCCATGTAGTTCAAACTTTCAACACTTTCTATACGTTTCTGGCCTTTCATTGCTATATCTATGTATGGGTAAGCTTTTCCTGCCATTTTTGCAACATCGGTCTTCTATCTCCTATATTCTCCCACTCGAACTTCTCTTTAACCAGGTTGAAGATAAAAATGGTAAAAATGTGAAATCAATCAAAAGTTGATACCCAAATGGGAATGGGGCATATATATACTACCATGGTGGGACTCGAGTAATCTGCATATTGGACATCAACGTTGTTCCACAATTGTTTCCCTGGTTATACATAGAAAAGTCTCTTGCACATAGTAAGCTTTTTTTACGGCCTTCACATATATTTAAAAAGACATCTCAAAAGACTAGCTAGAAAAACCCACTAAAAAGACATCACAAGGCCGCAAACGCGGCCGACTATTCTTTTCTATTATAGTTCGATAGAGAAACTGTGGGGAAGTTCACTGCAGGTTGCTGCATGTAATCTGTCGATCGGGGTGCATGCGCCGTAGCACAGAACAACTACAAAATGTACACTTTTCTTTTTCCAATTCAAACCCAAAGTTCTGGGTAACTCTTCTCTTCAGTTACATAATTTTGTAGCAAAAACAATACGGTGCATTAGCTCGCCAGGCTTCCATGTAAAGTCAAAATACCCCGTCGACAAGAAAAAGCAAGCAAGGACTCTACATCGTACAGACACAGAAGTTTGTGGAATGGTATGTATTCAGTATTCAATTAGATCATCCATTCTTCCAAAGAAAAAAAAAAGATCATGGATCAATGGTATGAACAAGCGCGAATCTCAATTTTCAAATCTATGCAAGGATAGCCTTGAGACCAGCCTGGATGGCAGGGGGGTTGGCGCCCTTGACCTCCTGCTTGCGCTCACCACCGTTGTAGAAGTGGAAGGTAGGCATGGCAGAGACACCGTTGGCAGCGGCAACCTCGGCGAGGTCATCAACGTCAACCTTGTAGAACTGGACGTCGGTGTGGGCCTCGCTGAGCTTCTCGATGGTAGGGGCGATGGCCTTGCAGGGACCGCACCAGACGGCGTGGAAGTCGACGACGACGGGGCCGGTGGCCTCAGTGACCTTGGTCTTGTACTCCTCGGCGCTGGAAAAGAATGCGTGTTAGTTGGTGTGTCTACAATGTTTTGCGAAATGACCAGGACGAATATGTAGAACATATTTCGGGACCCAGACAAAGATGCGAAAGCGGGAGCTTGAGAGTAAGGTCGAACTTACGAGGTGATAGGAGTGACACCCATTTTGAGAGTAGAAGGCGTGAAGCGCGGGATAGGTGTGGAAGAAAAGGGTCGGGAAGCGGTGCGCTGGAATAGCGATGAAACTCCGGAGATGGTTTTGGGAGTAAAACGGAGAGATGTAGGTTTGAACTGGAGTGGATATAAGTATTTCGATTGGAGGGGTAGAGTGAGGGGCGCTGGGTTTTTATAGGGCCATGACGTTCCCAGCAGAGATGATTAGGTAAGACGAGCTGAATAATGGATCGGAGCTGGCCCCGGGGGTCTAGAGATCCGGAAGTCTCTGGAGCTTGCTGGGGGTTTGACTGGGATTTTTCCAAGGCTGGGAAGATTTCAATTGAGACTTACCATGATGAGATTTGTCAGTATTTTGCGTTCTATTCTCTTTGTACTTGATATCAAATGTCGCTGGAATCCGAGAGATGTGAAGCAGACAGGGGATGACGTGCTCCCGACCTCGGGACCTCAGGTCGCTTACGAATAAGATGGAGTCTGGAACTGTCAGCATTTCCTGCCCTGAGCACCCGTCAACACTACCTACAACATAGCCCTGGAGGTACCGGTACTTACATATCCGCGGCTGGTCACTTTGTTTATTAGCTGGAGGTGAGTTTTGCGTATGTTGTATGACTACGCTAGGAAAAGTGTTAGAATGCAATTATAAATAGGCCTAGCACCCGCTAAGTAGGAAATTAAAAGAACCAATATTCACTAAGCCTTGATACTTCACTCGTTTAAGCCAGGAGACGGCAAACGGGCTGCCAGAAATGGCCCCAAGGGACGACGTTTTAGGCCTTCGATTTTCTAAATTCTATGCCATGCAACCCCTATCTCCGCCCATGCCTAATTTCCGCTTAGCACAACAATAAGGATATCGGTTTCTCCTAGTGCTCCCTAAGGGTGTCGCCCCCGTATCTTTGGTCTCCATACTATACCCACCGTGATAGAGTGGAAAGACAAATCTACTAATATAAAACCTTGTCCATCAATGCCTACCTCGAAGTACAGCCAACACCTTAGTTCAATCTATATCTACCCGCGACTTTGCCGAAAGCTCCTGGATGAGTTGGGCGCTTGGCAGAGTGAACTATGCTAGGCAAGCAGTGCCTATTGGTGGGTTATCATGCGACTAGCCCTGGAGGTGCATTATTTATGCACTCTTCGCTCTCTAATCCTTATGCTATGGGATTAGCCCACGTTACTCTTAACGTGCCAGGGTAGTACGGCTGAGTGAGAGGGGGTGCTGCCTTTGTTTTCGATGCTGGAACTTCAACCCCGGCCGGGGTTACGTCTAACCATGGTAAGAACAGAACTTGTGAATGATATGAAACTGGACGCCGAGATTCGCCCCGATAAGACCTCACACCCCACCTTTCAACCCGACTACGCCCAAGGAACCACTGGCAGATGGCGGCTGAAGGTCGAAATCTGGAAGAAAGGGGAGATACTTGACTCAGGAACATTTGGGACAGTCTGGGCTGAAACATGTGTATGAAGTGAAGGCCCGGCTAGGGTGCGAGCCGCGAAGATGATCAAGAAGAAGCCATCCGTCCCTCTCACCAGATCTAGAGAAGGGGCCTAATTGGCATGTCAAAATTGGCGATTTCGGGGTCAGCAAACGGTACGAAAGCGCTGCTTTACTGGCACCTGAATTATTTGCAGTGTATTCTCCTGGTCTAGACTCGCAGAAACTCCATTCCTACACACATCGCGTTGATATTTGGTCACTGGGAGTGATTGTATTCCATCTTCTTTCGCACGACTATCCATTCCCGAACAACAACAGCCTCCGGTCGTATGTCCAGACTTCCGACTTCCCGTCATTGCGCAAACTTCGGTCTGTTACTCAGGAGGGCCAAAGATTTCTCATTTGGCTGCAGACGCGACAGTGCGGTTGTCTGCTAAAGAAGCCCTCCAGGAGGGATGGTTGAAACAACCCTCCTACGACCTATTTTCAAGAATTTCGCGTATGGCGTTTTCCAAAACATTGAATTCAAATTCAGTAGAAGCTATTCACGAAGCTTCAAGAGGCTGGGATGACGGAGATGTTTCTTCCGCAATAGTTGAAGACCAAACAATTGGGCCCACACAGGAGCTACAGAGCAAATCGACCGGTCTACATCAATCTAATTCTGCAAAACAGGCTCCGATCTCCAAAACTTTGGATGGTTCGCGCGCGGCTCATCACAAAGGGCCATTGTTACCGAGCCAAGAGCAGCGTGCAGGTGCTCAAATAACGCAGAATGCTTTTGAATTGCGCGTTCTGGCTTCTCTGAGTGCATTGAGCGATTATCGTTTTGGTCAGAAGGAGTATGATAGACGTTCTAACATTCTATACTCAACATCAAACGTCGTCGAGATCCCAGGCTTCGGTAGGTTTATCTTGGATTGAATATCAGGAGAGGTTCAAAGAAGTGTTAGACTACCCACAAAGTGCTTTCTAATAAGCGGACTGCAGCTAAAAAAAATTAGTTGCTGAGTGTGGCTGGCTAGGAAGTATGTCTTTCTATGCTAGGATTGATACTAATGCTGGCAGGATAAAAGGAGGATTATTTTAAGATAAGGGATAGTATAATTTGTTAACTTGGCTACATCTCACCGCCAGCAGCGGTAATTCAGTGGTAGAATGCAAGATGTATGTTATCTTGCTTTCCAAATTGATCAATTAAAATACTAATAATTCCTTCCAGTGCAAATCTTGTTGTCCCGCGTTCGATCCGCGGTCGCTGCTTCCTTTTTTTGTTTATTTTTTTTTTTCTTTCTCTCAGCTAAATAAACCTTGGCACAATATTCCTAATTGAATGAATCGAGGCTCTCTTTAATTATACCAAGTATGAAGAGAGGGCTACGTCGAAATGCACGGTGGAATTTGAGATAGATGAATTGAGTAGAGATTCTACAGAGCTATGAAATCTGATGACAAGAATAGGTCCATTTAAAGAAAAGACGCTACCACATTTTCTAAGAATGTCCGGAACCTAGCTATGAGGCTTCAACAGGTCGATGCAAATGAATTTCATCTCCTTAAATTCCATGGTGTGGCTCGCATACTGGACCCAAACACTAAGCAGCTACTTTCATTTGACTTCATCTTCCACTTTCCCAAAGGGTGTCATAAACTCCAGAGTCTTCGGAGCCACCTTCTCTCCCGAGAAACCCATTCTCTCGGTGATAGAATCAGCCTCGCTAACCAACTTGCCACATCTATCAGCTATATCCATGTCCTTGACTTTGTGCACAAGGATGTTCGCCCAGAGATCGTTTTGATTTTCGAAGGTGATGGATCTCATCTAGGTCCATTATTCGTCCTAGGATTCAGAGGCATTTCGCTTGGCTGACAACAAAACATTACGCCTGGGCAACTCTATTTGGTCTGAAAATACCTACCAACATCCTGATCGACAAGGAAGCAATCCAGGTATAAAATATGTCATGCAACATGATATATACAGCCTCGGAGTACGCCTCCTCGCGATAGGACTTTGGGAGTCACTCGTGGGTAGCGAAGGGGATACGAATGTCTCGCTAGTTGGTATCAACTGTGGTCCTTCGGCCTTGAATGGAGACAGTTCGCTTAAGGATCAATTTAAGACGTTGGCGAAGGAACAGCTACCAATCAAGATGGGACAGAGATACACACAGGTAGTTCTAAATTGTCTATCTTGTATGGATACAACGAACGAAAATTTTGGCGATGAGAGCGAGTTTCAGGGCGGTGACGGCATCCTGATTGGAGTCAAATACATTGAGAAGGTATAGTACTGTCTAGTCATTGCATGAATTTAATGAGATAAATTAAGCAGGACTAACAGCCGAACAGATTCTTCTTTTGATCGGTGAAATAACGGTCTAATTCTATGAGAGGTTGCACATGTTACTTGGCTGAGCGCGTGATCATCAGTGGAGGAGCTATTGAATTTGAATTTATATGGATAGCGTCGTGTGGATGCGAGGAGCTCAATGAAAATAGCTGTATATCCATATTGGAGATTATCGATAATTGCATGTGGTTGGCACATCTATCTCGACAATCTAGTAAACAACGCCGGAATTAGCCGCTCTCCCAACGAAAATGCCACCCTCCGTAAGAACCTCCGCGCCGTATTTGAAACGAATGTTTTCGGTGTTGCGGTCATGAACAAGACTTTCCTACCGCTAATCCGCGCCTCGGCGTACCCTCAACGCCAGATTGGCACTATCACCAGCGGCCTAGGGATACAGTACTTTATAGAACAACTTCCTAAGTAGGAGCAGCGAAAGATATCAACACCGAAGATGTAATATTAGAAATACAAAAAATTATTTGGGCAGGTTGCCAGCAATGGCTGCTGGGCTTTACTAAATACATTCAATCAATGGGAACCTCAAAAATGGTATCATCATCACTAGATCTCAATGTAAGATAAACAATGCTCAATCAGAAATTGAAGTGAGTAAATTCCCAAAAGAATATGTCATATCAATATCAGCAATGGAAGAAAGGTAAATCAAAAGGGCCAGAAGCCAACTATGTGCAATGAAGAAAAGCGCTTGAAGGGAATAAGAATTTATCAACTTCGTTATGTATTCAAAACAGGAATAAGAAGGAATAGAATGCATGCATATGGTAAAGATAAAACATGGGGCAACGAGGGGGTATCAACAGATCGAATGGGAAGGACGAGCTCGCAAGGGCAATAATGGGATACAGGGCGATGGGGGATATCAGAATCGTACAGATGGCCAAAGGGTAAAGCCAAGGCTCACGGATGGATATTTTGACAAAGGAAAGTGACAAAAGAAAGTGACAAAGGGAAGGTTCAAAGGACCTCAATTCTTAGTCATAGCGGTGGTCGATGGACCAGTGGCACCATCTGATATGCCATGACACAGATAAATGAGGTAATGGTAGATCCGGTTTCACTGCTGTTAAATGGCCTAATCCCCAGTCTATTGGGCATAGCCAATCTCGGCTTTCGTGCTGGGGATCCGCTGCAGTTCCGAAGGGGTTGTCTCCTCCACAATGTAATCTTCTTCTGCGGAGATGGGCGTCAACGAAGGAAATCCTCTAAGCATTCCTTGTGTGGACTTAGGACGGACCACCGGGTTCACCAGAACAGCGCGGCGGCCGACCTCGTTGTGCCATCTCTCGGCTGGGTGGCTGGCCGAGCTGTCTGCGACTTCCGGTTCGAGCTCTGGCTCAAGGGTATTGCTGCTAAGACGGCGGGACTCATCCAGTGATTCGACTTCTTCGGGGGCATCTGCGGGGGCCTCCTCCGACTCTTGGCCAAATGAGTTCAAATTCGATCGAACAGGACTGCTGGGCTTTTGAGACATCCGACGGAAAAACTGGCCTGACATCCAAGATCCCTCAGAATCAATTGAAGCCAGAGATTGGGAAAGTGGCACGTTATCGGCCTCAGTGTCCATACTATCCGAAGCCCACGATCGATGATGGCTTCGGTTCGGGTTTTTGATGTCCACACCAGGGCTGGGTGTTGGTTCCCGCAAGAAAGTCTCATCCCTCTCGAGAGAAGACTCGAGCACTTCTTCCGGGATATCTGGCGACTGTAGGCGGGAATCAGGAGGCGACAGAGGTTCGTCGCCAAAGTGTTCGGTGAACTTTGATTGGGAGCGCTTCACGGTTCCAGTGGGCATTAAAATTCTCGGAGGGATAATCGAGGGCGGAGGAGGCGATGATTGGGTCTGAATTTTGTAGAAAGATTCATGCGATGTGTTCGAAACTTCAGGAGTAGTGTCGTGGAATCGCTCTTTGTATGTCCGCTTGAGACGAGAAGACCCACGCCTGAACAAGGACGTAATGGTATTCCCTCGACGACCACTGGTGTCGGAAAGTCGGCGTTCTGAGTCAACTCCTCTGGAGATGTCCGATGTGGAGCTGGGAGCACGGATTTGTGACTGGTTTGGGCTATTTAGCCCATGTCGAAGCGATGAATGAGATGGTGAAAGGGTAGTCCGAGACATAGTAATGTCGTTTGACGGGGCGAAGCTAGGGCGTTGCACCAATCTCCGCTCACGAACGGAACTATCATCGATATTTCCAACTACGCGAGAGCTTTCCCGCGATTCACGCCCAGTGTTTTCGCTGCCCTTGGAAGCTCGCAGCAACCACGATTCACCCTCCGGTGCGACGGCCGTCGCTTCATCAACTTGAGAGGTGGTGGTCTCGTCGTTCAGGACAACGTCCTCGGGCTCAGGGACTTCGGCGATGGACGGCTCTGGTTGATTGGGTTCGGGTTCGGGTTCGGGTTCGATCTGAATGGCGGCCTGGAGTTTTTGTTCCTCTGTCTGCTGAGCATCAGCCCTCTCCTGCAGCTTCCGCCGCAGTCTTTCCTGGTCGTCGACCTGCTTCTTCTCTCGGCGGCGACGGTCACGGTCCAGAAGCTCTCTCAAAGCCCCGGCATCTAATGAATCAGCGAGTTCATTTACTCGTCGTTTAGAACAGTAGAAATCTTCTTCGGACATGGTTAGAGCCTGTAATTTTTCTCTCTCCTGTCGGCTAGAAGTAGGCGGGTTACCACTTCTAGCGGTTTGCAGGCGAGGAGCTTCGACATAACGAACGACGGGGCGTGGGGTCAAAGCAGCAAAAGCGTTGACCTTGTAGGTGTATGGGTCGGAGATGTCCGACGTGGAGGAAGTGGCGGAGTCACGAATGGAGAGGCTGATGTCAGACATATACCGGTCGGCACGTCGACCATTTGCCTTTCGACGGCGATTTTCCAGTACATAATCAGTCGGACGATGGGGGATATCGATGGGGATGGACGACAGCATACGAATCTCACGCTCGCGCATGATCTCGTTTGCTTTGCGCTTGCTCAGCTTTCGTCGTAGTTTATTCGGAACATGTGCATTTTGGCTTGGTTTCCGCCTCAGCAGCGAAGCTGTTCTTGAGAGTGGAGGGTCACGTGGTCGAGGGTCCCGTGAATGATCGGCGGAAGTAGGGCGGTCTAGAGATGAGATAGGTCGATTTGAAGGCGCAAGGGCCGAGCTGCGCCGGCTGTCTGCAGCATCCCGTGACGTTTGGTTACTTTGGCGTTTGGATTGTTTGCGGCCCAAGGTGGGCTCGATGGTAGGTTTAGCAAACGAGGAGTGAAGATCAGCAGCTTCGGCACCGGTCACTTGGATGGTGTGCCGCTTGCTCTTGCGATTAAAGGGCCATATCGCCATGGCACTTTGGGGGCACAAGCCCAGGGACAAGTGGGATCAGTTATCGTTGTCAGTTCGGTGTCGTGACAGTTTGACTGAACTCATGGAGGGTGGAAAGGAGAGTTGATGAAAGTGACTGGGAGTCAGGGTGATGACACTGGCGTCATCGAGAGTCTTGATAGGGAAGGGAAGGGAAGGGAAGGGAAGTTGCAAAGGTTGAGAGTTGTATCAGAGAGAGAGAGAGAGAGAGAGAGAGAGAGAGAGAGAAAGAAAGAAAGAAAGAGAGGAAGGAGAGATGTGAGAACCAAAAAGGCAGAAAAACAAAATAGGCCCAAAGGGAAATCCAGAAATGGGCCTTGTTTTTTGTTTTCCTGAAAAATAGAAAGACTTGGCACTTGCTTTTTCTATCATTTATTTTACTTTATATTAAGTGTTATTATATTGTATATTGTATATTATACATTATACTACTCAACCTAAGTACATTGTTGTATACTTATGTTTTGTACAGTTGCACGGGTACCTGGTACCTTGGCCCTAACTTGTAGAATTTTATTTAAAAAAAAAACTCTCTCGTCACACAAGAAAGTCTAGATTTCTTTTGGAAATTGGCAGTTGACCTGTGGGGGAGAGGGATATCCACTTATTGTGGACTCCAGAATGACGCAGTGTTCTAAATATTATAAATATAGATATCCCTTTGGTATATTATTGAGGTATTCTTATAATATTGGATATATCATGGATACAATACATAATATTCACACCTATATCTCGGAAATGAGTAATATTGGCCCTTAACCCTATACAACCAAATCCAATGCATACCTCGTGCCCTCTCACGCGGGAAAGCCAAGCCACCGTTTAAACGCCCGGTGGAGTCTAGGCTGAGTCCGGTAGCCTTTCGTTGGGTTGACACGCGGGAATGGAGTCGATCTTACGCACTTTTACCAACTTCGACCTATAAGATCGTCAATTTGGGAAAGTTTCTGCCCTTTTCAAACTAGTCATGAGAACCTGCAGGGACTTCTATGTAAATTAGTATTGTAAGGGGAAATATATCGTGCACGTACTTGAATAGAGAAATGATCGGCGAATTTTCTTTATGAGAATGTCTTACTCCGTACGGAGTACGTTCTATAGGATTACAATTTATTACCACTAATTCCAATTCTGATGCCTATGTTGTATGTTGTATTATAATATATTATTGAAGATTGTTTTGCCCTTCCTGCCTTGGTTCTATTGAATATCAGTCATATTCAAGGCGCCTAGCAACCCAGTACGACCTGCGGAGTACGGAGTACTATGATGCTAATTATATCCATTGAGAATCCGGCGGGTTGCAAGGTGTCAGCGCTATTATTTGATTTCAATTCAAGGTGGTTCAGATTAGATCCAGGGTGTTGTCTAGAGTCCCTCCTTGCCTCTATAATCCATCATTTATTGCTATACTCCGTACGAGGTACTCCGTATTGTATTCCCTATTAGCCCTATTAGTGTTCCCGCATGTGCACCTTGTCTCCCGTGTTCTATACTCCCGAGGTCCGTACCTTTCCACATTTACAACGTGGCTTTACAACATCAATACCACTCCACTTCCGGTCTCAGGTTGTTCCACCATGGTTCCTGCATTTTGATCGCAACGGTAGACCCTCAATTGCCGACCTCTGATCTACAAAGTAACAGCGGAGAACGCTGTTCGGCCTTAGATGCCAAGAGCAGCTCAGAGACAACGTCTCGAATCGGGTTTGGCAGGGGGCTTTGAGCCACTAAATAAATCTGCAAGGAGCAGACAGCCGCCACAATCAAATTCCTGTATTTTATTTTTGGTTTTCACTAAAACATAAGCTTATAAGCATTGGGAATTATCGATTAATCATATTCCCAATCTCATCCTTCAGTACTCAGTCCTCTACAGTGTATAGAGGTTTCTGTACGGAGTTGATTGTTCAATTTGAAATGACATCATAAATCTCTACGTTTGAGACCAAGAATCGTGGCAAGCCATTGAGAATTCGCCACGAAGGCAACTGCCACCGCAACATACCAAAATTGGCCAGGGAAACTCAGATTGTAACCAATGACTTTTGCATTTTACATACTGAACATACAACATAACTCAATTGGATCCAAAAAAAAATCCAAAAGGATAGTTCAGACCGACAGAATCCAAAAATGCCCCTACCCGCCAATTCTAGCCAAACGCCGAAAACACAATATGCAGACCCGCATTCCATGCGACCCCGAAGAGAAATAAACGGCGAAACTCGATGAGATATCCAACCCGTGGACAGCAAATGTGACATCGAATAGACATTCTCCATGTTCCCCCCTGACACTAACCAAATTGGCGCCGACCAGTACAAGTATGATCACCGCCGCCGACTAAAATAGTCCCTCCAGCCGTAAAAGAAGTTCAGTTGCTCATGCGCTTCCTCAACCGATTCGGCTCCCGCTCCAGGACGCTGTATTTGCGGCTCCCCCGTCGGCTCAGAAGGCGTCTGATAGACCAGCCACTGTGGCAGGGAGTATCGGGTGTTGACCGCGGACCGGAACCCTGGGTTTCGAACTCCAGGTGGAGCTTCCGGTTAGGCTGGGAGCCTGTCGTTGGTAGTTGGGCATCCATGATTTTGTTTTCAAGAGCGTTGTCAAAGTAGGTGACGTGCGTGGTAGTGTGTTGAGGTGAGGAGCGGGGGTGGCTGGTAACTGTTGGACGGCCGTTGGGATTTCGCGCGTGGATGCAGGTATAGTTTGTTTTAGGTTAGATTGCTTTTGGTGTTTGATCGTGTCTCTGCTTTAGGTTGGAGGTGAGGTTGATGCTGGTTTGGTTAGGGACCGGAGAGCGGGGTTGGATCTTGTGGGGCATGACGAGACACTTTCGTTGTTGTTGATCTTCTTTCCTCTACAAGGTAGACGAGTGAATAGACGAGTGACTCGGTATTCTCTTTCTGGCAGAGCATGCAGGGTTCAGATCGTTTGGTGAACGTGCAACTACCCCCTCATGTGGCCACTTGAAGCTTCCGGCTGTTCCAGGCGTTCTAGGTGACAAAGGTGGCTTAGACTCTATTTTTGCTCGATATCAAGTGACACAATGGCTATGCAGAGTCTTATAGTGATCCATTTCTGTTTCAGGATTCAGGGCCTAAATTAAAATACGTAGGTTTGTCTATAAAGCAACGATATATATTGAAAAACGAATTGTGATATCATTGTAATGAACATTCTACTGTGACAAGGCTTAAGGTTCCTCTCAATACTTTCGTATTCAAAGGTTGATCAAAGTTCATTAAGCATGCATTTAGGCCCGCGTGATGTGTTTTGGGCGCAGTTCTATATCACTTACTTGATATTCGTGAAACTACAATAGGGTAGAATATTGCACGCTGCATAACTAATAGAACCAATGGAATCTCTAAATAATTTCAAACCGATCATACCCCAGATCCTAATTGGCGCAACAGGACAAGTTGTTAAAGTACTGTCTTCATACCCAACATCTGTGATGGAACTGGTGATCTATGACTCAAATAGGAAAACCTCGGCATGCCACACGTAGAAAGCTAGAAATACTGTTCCATGGCCCCGCCCGATATCTAGAGACCATGTGAATAAAAATATTATCCCAAGAACCCGAACCCCGCATCTGCGTAGTCATAGTCATTATCTAACGAGGGTTCTTAATGGACGGAATAGCCAACCCAGCTCGCATTCGTATTGGGTGGAAGGACCCGGAAGAAAGTGTGCGTGTGTGTCAGTTGAAAAAAAGAAAAAGGTCTAGAATCTATCAAGTGTCGGTCTGGGTGTGTTTAAAATGTCTGAAGAGCATGGGATCATTGAATGAAGAGTCTTATCTTTCCACTTCCTATGTGTTTCAACAGAGAACCTGACCTTATTCCAAACCTCCTCACCACCTTTAAAACATCCATACCGGAGACGATCTCCACAAGCCAAACGCTGGCATCATTTACCTAGCCCCGTCCTCGTGGTCGCCCGACACTCTTGAATCCTTTCCCATCACACATAAACATCTCACTCGCCTTCACCGACTTTCTGATTGCAATCCTTCAAACATGGTAGCCCTGTGGATATTCGTGGCTCTTGGCTACTTGTTGCTGTATGCGTTTGCTACGATGCAAACACAGGAATGGTGTGTTATCATCAACCGAATTGCCAATTGAACTTTTTGCCATGGTGAGATACGCGGGTTGGGAGACAAATGGGCTGCACCGACTGGGTTCAGTTGTTGCCCTGTGAACTTCGTTTCATGCTTGGCGGATTGGCATTGTGCAGTTCGTTTTGAGAAAACCAGATGACCAATCACGATTCATGATCAGTGACTATTTTTACGACTTATTTTTTATGGGCTGAGAGGTGAAGAGATATGCCGGCTGGGTATCTTGAGGCCTAGGAGGCCTGGACAAAGAACCCATGCCATGCATGGACAGGGTAAACCCTTCTATGGGTTCCATACATCATATTCAACGTATGAGATTGCGAATGGGCTCCGCTACAACTAAGAGTCCTTTGATGATTATTGAGGATAACGACTGCATGACTTTGATGGAAGGCGTTTGATACCATGGGAAATTAGACTACAATTCTGTACTTTGTTTAAAAGACTTGAGATTCACATTTTTTTTATTACTTTTTGCGTTCAATCAAGCCTCTTGTCAAGAAAGGACCCCACAAATTGAAAACCATTCCATATCCATGTCCATCCATATCGACGTGTTTGATGATAGAAATAGAGAGGGGTGTGATTTGTCCACGTCCCTGCAACTTATGGTTGTGATGCATACTGGACATAATGTGACAGATGTTCAGATTGAATTTGGACGTGTGAAGAGGAGCAATCCCGTTCGATTGAGATGATCCTTCCACATGGTAGGGCCGCATGAAATGCATGTATCACATTAAATTATTCCCCGCCATGTCATCTTGACAAAACTTTTGGAAAATTGGGAAATCCGCAGCAGACAGGCTCTGCTGTGACATGTATTCTCCTCAGAACCAGATTTTGATTAATTCCTCACTGACAGCACTGGGCGTCAAGACACCGCTATCTGTGATCAGTGCAGAGATCAGATGAGGGGGAGTGAAATCAACCGAGTCGCAGAGAGGTAGCTTGATTGGGGTGTCTCCATTTGTGTCAGCGACGGAGGACTGCTGCTTGCGCTCCTCTGCAAGGTCTTCCTCGGACTTGAACTCAAGAACTTGCTGCTCAATCGGCAGGTCGTATTGACCAAGAGGATAAAACCGAACGAACTTGTGGCTTTCTGCTACCACGTAGAATGGCTTGCCAATAGCCTTGGCGAGGAGACCGATCTGGTAGGTCCCCATGCGAGACACAATACCTCCATTCTCCACCACACCCTCCGCACCCACAATAACCATATCAGCCTTGCCGAGAGAATATGCCACCGCGGACTCGGGAATTGTTGAAACTGGCACACCCTTTGCTCTCAGAGCACGGACTGTTTCCATACCCTCCGGTTCTTCATTCGGGTGCTTGCCATCGTGGGAAGTCGAAGACAGAACGTAGATAACACGGAATCGCACTGCGGAAGGGCCACCTTCCTCATCTGCGGCTTTTTGCAATAGAGCAGCGACAGCTCGGGAACCACCGTTTGTGAGGATGGTGCTACCATCGCGAATGAAGCCACGACCGAATGCTGCGATTTTGTCTCGGCTTTCCTTGGCGCGTCGGATGAACAACCGTCCGTTTGTCAAGAGATGTGTGCGGATGGCCTTAAAATCTCCCGCAGGGCCCAGTTGTCCAGGGCGTTGTAGTGTGGTAATCAGGTATCGTTGGAAAAGATCGGTTCCGGCAGAGAGACCGATAGGGTTAGGAATGGATCGTTTCAGGTGCGCGGTGGATTTTTCGAGTAGATCCAACGTCTCTGATATTGTTGAAGAGGCTGACTGTGTGAGAAGAAGAACGAGAGCTTCAATGGCCGCGATAGGCATGGTGAGGTCGGCATCGGAGCGGAGGAGTTCATTGTAGGTTGCGACAATGCTGGAGGAACGGTGAGCAGATGCGAGGGTTTCGAGGGAGCGAGTTTCACTTACTCGAACGGCTTAGTATCGGCCGCGGCCGCATTTGAAGTGGTAGAAGCCATGCTGTTTGAGAGCCGAAGATACAAGAGTGTGAACAAAGCAATATAGAAGGAAGAGAAAGAGTCATGAATTCTATGTTTGCCTGGTTTGCATACTGAATGCCCCTCCAAGCACTAACCCCGATCGGGCGGTGTGCGGGATTGTCTCCAAGTAAACAATCAACTCCGATCAACAACAATTAGGCTACCCACTTTGTCAATAACCCCTTACCTGGTGACAGGCTCCCAAACTATCATGTCGCGCAATTCTACCGCGATGGGGTATAACAGCCGTATGAGCCAGCAATTCCAAGGCAACCAGCACCACGGTCGAGGTCGCAAGAAGGAGGACGAGAATGACGCCCTCATGCGCTTGGTGAGCTTGATTTTTGCTATAGCTTGCGTCTGATACTAATTTAAAATAGCCCGATAAAGAAATCGCAGGATGCATCAACGATATCGGTATACCGTTTACCCTCGCCGACCTGGCCAAACCAAACGCCCAACAAATCCAGATGGTGTTCGAATGGTTTGCAGAACTGCTCATGAACACGACCCGGGAGACAGTGGAACCCGCGATGCATGCAGCTGCAGAAGATATATGCGGCGACTACCCTGATATAGTTCCCAATGATACCCGCAATCTCATGGGTTTCTTCATGATGCTCCGAAAGCTATTGGCGGAGGTATTTGCTCATTACGGTCCACACAGCCCCCCCGAAAAGTATGCTAATGATTCTGGTATCAAATAGTGCGGTGTCAACGACTTCACTTTCACAGACCTGACCAAACCGACGCATGAGCGACTCGTTAAAATCTTCTCATACTTAATCAACTTTGTTCGATTCCGCGAATCACAAACACCTGTGATCGACGAACACTTCAACAAGACAGAGAAAACGAAATCGCGCATTGACGAACTTCTTGCGGAAAACCAGGAGATGGAATTAAGGCTGAGGGAGATGCGACAGGATCTCCAATCCAACGAAGCGCATGTGAGGGAGAAAGTTTCGCGAAACGATGCGCTCAAGGCGCGGCTATTGGAATTGGGTCGAGAACAGTCGCGAGTCGCAGAGACACTGGATCGAGTTAAGACGGAAAGAGCTCGGCGGCAGCAGCAGCTGGAAGAGAAGACCGAACGAACCGTCCGCTCTCGACAAGAAGCGGAGAAACTGCGGCCTTATGTACTCGAGTCTCCGGCTACCCTCCAGTCCTCACTGGCCGAACTATCTGAGAATTTGATGCGCGAAAAAGCCTCCATTGATGCGATGGAGAGACGGGCACGCGCACTGCAGACCTCGTCCGATACGTTCACCGTCGTTTCCAACGATGTGCAGGGATGTGTTAAATTGCTCGATGACATTGCAGCTGAGATGCAAAAAGAGGACGAAGAGGAGTCTCGTGCTGCTAGAACTACAGAGGCCATCTCGGACAGGGGGAACAGCGTCCGCGAGGTCGAGCAGACTGAGAAGCTCCTGCAGCGTCAACTAGCCCGTTGGGTTGAGCGTATCGAGGCACTTCAGAAAAATGCACAGGAGAAAGCCGAAATTGCGCAGGCACGCATGGAAGAACTCCGAAATGTTCAGAAACAACTCCGTGAGGAACGTGCGGAGAAGCAACGCGATATGGAGCGGAGACGTATTCGCATTGAACAGACAGAAAAGAAGGTATATGTTGTTCTATGTCCTAGGGATGAACCATTGCTAACGCACTTTTTTAGATGGTCGACTTGAAGGAGAATATCGAGACCGAGATTCAGTCAGCCCACGACCAGTACCTAAAGCTCGAGTCACATATCAAGCTGTACATGACAGAGATGGAGAAGTCTCTATGATCAATCGGTAGTCATTTATGTGCGAAACAGGAGTTCAGCGGTCAGCTATAGGATACCCGGACAGTACAAATTCATTCTCAGGAGTTTTATTATGTTACAATATCATGTCTGTTTTCAGCATTAAGCGTATTCTGGTTTTGGTCAAATTCAAACCAGCGTTGGGCAACTCGTTTCACGGTGACGCCCCGTCCACCCCAGGTACCTTGATCCGATCGCATTCGAACTGACCCGTTCAGTAAGGGAACGTTCACATCCCATAGCTTGCTTCCCCTAACGACACTTGAAGGGTCCAGGGCATTCATGCACTCATAAAGTCGGAGATTCATCCTCGCCCTGGAGGAAGCCTCAACGACAGAAGCAAGCGTTCTTGAGAGTCCCTGTGCCGAGAATTCCGAAGTCGTAACATGCATAGCCATCATATCAAGGACAGCAAGGAGCTGGCGGTCATGGGAAAGCGATCCGTCCTCGGTAGTCATTTCAACAGCAGGAGATAAAACGGCAAGGTATGCTCGAAGACTCTCTAAACTCGGGCAGAATGCCAGCCGTATTTTGCTGGATCTTGCAAGCAGCCCGATAGTTTTTGTAAGCAGGCTATGGCTGGTGATAGTGTCTGGATCAGCGCGTGGTAAGTGAATGGCTGCTGTGAGTTGCACCAGAAACTCGGCTCTAGATGCACAGACAATGAGATGGGTATCTGAATTGCCTTCAAGTAGTTGTTGCAGGAGATCAGACACTAAATCGCAGTGAGCGATCGTAAATGTTGGATTCATTGCTTCAGATAGCTGTCTTGTCGCTTCCACTTATTGCCCCGCCGAGATCATCAACGAGAAATGAATCATTTCATCTTCAGATCATAATTCATCGACCACAAAACCCATGGTAGTCGGGGATCTTTCGTCAGGTGGTGTGTAAATAGTAGAACGTTGCAAATCGAAGGCGGGCGAGGAGTTGCGGCATCATCCACTTCACGTCCGCGGAGCTGCTCCGCCTTTCCTCCCCTCACCTCTCACCCATTTCCTCCGACTCACCAAAAGCCCTTGGACTGGGCGCACAGCGGCTGGAAAGATGGAAACAATTTCCAGGATATCCTCGATGCTGGAAACAGGTATGTCAGGTTAAGTTGCAATCCGCTGTATTTGGCCCGAACTGACCGTGGAACGTCACTGTGCGCATAGCTCGAGAGCTCACATTAGAAGCTGCCCAGTCCGCTACTATCAATCGGACCTCAAGCACCGACTATACTTCGCGAACATATACCCACGCACACATCAAGAAGCTCCTTGACAGTCGCCATGAGCGGGAAGTCCTGGATGGAATGCGGAGGGTCATCTCGGTACGGAGACCGTAAACAGGAACTATGGAAAACGCAATGGCTAACTCAATTTGCTGTTATAGTTGATGTACCGGTCCGAACCCTCCCTTACTTTCTTTTCCGCAGTTGTCAAGAATGTGGCCACTGCCAACCTTGAAGTCAAGAAATTGGTTTACATCTACTTGGTCCATCATGCGGAGACGGAGCCGGATCTGGCACTACTGTCCATCAACGCGATCCAGAAATCGCTGACCGATTCAAGCCCACAGGTTCGAACAATGGCGCTTCGGACTATGTCAGGAATCCGGGTTCCGGTGATCAGCCAGATTGTGTCGCTGGCCATTAAGAGAGGATGTGGGGATATGAGTCCCCACGTGCGCAAAGCGGCCGCTTTGGCTATACCGAAATGTTATCGCCTGGATCCCAACACACTGCCACAACTGATGGGGTATCTTGAGACACTTTTGGGCGATTCTCAATACTTCGTCGTTGGCCCCGCAGTCGCGGCATTCTTGGATCTGTGTCCGGATGAGATTGACCTCATCCACAAGCACTATCGCAGCTTAGTCAAGAAGCTGGTTGATATGGATGAATGGAGCCAGCTATCAACGCTGCGCCTTTTAACATTTTATGCGCGAAAATGTTTCCCTCAACGAACTCAGAAGGTGAAGCGCGCAGCCCCGGATGCATTCTATGACGACGAAAAGCAGCAACAGGAGACCCAGAATGATGTCGAAGAGTACGAAGTTCCAGTAATGGATCCTGATCTTGAGCTCCTACTCCGAGCCTGCAAGGTTCTACTGCAGAGCCGAAACTCCGCCGTCATTGTCAGCGTTGTCCGTTGCTTCCTCTACCTTGCTCCATTAGAATACATTGCGTCAGCAGTTGGTCCCCTTGTGGCTCTTCTGCGAACACCACAGGACATGCAACTCATCGCTCTATACAACATTGTTGCCGTTGCTCTAAGGGTTCCCAAGCCTTTCGCGAAATACACAGCCCATTTCCTTATCCACGCCAACGACCCGCCACATATCTGGCGTCTCAAATTGGAGGTGCTCACCATCCTGTTTCCGCATTGTGGAAAACACTGGAAGGGAGTCATAATCAGCGAACTAGAGCACTTCTCTAAAGGCACAGATCCTGAGCTGGTACGAGAGAGTGTACGAGCCATTGGGCGTTGCGCGCAAGCGGACACAAGTACCGCAGGAATGTGCCTTCGGATACTTCTCGGCCAGATATCTAGTCCAGACGGCAACCTTGTGTCAGAGTCGCTGACTGTCATTCGTCACTTGATCCAACAAGATCCTCCCTCACATAAAAAGACTGTTCTCCAACTCGCCAAGCACTTGGGTTCAACAACCCACCCAGACGCACGAGCCACCATTATCTGGCTGGTTGGCGAGTTCGCTGGAATTGACCCAGAGAACAATATCGCGCCTGATGTCCTCCGAATCTTGATCAAAGGATTCGCTGATGAGATGGAAATTGTCAAACAGCAGACCGTTCTCCTTGGTGCTAAAGTGTATTTACATCATCTCTTGCAGAATCCACCAAAGGAACAGCCGGAACAGGTTGCATCGCCATCATTCCCCGAAGTCCCCGCCAAATCCCAGGAAGAGTTCCACAACGAATGGACTGACAATGGGAGCGATGAACCGCAAGATGCCGGGCGAACTGAAGAGGGAGAGGAGAGCCGTCAAGGAAATGACGGCACTGAACCGAAAGAAACAGAAGAAGCAGCTGAAGACCGTATTACGTTATTATGGAGGTATCTTCTCCTTCTCGCACGCTACGACACCTCCTACGACCTGCGTGATCGGGCACGTCTCTACAAGAGCCTCTTGGAAACGCCGTCTTCTACCCAACTTGCCAACCTTCTCCTCCTGGCACCAAAGCCCGTACCCCACGCCCCTAGCCCATCTGAGACGCGCAAGGACCTGCTCATCGGCTCCGCTACTCTAGTCGTCGGCCCCGATGCTGGTTACCACGGACTTCGAGGCTACACGAATGTCCCAGACTGGGTTAAGCCAGGCCAAGAACCTGACCCCAGCCTCCGCATAGACGAGGTGAAACCAGACACATCTAGCAACACCACCTCCATGACTGCAGGTGACCGTCTTGATAAAGCCCTCCGTGAGCACAAAACCACTTCTGTTCCTAGTCGGAGCAGAAACGGCCCGGCTATGCCTTTAGACCCGGCTGGGAAGAAGACTCTTGATCAGTGGCTACAAGAGGAGGAGGAGGAAACCGAGACAGAGTCTGAAACGGATTCTGAAGAAGGCGAAACTGATTCGGAGGAAGAGGAGACGGACTCAGAAGATGAGTCTGGCTCGGAGGAAGAAGATGAATCCGAAGAAGAAACTGATTCTGAAACTGAAGCTGTCCATAAAGAGGCACAGAAGCTGCTTCGTTAACTTGTTCAAGTGAAGATCACATGTATAGATGCTGGCTTGGTTGGGCAACCTTTTGGGTATTTGAATATACGAGAAAATAAATTTGAATAATGTTTCTAGGGTAATCTTGGTACTTGAGATAGTCGCTTAGAGGGTTGTTGGGAATATTTGGTACCATAGACATACGTAGGGACAGCCTTCGGTCCCTTTCTTCTTATCATCTGTCTACTCAATGATATGCTCACTGCCCATAGCTACCTCTGATCGTCTATCATTGGTAGTTTCATTGCTTCATCTTCTCGCAATGTTAGCGCCTCACTGTCATTCTTTTTCATCCGCGCTTACATGTCATCCAGGACCTCGGCGTGCTCAGCAAACAAGATGCGAGACCAGCCTATTTCCAGGACTGAGACAGAGACATGAGCCATGATATGCTTTTGGCGAACCTGATGGTCAGCTATGGCGGTGACGGGCGCACCTATGAGGCTGGTGCGACCATCATAGCTGAGCTCCTTGGGGCACTGTGAACCCTAGCCAAGGTGCTGTTAAGCTGTCTTCCATAATTCAACGGTAGCTAGTCCCATGGACTTTGTTGAGAAGCAGATAGCTAAATTATCCATTATGAATCATACCTTGAGGTCCAGAATTAATTAGGACTGCCTACCCTAGCCTGGCCTGGATATGCAGGCCCCCATGGAATACTGGAGGCAATCTCCGCTGACTGCCATGATCCAGAGTTCCCCTGATCTGCCTATATCTCATGGATATCCCATCTGTCATATATTATTCAGTCTGTTTCTATAATTAATATCGGAGATATTGCAAAATATCTCATTGCTGGTTCTATCAATCAATCAATCAATCAAAGTTCAATTAACCTGTTGCAGTCTAACTAGTTGCGTATGACTATGCAGGCGCTTCTTCCAACTGAAGCAAGAACTCAAGTCCTAACGCCGAATCCCAGAGGAGTACAGATAGTGATCAAAAGGAGCGTGGAATCAGCCCATTCCTATAATTTATAAATCCTATAAATGCAAACCCGTACCTAAACAATGTCTTGGGATGACAGATGCCATTTACCAAAGTTGCAACCTCTCACCCACAAAAAAACTCGCAATAATCTTGCCAATCAAGCTTTATGCCATTTCCCTTGGTTATTAATCCAGGCTCCGCTGGCAATACAGTCAGGACATGGTTCTCTCTGAGTTATTTTGCCCATGTACGTCGTTCGTAGGATGTTGCCACAACCGCCACAACCATTGTATTCAGCAACGACTCTAGCGGAATTGACAGGATGTCCGCACTTATAGACTGACACATCGATCATTTGTTGACACATGATTTCTTCCAAAGAGGAAGACAATTAGCTTTAAAGAGCAGGGTGGGGGAAAGAATCACAATGAATACCTTTATTTTCTGACGAAGTAAGCGCTGACCGGGATTTTGAAATTGTCAATCGTGGAAATGGAAATAAAAGGGAGAGTGTAAGCGACACCCATGGATCTAGGTACGGAGCACATAATGAGTCACCCCCAATCACCCACGTGGCTTATTCTCTGGGTCTATATTGTCACAAATAATGTGACAGGCAAAATAGAGTGGATTTCCCTAGCAAATTAGAATGAATTGTGATCTCTAAGCCCACCATAACGTGGTGCACTGATACCTAGAAACAGGCACTTTGTCACGGTGCAAACATGAAGATGACTCAATCCACAGCACTTTTCCAAGGTTCTATCTACGGGTAGGATCCAGTAGGTAGCTCCGGGCTGGTCACCTTAATTTCTGACATGATACAGCAACAATGTTCTTGGTTGCGGTTTGGTTCCTGCACGAGTCACATGCCACAACGTATGAAAACTCTAGAGCGTGCAGCCCTGAATTCAAAGCAGGCAGCACGGGTTAATACTTTAGATTTGATAAATCTATATTGCGATCCGACGGGTCTAACGAGAGCAGAACGTTTGATAAGCTAAATCATTAGCTACTCGCCTCGGATGAATTCCGCCATAAATTTCTACGTTAAAAACCAAGTTGATTGGAATTAAATGTGAGTTTCGTGTTTTATATATATTCTGTTCTATTCCCTTAGAACAGTAACAAAACACAACTAACGCATAGTGCACTTTTCCTAAGTGCTGCTAGATAGCAGTATCTCTGGACCCTCCCTTTGAAAAGAGGTTGGAAACTATAAGAAAGAATGTGTAGAAAGCTCTTTGACGACTACTTCTCACAAAATTCAATAAATGAAATCCACCCCGATGCGTGTCCCAGGGCAAGAACATTATCTCTAATCGCTGAACAGGTGGGCCGATATTCTGAAGGAAACCACAGTACTCTTTCACCGTTCAGAGTTACCCACCGATTTTCCAGAATCAATATCTCGACATTCGGTCGAGGCAGATTCGAGGCGTTTTTGTAAGACAAGGGCTGTGTATGGGGGGATCCAAGATTGGTGCTTATGTATGAGCCATCTTCAGAAAATACCGCCGATCCAACCGGTCCCTTGAGAGTTTGATGCAAGGCGCCCGATGCCGTATCCCAGAGCTTGACTGTGTTATCAACCGAGCCAGATGCTAGAAATCTCCCGTCGGGGGAGAAGGACACCGATCTAACCCAATTTGAATGACCCTTAAGAGTCTGGTGTAGAGCATATGTGGCGATATTCCAGAGTTTAACCGTGTTATCATCCGAGCCAGACGCTAGAAGTCGCCCGTCGGAGGAGAAAGCCACCGATATAACGCAACCTGAATGACCTTTGAGAGTCTGGTATAGTACGCCCGAGGTCGTATCCCAAAGCTTAACAGTGTTATCATCTGAGCTAGACGCAATAAGACGGCTGTTAGGAGAGAAGGCTACCGCCCAAACCCGATCTGAATGGCCCTTAAGATCCTGGCATAGGGCGCCCGAGGCCGTATCCCAGAGCTTAACAGTGTGATCAACCGAGCCAGACGCGATCGTTCGGCCGTCGGGGGAGAAGGCCACCGACCTAATCCAATCAGAATGACCCTTAAAAGTCTGATTCAGGGCGCCCGAGGCTATATCCCAGAGTTTGACTGTACTGTCAACCGAGCCAGATACTAGAAGTCGCCCATCAGGGGAGAAGGCCAACGATCTAACCCAATCTGAATGACCTCTAGTAGTCTGATGCTGGGGGTTTATAGCGGTATCCCAGAGCTTAACTGTGTTATCAACTGAGCTAGACGCTAGGATCCGGCTGTTGGGGGAGAAGGCGACCGACCTCACAGGATCTGAATGGCCTTTGAGAGTCTGGTGTAGGGCACCTGAGACAATATCCCAGAGCTTTATTGTTTTATCAACTGAGCCAGACGCGAGAAATCGGCCATCATGGGAGAACGACACCGACATTACATGATTTGAATGGCCCTCAAAAGTTCCAGAATGAGGGGAACCCGAGGCCGTATCCCAGAGCCTTATTGTTTGATCAGCTGAGCCAGACGCGAGAAATCGGCCGTCGGGGGAGAACGCCACCGACATAACATGATTTGAATGGCCCTCAAAAGTCCTGGAGTGAAGGGCACCCAAGGCAGTATTCCAGAGTTTGACTGTATTATCATCCGAGCCAGACGCTAGAATTTGCCCATCGGGGGAGAACGCTACCGACCTAATCCAATCTAAATGACCTTTAAGAGTCTGGCATATAGTATTCGTCGCGATATTCCAGAGCTTGACTGTATGATCAACTGAGCCAGATGCTAAAATTCGGTTGTCAGGGGAGAAAGCTACCGACATAACCCGGTCTAAATGGCCCTCGAAAGTCCCAATATATAGGGTGCCTAAGGCTGTATCCCAAAGCTTGACTGTGTTGTCATCTGAGCCTGACGCTAGAAGTTGGCCGTCGGAGGAGAAGGCCACGGACCTTACCCAGCCTAAATGGCCGCTCAGAGTCTGATGTAGGGCGCCTGAGGCCGTATTCCAGAGCTTGACTGTGTTATCATCCGAGCCAGAAGCTAGAAATCGGCCGTCAGGGGAGAAGGCCACAGACGTAACGCGACCTAAATGGCCCTCTAGAGTTTGCAACTCTGCGCTCCAAGTCTCCTCAACCTCTGGCAGCCTACAAATCCAACTAGGAATTTCTTTTTCGAATCTCCTTCGGATCGTTGTCATTTTTGGCGCAAAGACGAGACCAGAGCTGTAAAGCTGGAGGGGAGCGTCATCGGCCATCTGTCTGTTTTTGAGAATAAACCGCTTCGCATCAAGCAGAAACTCGGATATTTCTTGGGATTCGTTGCTCTATCCTGGTCAATGTGAATAATCATATATGGCTTTTTGTAGGAGCTTACAGTTATATGCAACTGCAATCGATCAATGATCCCTACAGTTTCAGATACAAGTCCCAGAATACTCATCGCTTCTACCCAGTGCAAAAAATGCCTTTGGAGAAACAAAAGGGCATTATACAGCATTGATTCCATATCCTTGCTCCGCACCAGATGATGTGCCCAATATCGACAGGAGTATTGGAGCTCTGGAGGCAGATTGTAGTCGATGGCCTGACGACCAATTTCTGCACGTGGTGTTCCGTAGCTCAGTAGCCCACATATATTTCTCCTCAGGCTATCGCACACAAAAAGGCATCTTGTAGCTAATCTTTGGTTTATATCTTTCTCGTCCACCCAAAACTCAGTTTTCTCATGGAGAAGAAAATCCCGGAAGGACCGATGGAAAAGCCTCACTGGCGTGGTCTTATTCTTCGGTACACGCAGGACTGAATGTAGTGGACTCAGCCTGAGGCTGATCAGCTCCTCGGAGAGGCCAATAAGCCTTGAGAGTGTGGTGATTGAGAGTGGGCTCTGAAGGGTCACAATTGCTCCAACCACGACTTGGAATTCCTCAACCAACCGCTTTTTCTGTTTCTCGCTTTGGTTGTTAAGAAATCGTTTAAGGACTGGAATATACGTTGGAGCTAGCTTAGATTCCTCATCTTGGTGCATGAGGATCTCGGTGAGACTTTCCATAGGGTCCCAGTTATCATCACCGAATGTACGGCACACAGTGGCGGCGAAAATAAATAGAGGAACGGATAGTGTAACAAGCGCTCGGATGTCTTTGCTTTTAGGCCAGTCGGTAGGCAACAACCGCTCCTTCTTAATTTGCGAGAGTCGGTGATTTAAGAACAAGGATATGTCGCGTTCTGTTACTGCCTCGGGGATCTCATGAAGAATTAGATCCTGATAGTCCTCGGCTGCGATCTTTAAAAATCCTCGACTCATTGGCACACCAGGCCTGCTGGTCAAAAAAACCCGTAGACATATAGCGTTCGACTTCCCTAATAGTGGGAGTAATTGGAGTATAACTGGTATGTCATTGTCGTCTTCACATTCGTCTAACGCGTCAATCACTATCACCATGGTTGGAATCTGGGTTTTGGACCCTTTCAGACTGAGTACTGGTTGAAGAAGTAGTTTTTCAAATTGCTCCCTTATTGACTTTCCGGCAATATCGGGATCATCGGAGATTGCTTTTTGGATACCGACTTCCAGCTGGGGAATGCGATTATGGGCCATGATTTGTTTTATAATCGTCGGGACGAGCATCTTAGCATTCCCTCGATCGCCTTCGCCTCTCTTGAAGAAGAAACTTGCTCCTAATAACTTGTCTCGGCCGAAAGATTTCGCCACCGTTCGAGAGATTGTCGATTTTCCAGTCCCCGCCATACCGCATAACCAGAAGATGCATCTTCCTCGCAATGATATCGACCATTCAGCAATCTGGTAAAGGACTTCGGACCTAGTGCCTGGAAGACATTCATCTTCATTGCGATTCTCGTATGAATTGTACGCAGCCCCATCCGCAACTGGCAGCTTGTTAAAATCTATCTTTCGGTCGAGTAGGTCGGTAGTCTGAGCCACCTCAGTTACTAGGCCACTGTACAGATGTCAATCAATCGTATGCCATAAAAGGTTTCATCAAAGAACATACCTCTGATAAAGCTCTAAAGATAATGTGAATGATGACTTGTAGCTCTCAAGGTCCTTCAGAAATTTCTCCACTTCGGCGCGTGTCAGGGGCCACATTAGAGCTCGAACCCATAGCTTGCTCATGACTTTCCGCTTGCTCCTTGGATTTATGTTCTTTTCCAACGCTCTAAGGCATTTATTGGCATCATCTACCAGCGCCTGAGAAGTAGGCACGCTCTTACCGCCAGGCCCATGGCGTAGCTCCGTTAGTTTCTCAATGGCTCCCCCAAGGTCTGCGACTTGGTGTTGCAAGGATTTAATTTCATCGCTAGCATCCTTCACCCCCCGAATGTAGCCCCCACAGATATTCACAATACTCCCTGTGAGCTGAATGAGAGCGATAACGCTGGCTGTAGTCGAAAGACCATCCATTTCAAAGTAAAGCAATGAACCTTGGTTTTCTCGGCAGATTAGACTTCAGTCTTGAAACTTGCAAGAGTTTCTTCTTGGGGTGCTTATAAAAGAGGGGTACGCGCCAAGAGTGAGGCAGTAATCCAGAGCGAATTTCTATTGGCCCAAAATAAGCCAATAGTTCCTGCTGCTCGGCCACAGAGGGGAGGTTGGGTTTTGTATGTCGGGGGGTCACGCCTGGCCGTGCAGGTCCCAAAACAATGTAAGAACGGTCGAGATCAAATCGTAATGCGATGCGATGGTCTGAGACCTGCTAGGCCCTGCTAAAAATTGAAGTATGGTATGAGATACTCATGCACTGGTGTCTATATATAAAGCCTCTAGCAAATCTGACCAACACTGATGTCCTGGCGTACTAAATGCACCCCTCCAAAGCTTTGATCTGATAAAGGCAAATGACACTCGGCCAGGGCAAGTGTTAGGGGCTATAGATTAGGCACTGAAAACCAGAAGGGACAAAGTTGTATTGGGAAGAGAGGAGCGAGCTCCCAAACAACTATCTAGCTACGAAGGTCTGTGCCTGAGGGACCAAGGCATCTGCCGTAACAGTACGGAGTACTGCCTCGAAAGGCTACCCACTGGTAGCAAAGAGTTATGAGAAAAACAATACACCTGCGAGAAAAAATCAGTATGGGAGGGGAAGGACACGTCAGCGGTTCAGGGGTGTGCAGGATATTCAGGTGTAGAATAGTGGTGTTCAGGGCATTTAGGTGAATGGGCTGAAGGCGCCAAAGAGTAAGTAGGGCGGCAAAAGGGAATTTCAAATGAATCAGAATAATAAATAAAAAGAAATCAAAAGAAAAAACATACAACAGCGAGGATTCGCTGGTAGTCACTCACAACTACTAGCTCATCAGTGTGCGAGTTCACATTCTATGTGGTCAATACGGAGTAGTTCGGTGGGTGCAGCCCGGGTGAGACATTGATGGGCCGCTTTACACACAACCGGGGTTGACGAGGGTGAATGCGTAATAGAAGGGGGTGAGCATCAAGGTGAGAGCCGGATGGGGGGATACTGCGGGCTGACAAGATCACCGCATAGACCACCCGGCCAGGCTATGTATGCCTGGATCATTGGCTGTGACTGCTGCTAAACTGTGTTTGCCTCACGCCCGCCCCCATCTTTGATGCTGATCACTATACCAGTTTGTGTTAGTGTCATGCAGGGCAGCACCGATATACATAGCACCTGGACAAACACCTGGGAAAACTCAGCCCCCTCGTCCTTTATGCTGGATGGATTTTATTTAGTTCCATCAAATTTCCTCAACCCCTCTATTGATCCTAAACCGAATCAACCCTATCAGAAACTGTATCACTATCAATGGCTTCCCAATATACTAGTCTAAGAAATGGCATCAAAATGAAAAACCGGAGCTGGAGATCCCTTTGCCTGGACACATGGTTTCCAGAAATAGTTGCGACACTATTCAGCATCATATGTTTCATTGCAATATCTTGCATTCTCTTTGCCTATAATCAAGAGATCCGACCGGAACTTCACTACGGCCTATCCTTAAATGCTATTATCTCTGTATTAGCAACAGGCTGCAAATCATCCTTGATCTTTGTGATAGGAGAGGCTATGGGTCAACTAAAATGGACTTGGTTCTACGCAAAGCCTAATAAGCTTCTCGATATACAGACACTTGATAGTGCCAGTCGAGGGCCCCTTGGTTCGATCGCGACCTTGTTCCACAAACCGAGACGATCACTCGCTTCTCTTGGGGCAGCGGTTATTATACTTCTGCTTGTTTTCGATCCGTTTATTCAGCAGATTATTAGCTATCCTACTCGGTTGACCGCTAGGCACGGTGGCATAAATGTTCCAACCACGAAGAAGTTGGACTACTTCGCTCCTGCAATAGACTATTTTTCTGTCTATTCCACAGGATTTTGGTCTGAGGATACTATGCTAAGCCCTAGTTGCCCATTGGGAAATTGTACCTGGACGAAATTCCAATCCAGTGGAATGTGTAGCCAGTGTTCTGATATCACGAAATCTATGGACCTCAAATGCGAAACCACCCAGAGCATCAATAGTTCCTATAGTGAGGGTGAACACTATAAAAATGAGACTGTGACATGCCACCTTGCCCCCCCACAAGGCAAATCAACCCAATTTGACGTAAACTTTTACACGTTATGGGAGGATTCGTCCCCGAACCCGGTGGGCTTGGATTATACAACAAGCGGAATCTCTTGGCATGTCTTTTCGGCCTATGGCCGTAGCCTGCAGTATAGGCGTCAGACCGGCGATGAGCCGTTTACTTGGCCAAGCGACCCACTGATGGTCCTGGGGTATGCTGAGATAGGGTATAATGAAGATTACCTCGACTCGGATCTTAGCGGTGGGATCAGAGTTGATAAGGTGACGGAGTGTAGCCTTGAACTTTGTCACCTCGAATACGAGGTGTCTTTCGGAAATGGCACCCCACATATCAATACCTCAGTCCTGGATTACGGGCAGTTATTCTGGAGAAACAGTTCAGAAGCTAGATCGAAGCAAATGCTCTGTTGGAAGCCGACATCTGGCCCGCCCCCGCCGGATATAATTATTGAGAATGTTACTATCAGTAATGACTCATTTGTCCGGCTAAGTCCAGTTGAAGGTGTCTTTTGTGGTATTGAGGATAATATCATACTAGATGAGAATGTGTTCACAGGATCTACGATCCACGTACACGGTCGGCTTAGGAGTGAGCATGGGTATGGGCAAGATTATGATGTGATGAGGGAGGATAGTGATCGCAACGTTCTTCGTATTGGCTCTGTCGGTCTTGACGTTATCATGTCTAACGTTGCTGGACATATGAATAAGGAAGGATTGGCCCGCAATGGCTCAGATGTGAATGGTATCGCATATGTCACCGAAGTATTCGTGGAGGTGCAGTGGCTCTGGCTGATCCTTCCGATCATACTAGTGGTCTCAGGGACCATTTTTATTGTGATCGTCATTATTGAAAACAGAAAGAATGGCACGAATTTATGGAAGTCGTCTGTGTTGGCTTTTTGCTATCACGGATTACATGATGTTGACAAAGATGATTCCATGGCCGCCAGTGTTATGGAGAGAAAAGCCGAAGAATTGATTGTTCGGCTTCAAGAATCTGAGGATCATGGAGGCTTGGTTCTACGAGAAAAGAAAAATTTGTTGGAAGTTCATGAATAAGCCATTGTTGAGAACTACTAATAATTCATAATTATATGCAACAATAATACCAATCCAGCACAACTAGATTAGAACAAATGACGATATAATTAGCAGATGTAAACTTCTACTAGGTTAAGGGAAGTTTCATCAGATCTTCAAATGGCCCGTATCTTTGTTAGAAGTGGTAGAGTGCAGGAGTAGACTATTTGCTGGGAACCAATGCATCTCTCGCTGTTCCCAATTCTGACCTCACCATATTGTATATCTGCGCTACAGCCTTGGCAGCGGGGCCCGGAAAGAGTAAAACAATCAGGAGGGTAAAAGCTGTTTTCGTGGTCGACTGTACTGTAACACGTTTTGCCCCGACTGGTCGCATTTGCCGCTCTATGTTTTCAAGTAGGATCTGACGACCAGTCAAATTGACGCCAAAAATGGCCGCTTCCGAGGCTGGGAACGGTTCTCTTTCCATCTGTAGTTTTCAATGTTGAGTTGTCAAAGCTAGGGTTCTGAAAAGAATGAAGGGTTATGAATATACACCATTTTCGTCTTCGCCATATTTTTTATTTGCGTGGTTAAATGAATTATATATGTTCGTATCATTTATATTTATAAGATTCATATTCTTTTCGAAATCCTAGTCAAAGCGAGCCGAATCTGCATAGGCTAGTCTTCATGGAGATGAATAAGAACTACCGGAATTATCAAGTGAGCGATTGATTGATTAAAGAAAGATATTTCTAAGTGCACAGGAAGAAAAGGGGTCGTGCTGGGCCGTCCTCATATGTCACACCCCCTTCTTCAACCACCCATCATGCCACCAATATATTCACAAAAGCCCCTAGATGCTGAGCATCAGGAGACCGTATCCAACTTGCTATTCAAGTCTATCGGAATGGCGATTTTAGAAGCATACACGCTGCTGCGGCTTCATTTGATGTGCCGCGCAATACCCTTACACGCAGGCTCAATGGCACACCTTAACGCGTAACAGTACGCGCCAATTCACACAGATTTACCCAATTGGAAGAGGATTCGCTAGTAAATTGGATTAAATCAACTGATACACGTGGATTCGCCCCTCGCCGTACTATGGTAAAAGATATGGCCAATTTGCTGTTAGCAAAGCGTGGAGATGCAACCCCCCTAACAGTTGGGCATACATACATGCTACGTCTTGGCAACCCCAATTTTGGTCAACCGCCATTCTTACTGATGATTACAATACTGCTGTACCCGTGTAATAGGATCCCAGACGCCCCACTTCAAAAGCGCTAAACACGACGTCAGGAACGTCCTAGGGGCTTTGTTGCTCCTGGGACCTCCATTTCAGTTCCCAGCGTACGTTCGGGATCGAGCCAGGAAATGATGTCACTCAGCCTTACTGGTGGACGATTAGTGGGGCTCTGTGGGGATTCAGGAATTCTAATCTAAAGGGACAGTAAACCCTCAAGAATAGGTACAACGGCTTAAATGTTGAACACAGCAACTTTGCGGTACATTTACCCTTACGGACAGTTCTAAAAAGATTATTCTAGAGAATAGCGCAAGTTCACTACTAACGTGGATCAACTCAAGCACAACCAGCTCGGTACAAAGATGCTTCGGCGGAACAGACCGTTGAAATCAGCATGTCCAAAGATGAGGCACAGAATCTGTTGTACTTGAGATACCTGCACGTGGTTTAAGTTAAGTCTAGTAAACGTTAGTCAACGGTTGAATGAGATGGTCGATCCGTCAGGGAAATTTTGAGGTATATGATGAGAAATTAGTTGGCTCAAAATCTTGAGGTTGGCGGATTGTGAGGAAGCTGAGACAGGTTTATCAACTAGATAAAATATATAAATCCTCATCTTACTGACAGAGTGATCTACCTATAAGCCGCAATCTTTTCTGCGGAATGCTTGAATCTACTCACTCACTTCTCCATCGAAGCCTACTCAAAACTGACTATTCAATCAGAACCCATAGTCATCAAGCAATACCTTCACCTATAAATACCCCGTCAGCTGTCCCCGTCAGCTATTAGCTCTCTTGGTATTCTGAAGCACATAACCGTGTAGGTTTTGTCGGTGAGGGCAGCTAATTCATCTCGCGCATAGAACTTATTACTCACAAGAGATTTAAGTGTTCAGGCAGGGAATGTATATATCCTTATTTTCAAGATCTATTAGCGAGTGACTGCGTAACATCTAATCACCAAAGCTTAGAGCCTACAGAAGCGTGTTCAGTAGAACAAACAGAGAATAAGAAAGGTAAGCCTTTTCTTTCTATATATCAGAATCATTTTTCGCTAACTACTAGCTCTGTCGAATAGCTTACTCTCAGCGAGATCATACAATATATCCTTCGCAGCAGGAGGTTTTTAAATCATACTAATCATATCACAATTTGCATCGTCGGCTAAAAGACTATCACATTCACAATACAATATACGCAGATTGTAGGCATATCACAAAGAACGCTTTTCAGGTTTTTCTTAGAATTAGAAATTTGAGGTTTCCGACACTTATCACGTACATAAATTAGCGTAGACAAGCCTTTATAAAGGGACCATCGGCAACATTCAAACAAAGAGGAAGCAGCGATTAGATCACTAAGCTTATAATACCCATAACTGGGGGAATCAAAACCTAGACAATTTTGCGTAAGAAGCTGACAGACATCAGATAGTTTAGCCCACCCATCGTCATCAGAAACTGCTTCTACCGTTATCCGTAACTGACTCTCTATATACCTGATATTTTAGGCTTGCTTCGCTGGCAATTAATTCCCGGACGAAGTCGTTTCATTCGTATGAGGCACAAGTTCCTCAAGATAAACGAGGTTTTCGGTATAAATAGATTTATCGCAAGCAGCAACAAAGGGTTACGGTATCTTCCGCTCTCCAAGTCCGTACACAGTCAGCCCTAACTCCTGAATACGAGCGGCCAACCAAGTAAAATCACTATCGCTTGACACAAGGCAGAATCCGTCATATTGGTTAGAGTATAGGAGATCCATTACATCTATGATCATAGCTGAGTCAGTCGCGTTCTTACCGTGAGTATACGCGAACTGCTGGATTGGTTGAATCGATTGCTCAAGAAGCTTATCCTTTCAGCCCTTCAAATTGGGGCTACTCCAGTCACCATAAGCTCGTTTCGCAAAGGCTGCACCATACTTGGCAATCTCGGAGAGAAGAAGATTGATCGTCGAGAATTGCGCGTTGTCCGCGTCAATTAGAACCGCTAGCTTGGATATGTCGTCACCAGCCATGGGAAATGGAAGTGAATGAAGCATGGAGGTGTTTGAAGCGCGGAGGTTGAATCGCAGTAACACCTTCTTGTAAAGGTTGCTTTGACTCAATTGCATCAAAAAGGTATATCAGGTCATGACGTACGGTTGTGGGCCTGGCGTGCCGAAAGAGGTAAGCGTTTCTCTCTTAACTGCCCTCAGAGATAGGTCGAGGATGATTGGTTTATCACTGGTGGTAATTATAGAACCAGCAATTTATAGTATAAGCTCATCTGGGTACTAACTTGCTGGTTCTATAATTGCCGGCCGTGTGAAGCTTATCAGCCTGAATCTATTTAAATAGGCAAATGATATTCTGTCAAAAATGCGGGGAGAACATCAGAACGCCGAGCAGCGGTTAGTGAGCTTGATCGCCGAAGGACCCAATTGCTTCATGTTGTCTCTTGTCTATGTTGCTTTTAACTGGTTGGATCGGCTAGATCAGCAAACTCCAACGAAACAACAAAGAAATTCAATAAATTTAGCGCAGAACCAGGTGATATCAAAACAGCCAAGGCGGAACGTTGGTCCTATATAAAGATCCCATCTCCCCGGACTCCCCGGACTGCCAGTTAAAAGCTGAGATCTGTGCTTTCATTATTTTTTCCTGCAGTGCCACCATAATACCTGACAGATATCGTTGCCTAGTCGGAGATGAACTGTTTTCATACAAAGTTCCTCAAAGAAAATCAGCAAGGAATATAATGTAAACATGGATATCTCCCGAGTTATCAAACCCTGGAAGCCCAACCCTCAAAGAAATTTGGTCTTTGTAAATGCCACCATTGTTGACCCAGCTGAGGGCAAACTGATCCAGAATGCTACAGTCCACATCTCAGAAGGCAAGATCATTCAAATCATCACAGATGGCTCGACTACCACAACAAATGGCCTCCCCGAAGAAAATGTGATCGACCTGAGCGGAAAATACCTGTGTCCGGGTCTGATCGATTGCCATGTCCACATCGCAGTCGTTCCCGGCGAAGTAAATCTACAGGCCTACAAAGAGATGAGCGAGCAGGTCAGTCTCCTGCGACAGCCATACGTGCTCAAATCCATGCTAGACCGCGGCTTCACATCAATCCGGGACTGCGGCGGCGCAAGCCTCGCGATCAAGGAAGCTGTTGAGGACGGCGTGATCCCGGGTCCACGTCTGTTCATCGCTGGGCACGCACTCTCCCAAACTGGTGGACACGGCGACCTGCGCGGGTCCCACGACACGCAGATCTGCTGCGGCGGTTCTATCTCAGGAATCAGCAGGACTGTCGACAGCCCAGCGGAGTGCTACAGGTATGCACGTGAGGAGCTGCGCCAGGGAGCGGACTTTATCAAGATCATGGGGGGTGGCGGTGTTGCCAGCCCCACGGATCGTATTGAGCATGTGCAGTTCTCAGATGAGGAGATTAGGGCTATTGTCACTGTTGCACGGAACGCAGGTACATATGTCACGAGTCATAGCTACACGCCACGGGCGATTCAGCAGGCTATCAAGCTTGGAGTGCGCGGTATAGAGCATGGTAATCTTATTGATCTTGAGACGGCGGAGATGATGTCTGAAATGGATGTTTTCTTAACTCCGACGCTCATTACGCATGTCATGTCCAAGCAGATGAATTTCCTGTCTGCTGATGGCGCTGCTAAGAATGAGGAGGTTCTTGAGAAGGGATTAGAGACAATGAAGATGGCCGTGGATGCGGGGGTGACCGTCTGCTTTGGGACTGATCTTCTTGGACCAATGCATTTTGCTCAGAGCAAGGAGTTCTCGGTGCGCAGTTCTGTCTTGACTCCATTGCAAATTCTGCGCAGTGCTACTGTCAATGCTGCTCGTCTTGTTATGCAGGAACATAGGTTGGGTCAAGTTCGTGAGGGATTTATGGCAGATTTCTTGATCTTGAAGGGAAATCCGTTAAAGGATATCACTATTCTAGATCGAGTGGAGGAGCACATTCTAGCTGTGATCAAGGATGGGAGGGTTGCCACTTCACGGTGGGACAAAATCAAAGTGGATTGTTGAGGTTTTCATGGAGTAGAGTGTAACTCTCTGTTATGTCAATGATACTAAAGATATATATATGGATACTTAAATGGTGGCTCTCAGTCTGGACGCGCGGCACAGAAGAGAAACGTAACATTGGTATAACCTGGGTTTGGGTTGTCCCCGAAGCTGCTCCGTGGCGTAGGAGAGGGGGGTTAGAGTATCAAATGTCTCATTGTAGAATTCCCACCCTGGGAATATGTTTTCCTCATAGTGAATTGCATTTGGTTCTTCGTGTCTATATTCCATATTCATCAAAGTTATACATAGAAAAGCCCATTTCACAGATTAAGCATTTCTCCGCCTTTTCCTGCCGTTTATCTATACAACTGAGATGAGCAGCAAAATATATAAAAAACAAAGACAATTAAAAAGACGTTCAAAAGGACAACCAAAAATATTAACTAAAAAGATATCACAAGGCCGCAAACGCGGCCGACTATTCTTGTGTAGTTGAACCAGGTGGAGTAGAAGGATTCCAAAATTTATGCTTTTGTGGGGCGCTTCCCCAGCTCCGCCCTAAACCTAAAAAAACACATGGTCTCCTCGGGCATCAAGATCCCCCTATTTCTGATACACCTTCATATTCACCATAACTGTGATGGCTGAAACTATAGGGGTCATCTCGGGTGCCATCACATTTGCAACTGTTGTTATTCAGGTCGGAAATTGCATAGCCATGCTAAAGAATTGTTGGAATCAGTCACGAGATGCCCCTAAAGACCTACGCAAAACAATACAAGAAATCGAGCTTTTCGGCCTTATTCTATCAGACATCGAAGAAGATTTATCACATCAATCAGTGTCATCTGCCCTGAATAACAGCAAACATGGCCAAATATGTTTTGCACTCTGCAAGGAGGCTGCCGAAGACTTGGACATTGTGTGCAATGATCTCATGGGGAATTTAGGTGCTTCTAGTCGCTTGCGCAGGTCATATAAAGCTATGAAAGTGGTGATGCACATCAACAACGTTGAAAAACACAGATCACGCCTACAGAACGTTATACGACTACTCATCTTATCTCAACAATGTTACACGAGGTGTGCCAACCATTTTTTGCCCGTGACAGCAGACGTTGGCCTAATGAATCCAGAGCGCTCATGCAGATTCAGCCGGAATTGATTGCCAGCAGAATAGCACGACGTGAGGCCCATGTTGAAAAACAAGAATTTAGCGTGTCTACCTGTGGTATGATTCTCTGTTGCATCCATGGAGGTTATCCAACTGAAAGGGCTGACATATAATTCAAAAATAGATCCATATGGGGGTAAAGAAAAGCCCAGAGCGTCACAAGCCAAGGCATTTGCATTTTTCTCGAGCAGCAGCTATGCATGGCGTTTCAGTCTACCATCCTGGATGACATCTCAGATCTTAGAAGTGGCTGGTATGAGGGCACCTGGTGGATGGAATTGGATTATGCGAACCTACAGCGAAATCCCATACACTTCAAAAGCGGTTCATTTCACGCGTTGTGGTGATGTCAAAGGTCTTCAGGATCTATTCACATCGGGTAAAGCTTCACCCTTCGATCGAGTTGATTTTAATGGGCACACATTACTTCATGTAAGCATTGTACCCAACAAAGGGATCGTCCTGATATACTAAAAGGTTTCAAGTATGCCAATGGCCGAAATAGAGAAGATGTACTCGAGTTTCTCTTGTCTCAAGGGGCAGACCCATCCATTTCAGGTCTTCATTCTCTGACGCCGCTTCACTGGTTGATATGGTGCCAAGCCGGGGTGAAAAAAGACCAGCCTATGATCCCGTCTATGCGTATCCTACTTCGCTATTCGGAGGATCCTATCTATGAGACTGCGGAAGAAACGATCGGCGGGATTTTATCCGATTTTCATGGCACAGCCGAGGAGTTTCTGTTCTTGCAGCAGCGCTGCTGCCCAAACTTTTATCAATTACCCCAATCAACCCGAATCACAATAGCTACTAGGGGTGCTTCTGTGCCTTTGGATCCTCACGATACCCCTGAGCTAGTCAAAACTATTCTCAGAGAAGACCAATTGAAAGCTGAGAGCCTCCAGTCAATTACTCGATCTCCTGTTAATTCAAGGCAAATTACGTTGGTTTCCTGTGTTGCAAGGAAGATGGGCTGGGTTCATACGTTGCTATATCATAATTCTCAATCGAGGCAAATGCATTTGCACGGAGGATTTGAGTGTGGAAATCAAAAACTCAGGTGCGAATTGTGGAGCGGCCTATTTCGAGAATTTTTGTTAGCTGGGGTAAATCCCCATCATATTGTTGATGGGAAAACTCCATTTCTCGCGTTCCTTCAGGGATATTTTGATCTGCAGGATGGGACACAGGAAGAAAACCAGATCAGTGGCTTAGTCCTTCGAGTTTGGCTGAGAGAACTTGCAGCTGCTGGTGTTGATCTTGTGCGTTTCGGTCAAATGGAGAAGCTCATTTGGACAGACGAAGATGTTCGGAGAGAGTTTCCTTGGCGGTATGATCAATGGACTACGCAACGGGTGATCAGTTTCACTTATGGTCCTTTTCCTGAGGATTGGTGTATATGGCTGTCTGAAGGATCTGATTCATTTGCAGGGGATTTTTGGGACCTGGTTGACCGGCCGGTTAAGTTGATGCCAGGCACATGGCCCGATAATTAATCGTCCGGAATTGCTTTGGATACATCCGTAGTTGAATAATTACTGTAATCTTTATGACAGCAGAGACTTCATTTTTATTGTTTAGGCTGAGAAAGCCATGTCGTAGTAGTTGGCCAGTTGGCCATATATAGCCTTATAATCCAGGCATCCAGGAACAAAGGCGGTGTGGGTCTAACCGCGCTCATGTGCCTGAGCTCATCCCGCAGTTCGGCCCTGATGTCGTCTCGATCTTCAAATTCCTGAGCCTTCCCTCTGCACTGGAAACGAGGATCGGCTGCACTCAGGATGCTTACTGCTAGATTGACTCACCCATCTCTTTTATTGTCGTCTTTTTAGCCTTCTATCTTGACCTCGTCCTCCCTTCCCTCGAATATTACTTTCCTTTAGCTCTCTGCACTCGTCTACCTTGGCACAGGGAACCAAGTACAGGGAGCTCTCCATCATTTAATAAGAAATACCGTTTCCAGAAAGAGTCATTGTCGCTCGTTTGTCTTGAAGTTACTGTATCTGCATCTCGCCACAATGCCTGGTCTACCGAGTATGTACATGGTTTTTTTTATTCCAGGACATGGTTATCTCAGTGGTAATGCTAACCTGTCGCTTCATAGCGAATATCGATCTCGATGAGTGTATCGCCCGGCTCTACCGAAAAGAGCTGCTCGCGGATTCGGTGATCGAAGCGATCTGCCTCAAGGCAAAGGAACTTTTGATGAAGGAAAGCAATGTGGTACATATTGCTGCTCCAGTCACTGTGGTCGGCGATATTCACGGACAATTCTTTGATATGATCGAGATCTTCAAGATCGGTGGCTTCTGTCCGGATACAAATTATTTATTCCTTGGTTAGTCTCACCCGGAGGATGTTCTGATCGGGGAGGAAAGCAGACCTCGGCCTTGAACCTATTTGTTGCCCGCTTTTGTCGTGAGGTGTTGCTGATAAAAGACTCGATAGGTGATTATGTCGACCGCGGCCTATTCAGTGTTGAGACCATCTCACTTCTGGTGTGTCTCAAGCTACGATACCCTCAAAGAGTGCACCTTATCCGAGGTAACCACGAGTCGCGCGGCGTCACCCAATCCTACGGTTTCTACACCGAGTGTGCCCGCAAGTACGGGAACGCCAACGTGTGGCACTACTTCACCGACATGTTCGACTTTTTGACGCTGAGCGTTGTGATTAATGATGAGATATTCTGTGTACATGGCGGCTTGTCACCTTCAATCCACTCAATCGACCAAATCAAAATTATCGACCGTTTCCGCGAGATCCCACACGAAGGTCCCATGGCCGATCTGGTCTGGTCTGACCCCGATACAGAACGTGATGAATTCTCACTTTCACCCCGTGGTGCTGGATACACATTTGGAGCACAGGTTGTGCGGAAGTTCCTAGAGGTGAACAGCATGTCCCACATACTGCGCGCACACCAACTCTGCCAAGAAGGCTACCAGGTTCTTTACGATGATCGCCTGAGCACGGTTTGGAGTGCACCCAACTACTGCTACCGCTGCGGAAACTTGGCTAGTGTGCTAGAAGTGAGCGACACTGGCGAGCGCTTCTTCAATATTTTTGACGCTGCACCTGAAAATGACGCCCACCGCCTTGAACAGCTAGGTCAGCAGCAGCAGATCAAGGATGGCTCTGGCCCAATGGTCGACTACTTCTTGTGAATCTCTGAATCTTCTCATGATACCCATTGGTTACTGTTAATGTTTTGTTTGATGTTAATGTTCATGTATTTCAGTTTCCTTTTTTTTTTTCCAACCCCCCGCACTAGACAGGAGTTCGGGATAAAGCTGTGCATTCACCAACAGCTACATGTGCTATTTGGCATCTGAAATGAAAATACCATACACCAATAATTGAGACTCGGTATGACGCATAAACAATAAAACTGGGGTCCAAAGCATCGGCCCAGTGGGACGCATCTCTAACAGTTTTGTCAAAGAAAGAAACTCATCACGCTTTGAAAACAAACGGCCGCTCAATAACTTAACGAGATAGTGCTCTCAACTCAAGTTTACCAGTCCTTGGCAATGTCAAAAGACCACTCGAACAGCAGGTGAGTGTGCTGGTCGTCATCGATGAACTTCGAAACGGCGTTGTAGTGGCCACGAGCGATCATGCCAGACGGGGCCTCCTCCTCGTTGACTAGAAAGAGGTAATGTTAATAAACGCCAGATTTGAAAACTAAGAGATAGAAGTAGAAGCCAGGTATAAATACTCACATTCCTTGGAATAGTCAACCTTGGAGGTGGTGTTGGGTGCGTAGCTGCCCAACATCTCCTCGTCCTTGCTGACCCGGATTCCCTTACGCTTGACGACCTGCAGGTACTTGAGGCCACTCAGGACTTCATGGTGGACCTGGAAAGTAACCTTGATGTGGAACTTGGAGCCCTCCTTGATCTTGAAAGGCTTATCCTTAAGGCTGTCAACAGAGCCCGGGGAGGAGAGGTCGATGACAACATCCTCACGCCCGTCGACCTGCAGGGCCAGGGACTTGATGATACACTTGCGAGGGTCGTTAGGATCAGCAATGGGTTCACCGGAGTTGAGACCCAAAGAGGCCTTCCAGCGGTTCATAGCTTCATCGTCCTTGTCTATTGCGGGGGAGAGAAAGACAGTTAGCTGGGAAATCACCGTGGGCAAGATATTGCTAAGCAATTGTAATTGACAGAACATACCAAGCTGGTTGTACTCATCGAGGGTCTTCTTCTCTCCGACCTTGAAACCCTCAGTGGCAGTGGAAGCAAGCTCGTCGTCGTGGTGGTCGGCCATTGTTTACAGATTTAGAAGGCGGGGGTGCACAGAACCAAGGATTGGGGTTCGGGTAAGTGATGTCGAGAAAGGGGGGGAATTGGACAATGAGGAAAAAGAAGAGACAAATTTGAAACTCCAAATGATAAAGAAAAATAAAAAGGGCTAAAGCTCGAAGCGTCTCCTGAGACCTTGGTGGGGGTGGAAAGGCGGTGGGAGAGGGGCGAGGCTATTCGGATTCCCACTTCTGTATGCACGTTTACGCACCGTTGATCCTGCACGGTTATAGTGACCAGGTGTTTATATTGCCTACATTATATGCGCCAAGTCTTGCTTTCTACTGGCAATGTGTAGATTGTAGATGTGGAAGATTAAAATGACTCTACACTCTACACTATATAGACCCCAACTATGCCCCAATTTGGGGTATGGGGCTGACGATCATGCAACTAGACGTACGTAGTTGCCCACGTTGATGAGACTTGTAGATTGTAGATTTATTCCCGAAGGTACATATATTAGAATATGTTGTTATATGTACATGGAGTATTGATCGATAAATTTATATATGTTGTATATTGAAAATATATATACCTCCATGTACTCCGTGGGAAAAGGAGGGAGGATTTCAATAACTACTAGTAGTAAGTCAATGCAGTATGGAAATTTGGAAGCCTTGTGCTCCGTATATAACTTGCCATATATGTTGTAGGAACAAATGTCCAGAAACATGTTAATATAGTAGACAAAGACAGACCGTAGGGAAGACGAAGATCAAGTCCAAAGAAGGAAAGTGTTGGCCCGGAATGTTAAGGTCACGGGGCCAACAAATAGAATACAGTGGGGTATATTACATACGCTGTATCAAGGTAATTGGCCAACCACAGCTACCAAATACGACACATGACCACCCATTTACCGGACCTTACCGGAACAAGCCAAGCTTCAGAACGACGCAACGATTATTCGCGACTCGCATCTTCTCATCTCTCCTGATTGTCTTCTTTATCTTGAGATCCTTTTTTTTTTTTTTTTCCTCCTTATCAATCGTAATTTTGGTTGCGCCATTCTCTTTTGCCAAGATACAAGATCTGTTGGTGGTAATATTTGATTCTTTGATTTTTGTCGCTTGACGCGCCTGCTACGTGGCCAACGTTGGCGCATCTTTCCCTCCAGTCACAAAGTCACCCGCAAGATCTTCATTTCCACTTCACTCGACATCCCCCACCATGTCGCGAACACTCCCAAAACAGTTTAATCCACTTATCACGATCGAGGTTGCTCCCACCTGTAAGTGCACACACTGGCGCGTGGTGGCGCGACCGCGCGCATCGGCTATCTACCCGCCTCGTGCTCCCTCAATGCCTCAAGGCTATCGCTGACGATTTCGTGTTATTCTTGATTACAGATGACGAGCTCCTTGCCCGCCGTCGTCTTGGGAAGACCAACCTCTCCGTCAAGCCTGCCCAGATTGGCACCACAAACGCAACCAAGCCCGAGAACCTAGGCGTGTTTGAGTATGCTCACCTCCGTGCTCCGCTGCCCAAGGATCTGGAGGGCTCCGAGATCTTCCCTTCCCACACCTCCCAGCAACACCCAGGAAGTTACTTTTTGATGGTGAGACCTCCTGTTTAATTTGCTTTAGAAGCCACCGATCACTAACTTCGGGCCTCATCATTACAGCGCCGTAGTAAAGATGGCTTTGTTAGCGCGACTGGAATGTTCAAAATTGCTTTCCCATGGGCCAAGGCCGAGGAAGAGAGGACAGAGCGCGAGTATCTGAAGGCTCGCGAGTACACTAGTGAAGAGGAGGTTGCTGGCAACGTGTGGATCTCGCCCACATTTGGTATGTTCTGCCCAGAATATTCTCTCCATCCAACAAATTCTGACTTCATACCTAGCCCTTGAGCTCTCCAAGGAATACCAAATGTATGATTGGGTGCGAGCACTGTTGGACCCAACGGACATAGTTCAAAGTCCTTCCAGTGCAAAGAAGCACGTCACTCCCCCGCCGAAATTCGAAATCCCCTTCGATGAGCCGCCCGTGTCGCAGCGCAACCGCAGAGGTCGGTCCGCTTCTCCAAGCAAGAAGTTGTTGTCTCCTCGGAAGCCCCGCAGCACTCGCATCACCAAAGATGTCACTAGCACTCCGTCCACAACGGCTGCAAACGCTAGCCTTCAGTCGGCATTAGATACAGCTTCAGCCCTCCCGGACACGATTCCTGAGTTGCGAGCTGTGGGCGGCGAAACGGAAGTGACGCCAAGCGGATCTCCCGCAAAGCATATTAGAGCGCGCAAGGTAACGAGATCTGCTACCGCGGAGCCCGAAGAGGAGACGAAGGAAGAGAAGAAGAAGGAAAAGAAGAAGGCCGAGAAGAAAGAGAAGAAGGTAGAGGATATCAAGGAGCAGGAGGAGACAGTTGAGGTATTAGTGGCCGACGATGCCACTGATGCTATCAAGTCCACTCACACTACTGTTTCCCTGGATATGCCTATCAGTCTGCCTGAGGTGCCCTCTGCGGCGGAGACCGAAGAGATGATTGCCCAGGCCAAGGAGATGGTGGAAGAGGCCATCAAGGCGCAAGCCGAAGGCGCTACTGCCGAGTCGACATCTGTTAAGACGACCATCAAGCGCAAGGCCGAGGAGGACGATGACGAAGAGACATCGGCTGAATCTTCCCAACGAGCCAAGAAAGCCAAGGTGCTCGAGAACAAGCTTAAGCAGGAGCGTGTCCGCAACCGCTCTATCTTCGGTGTCTCCGTTGCCTTTGCCCTTGCGTAAGTCACTCTGTGCCACGAAAATTCCGAATCCACGCTAACATCATATATAGGGCTTCCATCCCATACTTTTTCTAAATGGAATGAGGCTTTGCTTGACAAAGCCCAGTCTGTTTTGAAAATTTAGTCTCTTCTTTTCGGTGTGTCTGTCGCTTGCGATAGACCAGCTACCCAAATATTCGCTTCTGATGCCCAATTCCCCTTGTCGTTATCATAAATATATTCCTCGCCGGCGATCCTGAGTGCCCTGTACCTGTTATTGACACCATTTTCTAATATTTTGCCCTCCTCTTCCCCTTCCTCTCCTCGTGTTCTGCACCAGACTTGGTTATTTGGATTGCTTCTTATCTCATTTTATCCCCCTCACCCTTGCTCTCCCCATACAGCTTCCTCCCTCTCCCACCTTCTACTGCCCCACGGCAGCCTTCCAAGTAGTCAAGGACGATTCGCTCAATGACAGTGATATGCTCTGATGTTACCACTTTGTGTTTCTTGTAGGGCTATGATCTGTATATTGATTTAAAACGATCTTGATACAGCTGATATCAAAATCTTTCAAGGTTCTACCTTGTGCTATATTTTATTCCGACGTAGTATCGCTCAAACATTGAATGATGTAGGATGTAGTTCTATTAGGGCATTATGGGATTGTGAATGTTATAGCTACGTTTATTATCCCCTAGATGCACATTGATTTGAGCATATGTCATAGTGCCTTTCTACCATTGTCGCAGGCATTCACACCAACGGGCCAATGACGGCTAAGTAACGGCAATGCAAACATGTAAAACATCCATGCTGAAGCTCCGCACCCCGATAACAATTCCAATGCTTCTTTCACCTATTCAACGTTTGCACATATTTCGAGGTTTCTCATATTGACCGATAACATGTCGCTCCCCGGTCTCGAGCTAACGCAGCCATCGGAGGAAAGATCGCAGGCACCAGCGCCCCCATCGCAGATCAGCCTGACCCCAGGCTCGGAGTGGCGGTTTGAGGTCGCATTTGGACATGTTATCAAAGTAAAGGTATGTCATATTATCTGATATGATTGGGATCCTTCTGATTCAAGTTGTGCAGCTTCTCAATGGAACGGCCGAACTATTCGGAACAGAGCTTGCCGAATCCCAAACCTACACATTCACCGGCACAAAAGCGGCAATCTTCACATGGCATGGCTGTGCACTCGAAGTCACCGCGGTCGAGACAGCATCAACAACCTCTGATGGAGTCACACCGACAGTGGGTCACGGCGCAGGAGGCTGTCAAAGCGAATACACGGCCGAGGAAACGCCAATGGTAGAATATGCCAACGTCCACTTTGCGCTGGAGACAATGCGCGAAGAAGCTCAATCAATAGGCAAGGATGGCCCGCGTGTACTCCTTCTCGGCTCTGAAAATACCGGAAAGACTAGTTTGGCTAAGATCTTGACTGCATATGCGACGAAGATCGGCCGTCAGCCGTTGGTCGTGAACCTCGACCCTACGGAGGGTATGCTTGGTGTCCCTGGTACACTGACCGCAACTGCCTTCCGTACCATCTTAGACGTCGAAGATGGCTGGGGAAGTAGTCCCATGTCCGGGCCCAGCCCTGTACCTGTCAAGCTGCCGCTGGTGTACAGTTACCCGATGCAAAGCCCACTGGATGGCGAAGGTGTCGTGTACCGCCCAGTGGTCTCGCGTCTTGCGCTATCTGTCACGGGCCGGATGGCCGAAGACGAGGATGCGCGTGAAACGGGAATTATCGTCGATACGCCCGGAATCCTTGGCACAGACAAGCCTGGCACCATGGAACTCATTAATCACATTGTCACAGAGTTCTCGATTACAACGATCCTGGTACTGGGTTCGGAGCGCCTGTACAGTACTGTTGCGAGACAATACGACAACAAGCCAACTTCCAGCGCAACAGCCGCTGTATTCGACGAGCACATCTCCGTCGTCAAACTTTCTAAATCGGGTGGTTGTGCTGACCGTGACGATGCCTTCCGCAAGGCAACACGGGAGTCCCAAATCCGTTCCTACTTCTTCGGAAACCCTATCCCCTCTTCCTCGCCATCTTCCGCCATCACACTGTCTCCCCATGCACAGCAACTTGACTTCGCGTCCCTCCCTGTATACAACTACACCGTCTCCTCGGCAGACGACGAAGACGAAGACGAGTACGACCCTTCCCAGCTGGGAACAGGCGACTCCTTCCTCCCCGGCGGTGGCGGCATGGATGACTACACCCCACAAGAAACAAAACAAGACCCAGACCGCGCTGCTCCCCTCCCTGGTGTAGTTGGCTCATTCTCGGAGTCCACTGACAACGCCAATTCCAACGCCAACGCCATCAACGGCAGCAGCGTCCCCCTGAAGAAGGTTCTCCCACCCGCTCCATCTGCCCTGGCAAATACCCTCCTTGCAATCACTCATGCACCTACCACGGCATCCCCCGCTGAAGTCCGTGACGCGAGCATCATGGGCTTCTTGTATGTTGCCGACGTCGATGCGGATAAGGGCAAAATCCGTGTGCTTGCGCCTGTTGGTGGGAGAATGCCTCCACGCGCTATCATATGGGCGAAGCGTTGGCCCGGGGAGTTGGTGGGATTGGTGGGTTAGATATTTCCTTTGCATTGCATTTCTCCCTTGCTTGTATTAGATATTTGCATCTATTCTTCGGATATGGAGTTGGGGATTTAGATTTCACTTAGCATGGGGTTGTGGCTCGTTAATACATACAATCAATCATTCTGCGGGTGTCCATTCAATGTGCATGTAGGTTATAATATCGTACTATAGCATGTCGCTTGCTTGTTGGGTTTTTCTGAACTATCTCCCCTTACGGCTACATATTACTAATTGGAATTATGCGTCGACTGTTCTTTTACCGAAGAGGCGATTCTGTTTACAAGAAGAAATAGCCATTCGAGACGTAGGAATAAGCTAAACAGAACAGACAAGCCGAAGACCTGGCCGAGGGCAGCCGCAGAATATTGATGTCCCTGAACCACAAGGCGTATTCTAATAATAACACCTAACATAGCCATATAGCCAGCTGTAGAATTAGTATTTAATTCCCTCTAAATGAGACTAGCTGCTAACCTAGTTACTAATCTAGTATTGAGGATGAATATTCTTTATAGAGGTATTATCATTACGTATGCATATAAGGTAGGGGAGGATGTACATTATACTCTACGTAGTAATTCCTACGACAATCCCCACTTCTTTTTAGCGCCGCCATCACTATAACGGATAGAGGTCCTTACAACTAGATTACCGAGGTGGTGATCGGCAAAGTCACAAGGTTATCACATATGAGATCGTTTCGAGCGGGGCATTTGATCGGGAAACCTCTAAAGTATGTTTAGACTTCCGCATAACCCAACTTCCAAGGTTTCGACCCAACTTTATGCATAAAATACATAAGTATGCCAAGACTTTCCTAGTTAGTCCTATTTATGCATTAAGTTGGGTCGAAACTGGGTCGAAAGTTGGGTTTCGAGTGGAGACGTATGTGATCAAAATGTTATCTTGTTATCTGAGAGTAGTTCATCGACGCCTTTCATGCTTGCATACAATTATCAGGTCGTGTGGACTCCAAGTAGTTGATCAGTGATGTAATTGCCACTAGTTACTGCGTGTTAATCGAATTCGCCAGATGCCCCACTATTATTGAGCTGTTTTCGATTTGAAAGCTGCTACTCTGGTTCGATTCATGCGTCAGAAGAGCATGGGTTTAGGTTCTAATCCGTTATTTACGGCAAGGGTTATGCTTTTATTTCTGCTTCTAGTAGTTCTTTCTCATGCCAGAATGCAGCATTTGACTCAGACTCATCGCTACTCATCGCTGGCACTTTTCGGGTAAGCAAAGGAGTCTAACTCAGAGATTCGCAAGACATCCCACTGACTTCTTGAGGCTATGTTCTGTACTGGAATTTGAGGGTGTAGACGAAAGGCTGCGATGCATATGGAAAGAACGAAGGGCGAATGACGTCTCAACACTATGCAAGGGCGGAGGATGTCCCATAAATGAATGATTCGAAGCTTATGATTGCGTCTTGTGGCATTTATGGCGGCTAACCTTGTATGCCACCGGGTCACAACTCTCTTATTGGCTTATATTGCCAGGCAGTACCTAGGTTGTAGGTATTTCTTTGTCCACATGCCCTGCCATGCCAGTCCGGCCGAGGACTACGCTAATGCATGCCCACCACCAGTAATAAATATGATATTCTTTCAAATGCATACAAGGAATTAATCATAGAAGATGCTGCGAGATACATACTGACAGTCAATGATAAATGATGATTGGTATTGGTATTACCAACAAAAAAAAGCGAGTAGGTGCATATACATTAGCGTAGTTCTTGAGATCAAAGGCATAGGAAGCCGGGAGGAAAATGCTATATTACGCAAACGCTCCTACCCTACTTGATCTCCTGTTATTCATAACATATTGTTGCGAATTGACATATAATCGGAACATCCTCGTTTTCTTTAGATATATTAGATATCTCACCGTGGAATCACTATAATGGCGCCGCTTATGAACCACACCAATAACTCGGATGGCTATGTCTTGAATGAGTATGGTTTCGACAACGGCACAAGCGAACACTTAGATGCCCCTGCATGGACAAATGGCATATCATCAAGTACGACGCGGATTGGAATCACTCGCAATAGTTCGCCTCCGGGAGAATCTCATGCGTCGAAAGCTCCTTCTCAGGAACCCATCGCTATTTGCGGGATGTCGGTTCGCCTCCCCGGTGGCCTACACTCACCACAACAGCTCTGGGACTTCTTAATTGCCAAAGGCGATGCTCGTGGCCCAGTCCCCAAATCGAGGTACAATGCCTCCGGGTACAACTCTGAGATACCCAAACCCGGCAGCATCAAAACCAAGCATGGATATTTCCTTGATGATAGTATTGACCTTGCTTCCATCGATACATCGTTCTTCTCCATGGCAAAGGTCGATGTCGAGCGGATGGACCCACATCAACGGCAAATGCTTGAGGTTGCCAGAGAGTGTATCGAGGATGCGGGTGTGACAAACTGGAAAGGACGACCCATCGGTTGCTACATGGGGAGCTTTGGCGAGGACTGGGCTGAGATGTTTGCCAAGGAGAACCAGCAGTATGGTCTATACCGTGTGACTGGGTATGGAGATTTCATGCTGTCCAACCGCATTTCATATGAAATGGATCTAACAGGACCAAGGTAAATCCATGTCTGAAAATATTTTGCACATCACTCATTTATCTTGCACCTTACTGCGTTCCTTTCATTCTCGCCTTGTCCTCACCTTGAATTATATAATATGCTAACCTAAGTCAAACAGCATGGTCATCCGTACTGGCTGCTCTGCAGCTCTTGTTGCGTTGCATGAGGCATGCTTAGCAGTTTCCAGAGGTGACTGTGAAGGAGCCATTGTCGGCGGAGCCAATCTGATAATGGCCCCGGGAATGACCATGGCAATGACAGAGCAAGGCGTTCTTGCACCTGACGGATCATGTAAAACGTTCTCTGCTGATGCTAATGGCTATGCTCGGGGAGAAGCGGTCTCTGCTATATTTATCAAGCCGCTGGCCGACGCCATACGTGATGGCAATCCGGTCCGAGCTGTTATCCGGGCGACAGCTTCAAATAGCGATGGAAAGGGTACTGGGGGCGGTCTCCAAATGCCTAACGATATTGCCCAAGAAGCCATGATCAGACGAGCCTACGAGGTTGCTGGAATTATGGATTACTCCGGAACAGCCTTCGTTGAGTGTCATGGCACAGGAACCGCAATTGGGGACCCCATTGAAGCCAGGGCAGTCGGTCGCGTCTTTGGACCTTCTGGAGGTGTTCAAATCGGCTCTGTTAAGCCCAATCTTGGCCACTCCGAAGGCGCCTCGGGCCTCACCTCGCTGATCAAGTCAGTGTTGGCACTCGAGCATCGCATCATTCCTCCGAACATCAAATTTAACGAGCCGAACCCCAGCATTCCATGGGAGTCTTGTGGTCTTTCTATTCCCACGGAGGCAATGCCGTGGCCTAAGTCTCGAAGTGAACGTATCAGTGTTAACTCCTTTGGCATTGGGGGCACAAACGCTCATGTCATCCTCGATTCAGCTCAAAGCTTCGGCGTCTCTCCTATTCCTGATCGGCCTACTACCTCTCCACAACTGCTTGTTTATTCCGCCAACAATGCTGATTCACTGAAGAAAATAATGGCCAGTTATAAAGATTACGCCCAAAAATATCCCCATAGGGTGAATGACCTGGCCTTCACTCTAGCCAACCGAAGAGAGCATTTGCCTCATCGAGCATTCGCCGTGGTAAACCTGTTTGGTGAGGTTACAGCTTCGCTACCTTCTAGATCTGGTGAAACTCCCAGCATTGTCATGGTCTTCACCGGTCAGGGTGCCCAATGGCCAGAAATGGGTCGGTGCATGATCCTAAGCTCAGCCTATCCCGCTTTCAAAAAAAGCATCACATCTCTCGATGCGCATATACAGAAACTCAAGGACGCTCCGAAGTGGACTATCGAGGAAGAGCTTCAGAAATCGAGTAAAATTAGCAGACTTGGCTCCGCTGAATTTTCTCAGCCTCTTTGCACCGCAATTCAAATTGCCCTGGTCGACACATTTGCTTCTGTTGGTATTCAACCTACTGCTATTGTCGGCCACTCTAGTGGCGAGATAGCTGCAGCATATGCTGCCGGTGCCATCACTGCCAAGGAGGCTATCACAATTGCATTTTACCGCGGTCAGGTCACCAAACTCCAAACAAAAGTAGGCGCTATGGCCTCGATAGGCCTTGGCTCACGCAGTGTACAAGAATATTTGCAGCCCGGAGTGGTTGTTGCTTGCGAGAACTCGAACAAAAGTGTTACCCTCGCTGGTGACTGCGAGGCGGTTGAACTTGCGATGATCAGGATCAAAGAAGCCCACCCTCATGTCCTAGTCAGGAAGCTACAAGTCGACAAGGCATATCACTCTCACCATATGGCTGAGATAGGCAACAAATATCATGCCTTAATCGAGAATCATCTATCCAGCAAAAGCCCAGAAAAGACACTTGAAAAGTTGTTTTTCAGCAGTGTTGAGGGCAAGCTGCTCACCTACGAGTCGAGCCTGGGATCCAGTTATTGGCAGAGGAATTTGGAGTCTCCCGTCTTATTCCACTCCGCTATTTCCTCCATAATTCAGCACGACATTGCGAAGAATATGGTATTCCTCGAGGTCGGCCCGCATTCTGCCCTTGCTGGTCCCCTGCGGCAAATTCAGACTCACCTTTCCAACACTTCTCCTTATGTTTCTGCACTTGTCCGCAAGCAAAATGATGTGGTATCATTTCTGACAGCGATTGGGACGGTATACGCTCTCAATGCCAGTGTCGACTTCAGTAGGGTCATCGCGGAGGGTTCGGTTCTGCCCGACCTTCCAAGATACCCCTGGGACCATTCAAAGAAGTTCTGGTACGAGTCTCGATTGAGCAAGAACTGGCGACACCGAGAACACAAGTATCACGATATACTAGGTGTTCGAGTGGCAGAAAGTCTCGAATTTGAGGTTCTTTTCCGCAACGTCTTCCATTTAGAAAACGCGGCGTGGATTCGCGATCACAAGGTCGGCGACGATATCGTCTTCCCTTTCGCCGCCTATGCTGGAATGGTTGGTGAGGCTGTGCGGCAGGTCACTGGAGTCAATGAAGCATTCAAGCTGCGAAATGTGGTCGTCAGTACTGCCCTGGTCTTAAGAGAAGGACAGCCAGTCGAACTCATGACTACAATGCGCCGTCACCGCTTGACGGATTCTCTCGACAGTGACTGGTGGGAGTTCACTATCGCTTCTCACACCGGCGCAGTTTCAACCAAGCACTGTTTTGGTGAGGCTAGGTCTCACAGCGGGGATATCTGCCACGCAGAAAGTAATGCCCCCCTTGTGCGCAAAGTCGATACCCGTCGCTGCTACCGGTCCATGGCCAGGTGCGGTCTCAACTTTGGGCCCGCATTCCAACGCCTTGATGATATCAGGTCAGATACTCTAACCCGAATGGCAACATCGGGCGTGATTGGTAAGGCCACAGATGGCGAGGGCTACCATCTGCATCCGACCATCATTGATGCCTCCCTGCAGCTGCTCACTGTTGCAGCATCCAAGGGCTACGCCGATCCTACCACCAAGATGATGGTGCCGACCAACATTGAGGAATTGTGCATTTATAGATGCCATGAAGATGTTCAACTCCGAGCATCCGCATCATACACTCCAAATGGCTCTATCATTGGCGGTGGACAGTGTATTTCTTCTAATGGCAAGGTTGTCTTGCACGCTTCCGGCATCAGGCTCTCCGTTCTGGATGACCCGGCATCTGTCGATGAAACTACAGCTCGCGCAGAATGGGGCCCCCATATTGACTTTTTGGATGTGAACACTCTCATCCAGCCATCGATTGATCGCAGTGCCCACACTCGAGCCCTGACAGAGCTATCCCATATGTGTATGCTTCACACAAATCGTCTTATTGCAGGACTAGAAACTCCAATCAGTCACATGCAAAAGTACCGGTCTTGGGTTGGCCAACAATTGCAGCTTCGTGAATTTGAACACCTCCAAACTCTCGACAACCCTGCCATTGAGGAGCGGGTCAAACGCATTGTTCACGATTTGTCGCAAACTATAGCCGCTGCCCCTTCCCAGGCCATTCAAAAAATATTCAGCAATGTTAAAAGTATTTTCACTGGTGAGGTGGACGCGCTGGATCTACTTCTTTCGGATGGTACAATGAACAGCCTGTATGCCTCGATGGATCAGTGTGATGAGTCGAAGTTCTTCGAGCACTTGGCCCACAGCAAGCCCAATTTGCGCGTCCTTGAGATCGGTGCCGGGTTGGGTGGGTCGACCGCTAATGCTCTGAGGCTCTTAACGTCTGGCGGCAGAACGCTATACTCGAGTTACACCTTCACTGATATTTCTTCTGGCTTCTTCGTTGCTGCGAAAGATCGCTTCAGTTCATATCCCAATATTGAATATGCCACTCTAGATATCAGCAAAGACTGCTCGGAGCAGGGCTTCGATGGTCGTACGTACGATCTCATCCTGGCGACCAACGTGATTCACGCCACCCCATCTCTTAGTGTGAGTTTGAGAAATGTCTGTAAACTGCTCACACCCAACGGCCGGCTTTTGCTTCACGAGCTCACACCAACTTCTAAATGGGTGAATTACATTTGGGGAACTCTACCCGGCTGGTGGCTGGGTGAAGCTGATGGCCGAGTGGACGAGCCGTACGTGGGCGTTGATCGCTGGGCGAAAGAACTGACAACTGCTGGATTCCGTACCCCCGATGCTGTCGTTCTTGATTCACCAGAGCCATACCAGCTGGGTGCCGTCATTGTGGCCAGACCAGCGCTTGAAATTGTTCCTAAGAAATGCGTGACGCTCCTGAGTCTTTCTGAGTCCACGCACGTACGCTCCATGGTTCAGGCTCTGGAAAATAGGCAATACGCGGTTGACTGTCGCGGACTGCAGGACATGCCTTTACCTGCCGGCCAAGACGTGATTGCTTTCCTTGATGATGAAGCGCCCTTTTTTGAAAACATGGATCATCAGAGATTTGAGTCGTTCAAAGCTTTAGTGGACAACATGAAAGACCTCGGTATTCTCTGGGTGACCGGCCTCTTACAAATCGAGTGTCGCGATCCACGATTTGGCCAGATCAATGGCATCGCGAGATCCATTCGATCCGAGAGACTGGTCAGCCTTGCCACCTGTGAAGTTGACAATGTCGATTCGTCCTACGAAAAGATCATCGATGTCTTCGAGAGCTTCCAACTGCGCCAAGAGGACCACTCTCTCAAACCTGAGTTCGAATACGCCATTGTCAAAAATACGGTCCAGGTCGCACGCGTTCATTCCTTTACGGTGCAAAATGAGCTCTTGACCTCTGATGCAAGTGACGTTATTGCTCTGCGCACGAGTAAGCCTGGTCGTCTAAGTGCTTTGCACTGGGCCCGCCAGGAGATCGAAGCACTGGAGGGTGATGATGTGGAGATTAGCACATATTCTACTGGCTTGAACTTCAAAGTATGTCACAGTATCACCAAATATAGAAGCGAAAAGAGCTCACGCAAGTTTTTAGGATGTCCTATGTGCCATGGGAATTGTCGAGGCTTCGGAAATTGGGTTCGGCTTTGAGGCTGCTGGTATTGTTCGGCGTACTGGCCCTCACGTCAAGGACCTGAAGGCGGGTGACCGGGTAATGTTGATGGGGTCTTCTTCATTCAGCACACAGGTTGTTGTTTCTGAGAATCTTTGTGAGAAAATTCCGGGTGGGTTGAGTTTCGAGGACGCGGCTACAATGCCCTGCGTGTTCGCTACATCGATCTATTGCATATTCAATGTTGGAAATCTACAGGCAGGACAGGTATGTTTAGCACCGTTTTCCTTCCTTCTTGACCATCCTCTTGAATTGGTTTTGACAATTCTTCCAGTCGGTTCTTATACACAGTGCCTGTGGTGGGGTTGGTCTTGCTGCCATCCAGTTGGCTCAGATGATTGGTGCTGAGATCTACGCAACTGTCGGGAATGAGGAGAAGGTGAAATATCTTATGGACAATTTTGGCCTACCTCGAAACAGAATTTTCAATTCTCGCAATACCTCATTTACTGAGGATGTTCTGCGGGAGACTAACGGTGAAGGTGTCGATCTGGCACTTAATTCACTGTCTGGTGAGTTGCTACATGCTACATGGAAGTGCATTGCAGCTTTTGGAAAAATGGTCGAGATTGGCAAGCGAGATATAATAGGATCTGGAAAGCTCGACATGAGTCCTTTCAGAGAGAATCGCAGCTATTGTTGCGTCGACTTAGATCAGGTCTGTTCAAGGAGACCGGTCATTGTGAAGCAGTATGTATCCACAGGAGCTCGACTGCATGATGAATAGTGGCTAACATATACAAGAATACTCAAGAGCATCATTCAGCTGCTCAGGGAGCGATATATCCACCCGATTCGACCAATCAAGGTCTTCAAGGCAGATGAAATACTCGACGCATTCCGATACATGCAGCAGGGTACCCACCTGGGCAAGATCGTCGTGTCCATTCGTGATTCTGCTGGTCAAGTCAGTACAGGGTTACACGCACAAAAGCGCAAAGAGCCCACGCAGTTCCCCAGTTCCGGCGCATACCTCCTGGTTGGTGGCCTCGGAGGCTTAGGCCGTCCTCTTTCTGTGTGGATGGCGGAACGCGGCGCTCGTCACTTCATTTACCTTTCTCCCAGCGCGGGTACAAATCAGGAGCACCTAGAGTTTGCCCAAGAGCTGGCTAGCATGGGATGCCGCGCCGACTTTGTGCAGGGTAGCGTTTCTAACCTTAGTGATGTAAAAAGATCCATCACGCAAGCTCATGGCCAGCTAAAGGGTATCTTCCAGATGTCAATGGTGAATCGTGATCAAAATTTGACACGTATGACCATCGAGGACTGGAACACAGCCGTGGATCCCAAGGTCAAGGGAACCTGGAACCTCCACAATGCAGCTGTCTCAGCCGACGCAGAACTTGACTTCTTCGTTCTTTTCAGTTCCCTTTCTGGTATGTTTGGGCAGCCCGGTCAAAGCAACTATGCCGGCGCGAACACCTTCTTGGATGCATTCTCTCAGTATCGCTTGAGCTTGGGATTGCCGGCTTGCGCGATTGGGGTAGGGGCAGTTGAGGAAGTGGGCTGCCTCGCTGTTCGCGAGTCAATCATGCAAAGGTTCAAGGCCACTGGTATCTTGGGTGATACAATCTCTGTGTGTGAGCTTTTCGAGGGAATGGAGTTGGCCATCAAATCGACAAGGAACAAGTCGAGCCCTGTTACCTCAAACAACTTTTGTATTGGGCTTCGCTCTAGAGTGCCCCTCAGTGATCCCGAGAACCGTGCCCTCTGGAAGAAAGATATCCGCACGGCGGTCTTCCACAACAGAGAAGCTACCGGCAAAAAATCAAGCACTTCCGCTAGTGACAATATCAGATCCTTCATTGCTGCGGCGAAGAGTAATCCCGCTTTGTTGGCTCAACCCGATTCTGCTCACCTTCTAGCTGTTGAAATCGGAAAGAAAGTGTTCAGCTTCCTGCTGAAGTCAGAGGATGACCTGCATACGTGGTGCTCGTTATCAGACCTGGGTATGGATTCCCTCGTGGCAATCGAGGTGAGGCAGTGGTGGAAGATGACGTTTGAATTCGACATCAGTGTGCTTGAGATGATGGGAATGGGCACTCTAGATGCCCTCGGGGAGCATGCTGCCAAGGGTATGCTGATGTTATTCCATGGTGGCGATGAACAGGCTAATTAGACAAATATTGGACATATCAGTAGAGTCCTATACTCTGAGGGGTAAGCTATTTGCTCTGAAAAATAAAACTTTTGTTTCATTAGCGACATATATTCCAAGTCCACATAAAAAATCCAGCAGTTGCTAGCAATGATCATTGGCCATTGCACTTTCCAGATATACCTGTATAGGCAAAATCCTTTTGGAAATTGGCCAAGCATTTATCTTACCGGTGGATCTTCTAAGCTTGGGCTTTCCCTGGTTCGCAATTGATCTTTTCAACCGCTTCTTTGACAGAAATTCGTTTGACTTCTCTAGCACCCTTACTATCCACCCCCAAAGGTAGTAACAGACTAGAGCCCGGGGAATGGTAATAAAGCTACTATTCTGGAAAATGTTACATCTGAACAAAAAAATGAAATGAGACCGAAGCGGGACCCAGAGCATTATGTGGAGAGTAAGATATGTCTGGTAAATCGAGTACCGGGAAAGATGCAATATTCAGAAATGAATTGCAGTAAGAAGATATGACCAAATAGTTACTCGGGAGCGAGCAACTCGGCACAGCTATTGAGATTTGTATATAACAATAAGGTCGAGTTCTAATTGGCCTACAATGGTTGCATCTCTATATTGTTAATACTAGAACTCATTTGGGCCCCTCGGAATCTGGGAAAGGGCAAGCAATATTAGAAACTTTGGCAAGGATGAAAAGTACCTAGATCATATGAGATAGATGCAGCTTTTATAAGATTTACCATTTCCATATTTGACTTGTTTATTATTCTGTAATATCCTATAAATCTTTGTTCGCCGGCCAGGGGTTGGAGAGTAGCCCTGGTGTACAGAAGCGTCAGAACAAGACGCAGAGGTGGGTTGAGCAAGAAGCTATTATTGAGAACTGCGTTTTACATGTGCCAATAACTATTAATTAGGCTGTTTATTATAGACGATAGGGCTGATCGTCGGATTTTGCTCGGGTTTCACCCGCCCGACGATCTCCGGACGATCATGATGATGGATTTCATGCAATGCAATGCGATGCAATGCAATGCGACAAACTAGGGTAATCTACTTTTCCCAACATGATCCCCTGACTACGATCGATCTCCCTCGGACATCCTCGGGCATCAGATGAGAACTTTAATTGGACAGAATTTTCCCAATAGATAATGACCCAAAAAGCAATTTTCAACTTAGCGCCTCACACCCGCGCGACAAAAACGCAAGGGATGACGATGGGCTACTCTATAAAGGTTATAACCTTCTATAAAGGATCTGCTCTCCCGGCGCTATTACGACGCTACTCATTTGTGCTACTCATTTGTCTCCTGATCAACATCCCCGAGACACAAAATGCCTGAATCAGCCTCAGCGTTGCTCGCCATTGCTATGATGACCTCTGGGTATTTTGCCATACTTTGTGCCACGCCCCCAAATCCGACCCCAGAGAAGAAAAATCGACACAGTATAGATCGCATCAGCTTCATTTCAGGGACGTTCTCGACGGTTGCCCGCCGAATTTGCGTAACTCCTGTCATCTACCATGGCTTCCTCGCAGGTGTTGCGCATTACGCCCCTGCTCGCATGTCGCAAATGTGCCCGCTAGCCCGGAACACCAATCCGGAGCTCTTCGCTTGGAATCAACTATCGTTCACCGCGCTCCTCTTGATGTACGTTGGTACATATGTCCGCCTCTCTGCTTATGGCGGTCTTGGCAAATGCTTCACGTTCCATCTTGCGCCGCCCCCTCATTTGGTGACGACGGGGATCTATAGCTGGATTCAGCACCCTAGCTATACAGGACTAGCAATGATATGCCTAGGAGGTGCGATGTTGTTCCTTCGATGGGATGCAACTCCGGCCTGCTGGATTCCAGGATCGGTATTATCTCAATTGGAAGGGTTGGGAGTTGGCATCAGCGTGGCAGTTATGGGAGGTGTCTTCTGGACTTTGGCAGTAAGAGTACGAGATGAGGAGGATATGCTGAGACAAAGGTTTGGGGGGAAATGGGAGGAATGGCATCGCTCCACCTGGAGATTCATTCCCGGTCTTATTTGACACTATTGTCCTTGTAGGCTGCCGTGAAAATCCGTTTGGATTTAGGCAGTCTCTCCTCTTGTTGAACGAAGGACCAGGTGTATAAAGGGGATCAAACATAAGGGATATAGAACCAGTGATTGCCAACATGATTAGTATGTACATTTTCATCATTAAAACAAGACACATGCCGACGCTTTTGCGATTGGTTGACCCGAAGACACGGGGCTTGATATATTTGATAACAAACTCATGCTTTGATCTTTGCCTTTTTTGGATTGATTCCACCGCGCCTCTAGAATGTTCATCAAGAGAGTGACATTTGCGATGCAGTACCCACTTTGTAGTACATCCAAGCGTCGCCGGATAAAATCATGATGCAAGGGCCGTGTTGTGCAAGATCCTGCAGTGAATAAAGGTAACAGCATGAGCTTCGCCACTGGTGCATCTGCAGGAACCGCGGCGCATGAATCCAGAATCTGAGTCACGGTACACTGAACGAGACTTGAGGTACATGATTCCTCCTTGAGGTCAAGAAGAAATCGAAGTAGACACGAATACAGTAAAGCCGCATTGTAATGGTCGAAGTGTGAAAGATGACCGTTGTGTTTTTCAAAGTTTTTCAGTCTTCTAAGAAGGAGTTGCATTCGAGTCTCTACATCGACTGCCTCTGGGTCCGAGCTGTAGGGGCTTGTATTCTCGTCATTAGAAGAACAGGTTTTCATCTTCATGGCTTGAAGAAGTCGACCTAAACGATAGAGTAGATCTCCGACAGCGTGTGATATGCCGATGAATGAATCCACATCTTGGAAGAATGCATCCCTATCAGAAGAGCAGTGGTCTTGCTTAGCGGCAATTTCAAAGTAATTTGGCGCAACAATAGGGTAATCTGTTTCATCAAAGAGAGCCACGATATGAATGTAGCCTAACCATCGAACAAGAAACAGAAATGATTCGTCCGTGGCTAGTTCTGTTGTGAAGCCCTTGCGTGTGATTCTTATCGCGTGCTCTAAGCAAACTCGCAGGCTCCGCAAATTGTTCCCTGCAATGTAGGCTGAGGATAAAGTGATCAAAGTAGACAGTGCTGTTATGCAATATGTTGGATGTGTGGGATTTTCCGATGCTTCATACCCGGTGGGTTGTATCTCAGCGTGGCAAGACATGATATCCCCTATATATGTAACGGCTTGCTGTTCCATTTGGATCGCTGCAGATGTCATTGCAGTCGTGTCCACAAGAATCGGGTATCGCATTTTCCAATTGAGTTTGACCGAATAGGATAGGAAGATGATAGCGGAAAATAGAGATGGTCTGCCTTCAGCTTTGCAGGCAAGATATTTTGTGACTTGATTGGTTTGCTCTTTATTGTTTATAGTGATTCTCGGGGCGATCGATTCTGTAAACTCGGTCCAAAGATAAGAGGTTGGACAGGTCGCGTGAAGTGATCGGGGAGTGAATCTTGAGTCGGTGAACCGAGGAGACAAATTATCGACCGGGCCACCCGCCTCATGCCATCCTCTCGGTGATATAGATTGAGCGAAAGAATTGGTCGGAGTTTCAACATCCTCAAACGTGATTCCATCAAGTTCCGGACACGATGAATCTAGGCCGATTGCCCAGAAAGGATCGAGATCATCAGCCAAGACCACATCTGAGATGGAAAGCTGGACTGGGGGATCTGCCGGAGACTTGGTGCTAAGGTCTGATGGTACAAGTGAGTCGGACAAATCTAGCTCAAGGGGTGGCTCCTTTGGTTTTGAAGTCCGATGCGATCGAATTCGCTGACGAGTTGAATCGATGCCTTCGATACGCCATCGAGCAGTAGTGGAGGGATTGCACGACAGATTTTGATTCCGACAACGCGAACACCGCGATCTCGCGCGATCGCACTGTGTAAATTGTATATGTTCAACATGGGTCCTCCATGGTGCATGGAGAGATAACCCACCTTGCGTTTAGAGATCTTGCAATTGACACAAGGGGCTCTATTTCTTCTAAAATTGTCTTTTTGCGTGCCAAGTTCTGACATATCAGTTCCAATATTCTTATTCCCCGTGTTAATTACAAGTTGGAGTTGGTGGCAGATGTTGGGAAATGATGAAGTTGAAAGGGGCGGGGCCAAATAGCCCTTGGCTCCAGGCCCGGGCCCGGGGGAACACAATGCCCGATTACAGACATGGGCATGTTATCAAGTGTGTCATGTCTGATTTTTGAAAACTTTGATTGTCCTGGAATTCAGAAACTTGGCCCATGCTATGGCATTCTCTATATGTGGAAGATAGCTGGACCCAATGTGGTATAGTCCGGGGTGGCTATTTGGCCTAAAACGGCAAGTTTTCCGCAAGTTTATATACAATTTCATGAAAGTAGTGCTGCACACTATCAATTACACCTACATATGTACTTTGAAGAGGTACGGTTAGGCGAACAGAATTTATCCTCGATAGGTGACTGACATAGAATACAGCGACACAAAGCCACCCATCACAAGATATGAGCAATCAACTATCCCCTCTTCTCCAACAAGCCGACGACAACACTAGTTTCCTATGGAACAAATGTCGCCAGCAAGTCACCTCACAGTCATGCCAGTGGCATAGGTTTGCCAATGAGATCGTACTCTTGCTTCAGAAATCATTGCCCGTTATAATCGCATATGCACTGCAGAACAGCTTGCAAACATCTTCACTTCTGATTGTCGGTCGCACATCACCGGAAAATCTCGCCACAGCCGCCTTTTCCTATATGTTTGCAACATGTACTGGGTGGCTAATTGGGATGGGTGGTACCACTGCCCTGGATACTCTTGCATCGTCAGCATTTACAAGCCGTTTGAATGAGCAGTACCTCGGTGTTCTTCTACAACGAGCTTTTTTGGTTCTCGGTTTGATGTACATGCCAGTCATTGTGCTCTGGGTGTATGCAGAGCCTATATTCTTAGTCCTTGGGCAAGATGCATATTTGTCGAAGAGCTCTGCTAGCTTTCTGTCCTGCTTGATTCCGGGTGGGCTAGGATATATCTATTTCGAAGCCATGAAAAAGTACCTACAAGCGCAAGGTCAGTTAAATAACCGTTTTCAAATGACTCTACACTATACTCGATGAGCTTTCAGGGACTAATTTCGATTCTATACAGGTATAATGTCAGCTGGTACTTATGTCCTTCTTCTGGTTTTCCCCGTCAATATTCTTTTGAACTATATGTTCTGCAATACGTTGAAAATGGGATTACTCGGCGCCCCTCTTGCTACGGGTATATCCTACTGGCTCTGCTTTATTCTCTTGATTCTCTATTCGGTCTTCATCTCTGGCCACCAATGCTGGGGAGGATGGACCACGAAAGCGTTTCAAAATTTGGGCGTATTTGCGCGCCTAGCTATCCTAGGGATAATCAATGTCGGAGCTGAATGGTGGGCTTTTGAGATTGTTGCCATTGCCGCGGGCTGGCTCGGAATTATTCCAATGAGCGCCCAAAGCGTGATTATGACCACGGACCAAATCCTCAACACCATTCCCTTTGGAATTGGTGTCGCAGCCTCTAGCAGAGTTGGGAATTTTCTCGGCGCCCGTGATGCCTATGGTGCCGCCCGTACAGCAAAAGCTGCCGCGTATCTCAGCATTTGTTTAGGAGCTGCTATAATGGCAATCTTGATGTTTTCTCGTCATCAATTCGCCAAAATCTTCAGCGATGATGCAGATGTCATCAGCCTGACCGCAGCGGTTATGCCATTTGTTGCGGCTTTTCAAATCGCCGATGGCCTGAATAGCAGTTGTGGTGGATGTCTGAGAGGCATGGGTCGCCAGCACATTGGCGCGACAATCAATCTTATCAGTTATTACTGCGCTGCTCTACCGTTGGGTATCTGGCTCTCGTTTCACGGATACGGGTTGGCCGGTCTTTGGATTGGTCAGTGCCTAGCTTTGTACATAGTTGGAATACTAGAGTGGGTAATCGTTGCATGGAGTGATTGGAATGGGGAGATAGAGAGGGCTTTCAGCAGAATGGACCAGGAAGACACTGACGCGTCTATGGGAGAATTTTGAAAATACACAGACAATAGGAAATACTTTCTACTCTATTGCAATCCCGAGAATAAAACCGCACTGAGCTTACTATGGAGTGCGCTCATCTAACATCTCAACAATAATGTGAGGCTAAGTATGGAACAATTAACCTGAGTAAGCTAGTTGCAATGGAGAGTCGGTGATGGCTTCCCAACGTGATAAACTGACTATGTTCCCTGTATGATTCTAGTGCTTGGATAGCTGCTCCATAATCTACAAGGTGTCTTGAAAGTAGACTGCGGAACATGAATTAAGCTTAAGTATATGTTGTAGAACTCACTGCACTGTCGCTAGTCAAGCCTCAGGTGACACACATTCCATGGCGGCGCTTCGCAATGACCTAGCCCTTGCAAAATTGTAGGGGGAGCAAAGAAGGAGCAGTAGTCTCGGTAGGCTCCAGTAAATAGCATATCTCGAGAATGTGAAAGTGGTTCACTATCAACCAAAGCTAGACTTGTTGATCTATCAAGCGCTTGAATTGCCCTTTTTGGATACGCTAAGCCCTAACCGTCCAAATAACCGCAAGTAAAACCGATGACGCATGTACAGCAGATTACCAAAATCTTTTTTATTACATTCTTAAAAGATATTTTAAGACCCAAAGAGAGCTCAGTTCATTGCAAACATTACATTGAAACAAAATGTTTCCCTCAACCGCCGTGCTTGCTGGCCTAGGGTCACTCTATACCCCTCTGGTGGCATCACTCGTGATGAGTGATACCCTCCCTCAGCAGATATTGAACAAACCAACTCAACCCCAGTCATTCCTGGAAAAAAGCATATTCAGAAAGCAAGAGTATATGAGCTCTGCGGATTCGGGTCAAAATGAGTTCCACATCGACAACAATTATAGCCCGCCTTACAGTGGAATCGCAACATTCGCCCACCTGAATTGGACCAATTGCTTTGTTTCTGACAACGACAAGACGTTCGATATCGGTATCGTCGGAGCTCCGTTTGATCTTGGTGTGACATATCGACCAGGAGAGCGATTCGGTCCGTCAGGAGCACGGTCCGGGTCGCGAAGACTTGACCCTGACATGGCATACAGGTAAGATTTACCGTCATTAAGATGTATACAGCTCAATAGCTAACAATTATCTAGCATGGATCATGGTCTCAATCCATTTGTGGATTGGGCTTCTGTGGTTGACTGCGGTGACATCGCCAATACGCCATTCGACAAACTTGAAGCCATTCATGAATTGGAAGCTGGATGGAGGAAAATCGGCTCAAGGAAGCCAAAAAATTCCGAGAAGGGTGACCATGTTCGATTGATATCACTGGGAGGAGACCATACCATCAGTAAGGGCCATCCGAGATTGTTGCTGACCTGTTCGAGCCAAAACTGATATTTGTTAATAGCTCTACCCGCACTGCGAGCATTGCATGGTACATGGGGCAAGGTTGCCGTGCTTCATTTCGACTCTCATTTGGACACCTGGGACCCTGTGCAATTGGGCGGTGGTTTAACAAAATACTCCGAGGTGACACATGGTAGCATGTTGCATTTGGCCCATGAAGAAGGGCTTCTCGCTGATAAAAGCAACATGCATCTGGGATCCCGATCTATGTTGTTTGACAAAGTGTACGACATGAAAAATGATGCTCGATGCGGGTTCACTGCCATACGCGCTCGGATGATTGATGAAATCGGAATTGATGAAATTGTTCGTAGAGTTGTTGATACTGTTGGCGACAACTTTGTTTATGTGAGCATTGATATCGATGTTCTTGATCCTGGTAGGTGTTCGCGATCTTGGCCTGTTAAGTGGTTTCGGTTCTAACGCAATCTCTCAGCATTTGCACCGGCAACAGGAACCATCGAACCTGGTGGATGGACAACCCGGGAGCTTTTACGAATCCTCAATGGGCTATCGCATGCGAATTTGCCTATAATCGGGGCGGATATCGTTGAGTTCGCTCCTGTTTACGACAACCGTGCTGAGACTACCGCTATTACGGTCGCGCAGATTGCCTACGAGCTTTTGCAGTGGATGATTCGAGTTCCTGTAAACGCAAATTAAGGTTATATTGGGTTTTTGACCTGAGTATGATACCTTCGTGCTCACTTCCCCTAAAGCAAATTGGCTTGGGTGAGCATGGGGGATCAAGGATGCGGAAAACCTGATAGCACTTCTAACAATTGAGCTTCACATATCATCGTTTATATTTGACTAATAATATATTCTTCAATATAATTTTTTCTATCAAAAAGTAATTCATAAAATTAATAGTATTAGAAGGGCCGAGTACTAAACTCTACTCAAGTGAGCCTGCCAGACTCTGAACTCACAAGAGCGGCAGCAGAAATATTGTACGATGTACATAAAGTGACCTATATATGCTATGCTATACTATGCTAGTACAAAACAAATCAAAACTCCCTCCAATCATTGTACACCCCAATGCTCCCAAGTATACATGCATTTACAAACAGAAATCAATGCACCTGAAGGAAAACAAAACAAACAATCACCGGCCATAAACCTCACTCCCATCTCCTCCACTCATCAACAGCCTTCCTCATCTCCTCGTCACAATCATACCCCTTTGACTGAGCAACCAACAACTCCTCTCTACGATCAAGGAACCGCCTCTCAGCCTCAACCCTCCTCTGCGCAACAGACCTCAACAACCCAAAATCATCCCTAACAACGGCCTCCCGGAACTTCGCCCGCATACGCGGCGAGTACAGCTGACAGCTCGCCTCACGAGTCCGACCAGGCCCATCACCAGGCAAGATGCGCATCTTCATCGTGATCATGCATGCAATGGGATGATTCGATCTCGCCAGCGGCCAAACAACCTCATCATAGCAGTCTTCACAGACGCACATCTCCGGCAGCGAGGGTATAAAGTGCCACGTGCTAAGAGCAGGTCTATCACGGCGACAATCACGGAGCACGACCTTGCGCCGCGCGTAGCTGAGGAACTCGCGCGTATCCGGGCGGCGGGTGCGCGAGGAGTCTGACTCAGCACGGGATGCAGATGCATCGAGGAGATCGATGAATTTCACAAACCGCGGACTCGACGTGACGAAATCGCACACACGCTCGGTGGGGTCCGGGTTTAGTTGGAAGGTCTCACGGTGGCTGGGCATTAAGATGCGGATATTGCGCGCGCAACTGCTGCAGACGTGGAAGCCTGGGAGGTCACTGCCGGTCTCGGGGTCGTAGATGCGGTACCAGGATTGGTCGGCGACGATGCGGCCGGGACAGGCGCGTGTGCCGGGTGGTGGACGTGTCATCTGGTACAGGAGCTCTAGGCTGTCGTGTTGCTTTTTTATCATCTGGGCCCAGGCGAGACGGGTCCATGCGTTGGCGAAGGCGCATCGCGTCTTTTGCCCGGCTGGCTTTGAGAGGCTTGGGATGAAGTAGTCGCGATAGCGGGAGTGTGCGATTTGGCTCATGCAGGATGGACATATGTCCAGGTGGGTGAGGCCTTTGAGCGTATACCAATCTTGGAAGCCTGCTACCGCGATGGTTCGCGGGCATGGAGAAAGACCCAGGCCGACTGAGTTGGGGCGCTGTGGTGATGTACCTGGGGGCCGAGTGGGTGCGGGATGAGCCAGTGACCTGTCGGGGTTGAGTTGGGTTGCCACTTGGGTTGATGTAGGCTTGGTCATCTCGGGTGCTGGCCGTGAGGGATGGCGAGATCCAGACATCGACCGGGTAGGCGACATTGTCACAGATGTTGCCCGGGCACGTGAGGCTGGGAGCACTTCCTGTTGTGTTCGTTGGGTCGGGACACGCTGAAGCCCACGAGAAGGTGAGTGCGATGCTGAAGCAGGAGCAGGAGCAGGAGCAGTAGCAGGAGCAGGAGCCGGAGGGGGCAGAGAGACGTTGAGAGAATTCAGTTTAACAGGCTTCGCATTTGTGGGCATTTGCCGTACCTCCGGGTCCGACATAGATCCCGGGTCCCGCTGTTCTTGTCGCTGACGAAGTTTCTCCTCAATTCGTTCTGCGAGGGTGGGTCCACTTGGCAAAGCTGATACAGGGGCTGTGGACACAGGCGCCTGGGGCAGGTTTGAGAGTGGTCTGTTGTATGTGGTGGCCGTGGTCGAGTCGGACAAATACCCCGAGCTAGGCTCGCGTCGAAAGCGTTCTTGCATTGGTCGTGATTTCGAAGGCGCATGTCTCGCACTGTTGGATCGACTAATGGAAGTCTTGGGTGGTTGTAGACAGCCCCTGTCATGCATGGGAGCTCGAGTACCACTGCGATCCGGCGCAGTCGGTCCACGAGAGCCAGACGTATTTTGTGCTGGTGGCATATGTCTGCTGGAGTTGCCATCCCGGCCATGAGATGGCGGTTGGGGTTCCCGTTGGGTATTAAGCTCATGGATGGGCTGCTGCTGGACCAGAGGCCGAGATGGTGGGCCACGTGGTTGGCTTGCTGTCAGGGGCGGCGCGCATTTTGGCCTCTCGTCCGTGTCAAACCTGACGGTGTTTCGCAAGATTGGCTCTTGAGGAGGCGGTGTCATTGGTCCTGAACTTTCATCTGAAGACACACTCCCGAGTCCAGGCACACTGGGAACACTGGCGGGAGAGGTAGACGGCGGCGGGGGTGAGTTGGCGAAGACTATGATGGGATACTGATCGATAGCTCCTCTTGTGTGTACACCGTCGACCCCCGGTTTATCTCCAAGCTTGGAGAGACCATTTAGCTCCTTCGAGAGGGACTGGGGCTCTTCCTCAACGCAGGGCGCTGGAGGCCATTGCGATCGCGCTCGTCGAGAGCTTCGAGAAGGGGCCATTTCTAAAAATGGAAAATTGGTTTGGCCACACAAATAGTATGGAATATGTTTGATTTAGAACGTTAACCTGGTGCGCTGACGTCTCGTGAAATAACTCTGGAAATGTGGTTCATAGTATAAATAGTCGGACTTGAAAAGTAAAAAATTGCAGGGGGGGGGGCAGAAATCTATGGTACGTATGAAAGAGAGAGAAAATTTTCATCAAAGTAGACAAAGATGCTCGCTTTAAAGTACGTGCGCCAGCCGGGTGTACAAGGGTATATAAGCGGTGGTGGATGGCATCGGGCATCACCTCGAGAGAACTGGCCTCTGATAGGCCATTTGAGTGATTGGGCAAGAGCAAAAATACACACAAGAATAGGTTCAGGCTGAAGAGAAATCACGAGGCAAGGATGGCAGGTGGAAACCGTGAAACAACTGGTCGAGTCAGCGTCATCGGAAAGGGGTGTGGCTATGGCAGCCTATTGACTATTGGGCACGAAGTGGAACCCCCGGGTACTGCCGTTGCGTTTCAGGTGGACTTATTTAGAATCAGATCAGTCCACTGGATCATATTGGGCAACAAATGAAAAGCCTCAAGTTGCTCAGGGGCTGATGTTTAGGAAACTTGGAGTGACCGTTCAGAGGATAATGACCTGCGTAGTGTCTCAAGTGTATGGATCGGGGGAGATATATTCTCTTCCAAGGTTTCATGATGCAGTCAGCGGCAGATGATACAAAGTCGCTATGTCGTCCTCATGCAGAGCCAGGACCAACTGACATATGCCGAGTCGTGGGTCGTGAGGGATTGGCCCCTCATGGGGCTCCGGGTGGCTTGCATGTTGATTTTTGTACGGAGAAAGCGCTAATACGGCGGGAGATCTGACCAGTGGTTCTGGGAGAGTGCCATAAGTGTCGTGTCAGAGAGGAGCGTGGCATTGTATTTTTTTTTAAATATGTTTTGTTCCTAGAAATCCCGTGTTATAGTGCTGTGTTGCAATAATATAAACAAGTATACCCTTGTTCCGACGGGTGAGGGTGACCCGACGGAAATGGCGTCATATACTTGTGAAGGTCGGGATGTCAATCTTGCTGGATTTGGGGAACTTGTGTGAAGCTCATTGTCAAATCCATATACAGCCCGATGTAATGCGTATAATTAGTAAGATTAGAATTTGTTGATTTCTAAAATACAAAAGAAGAAGAGAAGAGAAAAGAAGAGAGCGCAACAATTCCGCCGGAGATTGCGGGGATCCGATGACAAATATGAAGCCGATGGCGTTCATGTCTCCCATACTCCCCCCACCTACTTATTTATTATGTTTCGCTCTCTTCTACGTAGTAATCCTCGTCTCACAGGAGTTCGCAATCACATTATCCCTCCACTCGTGACCCAATTCGTTCCAATCCGCAACATGTCCATCCCAGCAACCATGAAGGCCGTAGTGGTCGAGCAGACCGGCGGCCCTGAAGTGCTGCAATACAAGACCTCATACCCAGTTCCTACCCCACAAGCAGGACAGCTGCTGGTGCGCAACAACATTTCCGGCGTAAACTACATCGACACCTATTTCCGGACGGGCCTATACCCCGCGCCCAAGCCCGAGATCTTGGGCCGCGAGGGTGCTGGTGTTGTCGCCGCTGTCGGGCCCCAGACTTCTGGCTTCCAGGTCGGCGATCGGGTTGCATGGTTGTCTAGTGGTGGATATGCCGAGTACACTGCAGTACCGGCGGCCCAAACTGCAAAAATCCCCGAGGGGATCAGTGATGAGGATATCATGGCGTCATTCCTGAGCGGTTTGACGGTGCTTGCTTTCGTAAAGGAGACTTATCCCGTGCAAAAGGGCGATTGGGTTCTTCTTCATGCTGCAGCTGGTGGTGCTGGCTTCCTCATGACGCAGATTTTGAAGACTTTGGGTGCTAAGGTCATTGGTACCGCCGGTGGCGCAGAGAAGTGTGCGCTGGTGAAGAGCCTCGGTGCCGATGTGGTCATTGATTACCGCAACGAAGAGGATAAGGATTGGGTTAAAAAGGTCAAGGAAGCGACTGGTGGTCGTGGCGTTGACGTTGTCTACGATTCTGTCGGCAAAGATACCTGGGAGGGAAGCTTGGAGGCTGTCAAGCGCAAGGGTACTATCGTCTGGTTTGGAAATGCCAGCGGGCCTGTTCCCCCGCTTCCTCTTGCGTATGACCTTTCCCTCTCTATATTGGTCTTGGATAGTGATACTAATGTTGTTTCAATAGGAGACTTACCCCCAAGTGTGTCAAGGTTGCTCGCCCGTCGCTCTTCGGATACATTCAGACTCGCGAAGAGTTCGAATCCTACACCAATGAGCTGTTCGGCCTACTGAAGTCGGGCCAGCTCAAGACTAAGATCCACAAAATCTATCCGCTAGAGGACATTGCTCAGGTGCACAAGGTATGTAGTCTCTGTTGTTAGTTGCGTGGAATCCTAGTTATTGTGTATCCTAACCCACTCTACAGGATTTGGAAGGACGGAAGACCATGGGAAAGCCACTGCTGAGACCTTGAAGCAGAACCTGGCATTTTTAAAAAATATAAGCAGATTGTGATACATTCATAGTACAAGACTACGATATGAGGAAATGAATATTCCTTAGATATCCATACGAATTTTATTTCTGGTTCTGCATTTGGCTAAGAAAATATTTGGAAAACATTACGGCAGATTGCAGCAGACTGATCATGTATTAAACCGATAGCTGCACTCAGCGACTTTTCAATAACTGGTCGCCCCCCTCCAGTTGACCCTTGATTTACTCGTTCTTCTCAACAGCCTGCTCCTTCAAAGTCTCCTGGGTTAGCTGTCCCCCGGGTTGTTGGTTCTTCGCAATACCCTGCTTTTTCGAAGTAGTCTGAGTTCCTTGGCTGCCTGTTGGTCCTTGACTGGGCTGTCCCTCAGGTTCCTTACCCTTCGCAATCTTCTGCCCTGAAATCCGGGCTCCCCGCTTGGCCTGCTCCTTTTCTAGTTGTTCCTTTTTTCCTTGAGGAACTTCGCGATGACCTCCGGCGCTATAACAGGCCTGATCTTTTCCGGATTCTTGAAATGATTGATAGTCCGGTCAAGGGTCTCCTTGAGAGCCTCGTCAAAGGGAATGTTGTAGGGCTCATTGCTCAGGCGTGTGCGGGACTGCTCTCCCTCAGTTGAGTTTCCCTTGCCTTTCCGCGGATTCAGATCCACCAAGCCCGTCAAGTCTTTAACTTCCTCCATGTCCCAGCCAAAGGCCTCAAGGGTATGGATAATTTGCCAAACAGCAACCATGGCATCCTGACCCGGCCGGAGATTAAAGTCCAATTCGTGTGTCAGCATGTGCATAGCCCACTCGGCCGGGGTAGGCTCGGGGGGGTGCATGATAGACTCCTTTGCGCGGCGGCGTGCGACTTCCTCTTCATCGGGGATGAAGTTAATAGGCATAGGCTCTACGTAGTCCATCATCCAATCATTGTACATGAACTTGTAAAAGCTTGGCAGGACCGACAGAATTTCATCGAAGTAGTATTGTCCGAAGTTGGTCTCAAAGACGTCCGAGATGATCTTCATGCCGGGCAGGATATGGGCAAACACATGATCTTCAACGAGGAATTCGAACTCGTAGGTCGGGGCAAAACCAGCATCCCAGTCGACCTTCTCCCAGGGAGTGAGGTCAAAAGGACCTCTGGCAGGATCACGGAATTCCTTGGCTCGAATCTTGCCCACTGGGGCGAGATCGGGGCACAGCTCCCTGTAGTATGCGATGATTTCCTCAGTAGGTTCCTCAGCAGAGATGATCTCAAAGCCATCGATGTCTGGAACCTGCTTGGCTTCAATCATATCCCTCTCAGCGAGGATCTTGAATTTGCGAGCAGTCCGATCATTTCCGGCAATTGCAACGGCATATTTGACGACCTTGCGAGCCATTTCAGAGGTGAAGACCTTTTGATCAGCATATCGAACATTCGTCCAAGCCTCGGGGTCATCCACGTCTTCGAAGTAGTAGCCACCAAACAGCAAGGAGCAGCCGCGGTTAAACTCCCCGGGACCTTGGTGGTGTACAAGCCGCTGGTTCATCCACAACTCCTTGGCAGCCCGATCACAGGTCTTTCGGGCTTCCTCAAGATCCTCTGTCTGCTCGGGGCAAACATTGTGGTAGAGCAGGTAAGAAAAGAAATTCTTCATCGTGTCAGTGCACACTTTGATCTCCTCCTCGGTATCAGGATTGTAGTAGCCCATGTAGAATCCGGTCCTATCAACCCAGTTAGCATCTGTGAATTTGAATAAGCGTTCAGATATTGCACCACTCACAGGTAGCCAGTGGCAACATCGTTGAAGGAGATCGGGTATGTCTTTCCCATCTTGGGAAAGATGGCCGTGTTGCAGCGTGCTTGCATTGCCTCTTCTTTGGTCATTTCCTTCAATTCCGAAGGAGTCACTCCCTGTGAATGATTGGGGCCCACACTGACACCGCCGTACTGTAAGTACTTGAGAAAAACCTTGCGTCTGTAGGGATCAAGGCGTCGCTTGTACAAGAAGCGCTTGATGCCTTCATCAATTCGACTAGATGAGTCACATTAGTAGATGTTATGTTAGAATGTTTGAGGATCTTACTCGAGAATGGGCAAAGTACTGTCATGAAAAGTTAGATAATGGTTCATTTAGGAAGATGCATATGTACATACGGATCATAGATGGTCTTGTTCTCCTCGAACTCCACTGGGGTCATTGGTGCATCAGCATAGAAAGGCTCGAACCCCGAGGGTGCATTCTATAAAAACGGTTAGACAAAAACCCGGTGGTTAAACATCAATATCACAGTCCTACCTCTCCTCTCTGGCTCTTGGGGCGCCTCTTATTCTTCTTCTTCTTCTTTGAAGTACCAACGTCAAGTTCCACGTTTGCGAGAAACTTTTCCTCTTCGGGATCATGCTTGAATCCAACATTGGGCACATTCTCCGATACTGACTCGTCCTTCATATGCGAAGTGCCTGCAGTGCTCTCTGGCTCCTTTATACCGACGGCAAAGTCAATTATTTTCGGCAAATCCCCTCCAAGGTCAGCCTCAGCAGATACCTGGGAAACATGCTTGTTAAGCTTCTGGTCCGAATCGATCAAAGGGTCCTCAACCTTGAGAATAATGTCAGTATGATATCCTTTCTGAGATATGAAAGGGGTTAGAACGTAGTCAGCACTCACATTATGCTCAGTCTTGGATGCAACTTCCGGCTTCTTGGGCTCAGAGTTCGCCGGAATGACTGGGTCAATGAAATGAACATGGGCATACTGAGGGGACGATTGACGGGATTTAGCAACCGACTCCGGAGAAGAGGTGAAGGATCCATCCTTGGTAGCTTCGTCAAGGTTAGCCGTGGCATCGTCGCTAGTCATGGCTCCAGTAGGCTTCATAGGCTCCTCATAGACACTGGAATTCAGTGGCTGAGCAGCTGTAGACAAATTGTCTTCATGGGCAGGCTTTGGATTATCATCCATGATGAATGATAAAGGTAACGAGGGATAAAGGTAACGAGGTTTGAAAGAATGATTCCGTGTCGCCCGAAGCGAGAGTAAATGTTGGAAGAGAAAAGGAAAGATCAACGCATAAATACTAGATCAATAGCAAACAACCTTGGAATCAGTGGGATTGCTTAGTCGTGTTAGTTGTGATGATTAGTTGTGATCAAACTCATTCATAGATGAGTTCAAACAACCAAACAACCGTAATTTATGCCTTATCCACTTATCAAATAATTAACAATTTACTGTGCTTTAAAAGGAGAATATACGAAGGAAAAAAGCCAAAAATTGTGGTGTTTGAATAGATACCTTGCTGAGATGTATACATCGTGTTAATCGTATAGTTCGTTCGGAGTTAGGGCCGAATGACATGGCCCCTCATCCCGCATTTCGGCTGTGATTATGCCTGCCATTTCTACGCGGACCTCACTTCTCATTCAGATAGCATATATTTGAATCATTTGGGGGCCGAGTGATTGTATCAAAATGTCCTCAAAACCAGAAAGTCGAAAGACACCACAGCTGGGTAGCGAGGAGCTGATCCCTTTTGACCATGCTGCTGCTGGACAGTAAGTTTCGCCCCCGCTCTGTTCCTGGCGCAATGTCCCGCGCGAATTAACCCAACCGGATGCGCGAAGGAAAACCAACTCTAGCGACTTGAGTACGATATCAGATATGTTGCCATGCTAATAAATTATCTCTATCCAGTGAAGGTGTTCGCTGTACGCCTTCTGGCGCCCTGATCGCGAAACCATGCACGCGGCAGGAGGTAGAATTCTACGAATCCAGCGCTCTCCACCCGGCATTCCAGGAGTTTATGCCCCTCTATGTCGGATCCCTCTCATCTTCCGAGCAGCAGCAACCGCTTTTGGTTGCTGCCGCCCGAGAATCCGGCGTCCTTCCTCTCCTTGACTCTGGCGACGTAACGGCCGATTCCTCCCTTCCTAGCCAACCGACATCGCACACATCCTCCGTGCAAGGAGACAGCGCTGCCCTCGCCAAGGAGGAAGGAGCATGGGTGCCCTCTGGAGGCAAGGAAATTGATACTGGCTTGTCGATCGTGCTGGAGAACATCGCCTGTGGCTTCCGTCGGCCGAACGTGCTAGACGTTAAGCTCGGCGCGCGTTTGTGGGCTGACGATGCGCCACTCGAGAAGCGGAAGAAGCTCGATGTTGTCTCTAAGGAAACTACCAGCTCTAGCCTCGGATATCGCATCGCCGGTATGAAAGTCTGGACTGGCCACAATGGGGAGACCGACGAGGGCGACCGGACAGATCCGTATGCTACGAAATACGAGGGTGCAGAGGGTGAAAAGGGCGAAGTCATCGAGAAGGATGGCTATCGACGGTATGACAAGTGGTACGGCCGCTCTTTCAATAAGGACAATGTCAAGCAAGGCTTTGAAACATTCCTTGCCGGCGCAAAGGCGGGCAAAATAGACCGATCAAAGATGGTCGCGCAGCGCTTAGTGAAAGAATTGCAAGATTTGCAGCTAGTTATCGAATCTGAAGAGAGCCGGATGTACTCTGCGAGTGTGTTGGTGATCTATGAAGGAGATATAGAAGCGATGGAGCACGCAATTGAAGAAGAACAAAAAGCCCCAGCGCCCCGTTCTCGGGGAGAAGAAGAGGATGAAGATGAAGACGACGAGGAATTTGAACTTCCCGAAGAAGCATTGGAGCTGGTCAATGTCCAGCTTGGTGATGGGATGCCTCAACAGGCTATCAATATCAGCTTTGATCCCGAAACTATGCAAATTCCTGAGGACGACGAGGACGAGGAGGACGAGATTCCTAAAGTACACGCCCTCCGGCTGATTGATTTTGCACATGCCAGTTGGACCCCTGGTCAAGGCCCAGATGAGAATCTTCTCAAGGGTGTACGCAGCCTCGTCAAAGTCTTTGAGGAACTGGCAGAGTGAAATGGAGTATAGAATCGCATGTGCCCACAGTTGCTGGCGGCCGTTGGATGCACTACTTACTACCTTGCGGTTTCTGTTCTATTCTGTTTCTTTTCAATTAGCTATATGTAGATCGTATCTTTCACTTATCACTCAGCCAATGTATTGTATTCACTCTTTTAATATTCGAGCGCCAGGGCCGCATATAAAATTGCTGACATAATCCCGCCGAGACTTCGACATCGATCTTCAACATCGCGGAATCGCAGTTGCGGAAACCCTCAAGCCAAAATGTTTCCCACACGCGCCCTTTTCGGCCGGTCGGTCTGGAAAGGTGAGTCTTGTCAGATCTAGAGGATCTCTATTCCAAAATCAATTCCCCAGAAGCCACACGCTAACACTTCCAACAGGCCCAAACATCGTCCCGTACGTGACATCCATGCCGAATAGAAACCAAACCCGCCCTACCTTCGGACCTAGAAAATCTTCTCACAATCGAACTATCTCATACTGGAACCAAAAGCTGACTCAATGATTCAAAATAGCCTCCGTCTCCCTACCACCTTCCCTCCCCCGGCCAACACTCCCCCGATCCGCACCACGAAACGCGCCGCAACCATTCTGCCGAACTTTGTCGGTCTGCGCTTTGCTGTGCACAATGGCAAGACATACGTTGAGATCCAGGTGACAGAGGAGATGGTCGGACGGAAGCTTGGAGAATATGTTGCGTATGTATACATTTTTCTACCACTGCTCTGCATGAGCATAATGGGCAGATTCCTTGTGATGTGATTAGTTACTAACATTTCGTTTACTCGATAGCACCCGCAAGCGCTTCACATACAAGCAGTCTAAGAATAAATAATCGATTCGCATGATCGCCTGGTGCAGATACCTCTTTGCGCTAGGAGAGCTTATTGCATCTCTTTATTTTGCCACACTATGTACAGATATACCGTTGGATTCCATGTGACATTAGCTGCTTTTGGGTCGGAGTTCAATATACATTCTTCTTTTTCCTAGATACGAACTGCAAATCGCAAGGTGCAATGCGACTCGTATATAATGCCTAAATGTAGAAGCTATATATAAAGGTAAATACGTCAATTCCCTACTGACCACTGCTCCTAGCTTAACATGCTGTTTTCTTATAGATTATGATGCACAGACGTTAACTGCTCTAAGTAGACATACCATACCGGCAGTGACTTACTTGTTCTGATTGAGATATACATTGAGAACAGAGTACCTATTCCGGTGACAGAATAGATAGACAGGGTGGTGTTAGAAGAGTGCAATACTGATCTTATCAAGGCTATCTGTAAGTCTATCACGCGTATTGGTCGCTCTGGGTGTCATTATATAGGAGACTTTAAAAAGATACTCCTCCGAAGCCTAGCTGAAAAGGATAGAACTTAAGGGTGAATGGATACATAGCTAGACCTAGATATATCATGATAAAGTTTTCAGTTGAACCAACACACTTCCGTATTATATCTCCCTTCCAGCTCTCTATCAGGTTCTGGGCTCTGCTCGTCGATCAATCTTCCAAGCACATCTCCTTCGATCTCACGAGCCCAGGGAAGCATTCCTCCAGGCAGGAACCCGAGGCGACCTGATAGTAATTTCAAACCCGACCTTACAAATAATCCTAGGAGGGCGAGGCGCCTTGTTTCCACTAGTTCTACATATGTGACCACTTCGGCTAAATCTCTTGAACATAATATCATGACAGACTTTTATTGTGGTACTATTACACTTGGTTTGTCACTGCTGTGGGAGTAGTTTATGTTATTATAACCTCGGAAGCTCAGTTCTACCTAGATACACCGGATAAGATGGACTTCGCCCATCTAATGACCTACTAAGGCGGGTATAAACGTAGATTATACTTGGGAAGAGATTTGAAATACCCTATATACATACTTCTCTTTGAATGATAACTATAAAGCTGGGGGAATACAGGTTATACATGGACACTACACTAAAAGTCAATACCCCAAATTCCAAATATCCTACCCATTTAGGCTGGAACCTCAATGCAGTAAGCATATCCAGTCCACAGCCCCGAACAGTCTCTATTACGAGCCGGATTGGTTTACTAATAGTGAGCACACAAAGAAGGGTTTCATATTGGGGCAAGCAGATTTTGTAATATATTTTGGTTATAGCTAGATAGTAACTAGTAGTACCCAATAGAAACCATGCGATCCTTACTGGATATCAGGAGAGGTTAAAGTGCCAAGCAGCATTAGTAGAATTAGAAAGATTTGTTTGACTAGAGACAAAGTGCTTTCTAATAAGCAGACTGCAGCCAAAAAAAATTAGTTGCTAAGTGTGGCTGGCCAAAAAGGGTGTCTTTCTATGCTAGAAAATACCTGTACTGGCCGGATGAATGAAGGTTTGAAACAAAGGGAACTTGAAATCTTTATCTCTGCTGAATTTCATCACCAGCAGCGGTAATTCAGTGGTAGAATGCAAGATTGCAAATCTTGTTGTCCCGCGTTCGATCCGCGGTCGCTGCTCATTTTTTCTTTTTTTTCCCAGTTCCCTTATCTTTAATTATACCAAGTGTCAAGAGAGGACTACATTGAAGTGCACGGTGAACTTGAGTAGAGAGTTGTAGCTATGAAATCTGACAACAAGAATGCCTAGCGGCTGCCTCTGTATTATAAATACTGTAATCGACGTCGCCTACATATATATCTTAACACCTACCTAGGTACATATAGGCTCCAAACAACTAAAGATTTAGTTAACGACTTATGTCACCCACTTCTTATTGTGTACATGGTAGAACAAGTGGGATTGCAAGTAGTTTCCGCCTCTATTAAAGATAGAAGCCTATACAGACATCCAAAATAGGATATCAAGGCACAAAGAGGGAAAGATGACATTATGGTTACGTTTTAATTAGCTTCCCTCATTATATATTGGGCTCCCATAAATCCCCACCGACCCTTCTAGCACCCGAGTTTAGTCCCCTTGTGTAGTCAATCTTGCATCTTATTTTACAGCTCGCTACAAGCTCCCTTACCTAGGGTTAGTGCGTAACTTAGCTCTCGGAATTAGTTCGCTCACCTAGATGTGAAAAAAGACCCGAATCTCTACATAGGATGGCAGATTTCCAAACTAACAACACATGGTGAATGTTTCATATCATTCCGTAACTAGTTTCTGTAGCATTGCGAACATTGATTCTAGTAACCAAAAAATCACAGTTAGAAAAAGAGAAAACGCCATCCATTGGATCCGCCCACCAGCCCAGACTAACTATGTAGTCATGACCCCAGGTCACTCCAGACCATTTGCACGCCTAAACTCCATGAGCCCGAAAAACTCAAAAGACAAATGATGGGGAAGAGTGCAAATAAAAACCAGGCACAAACGAGAAAAACCCCCCGAAGACCAGTTTCCATCACCGTACTACCTGTAGAACTCGCCTCGCTTCACGCTGACTCCATATTCTGAAACTGCCATTCCAAGGTCCTCCATGGTCAACACCGTGCGTCCCTGACCAGAGCCACCAGAGCCACCACCTCCAAATCCAGGCCGTTGGATACCGAGATGGGTACCGGCTTTGTTACCCTTGGAACCATCGCCGCCAGGAGCTGGGGCACCGCCTGCGCCAGCCGGGGCGCCGAGACCAGCCGCAGCTGCTAGACTGCCGATGGGGTTGTTTGCGGAGGAGCTGTTAGAGGCGCGGATGCGGGCAAATTGGTACGAGTCCGCTGCGATGTCTGAGACGAACTTTTGCGCGGCAAGCGCCAGGAGTCGCGCTAGGTGAGGTGGGGTTTGGCCGGGCCCTGTGCCTGGGGGTGGGAGACCGGCGAGGGTGAGGTAATGGGCGGTGACTGCGTCGGGAATCTGGAGATCAAGGGTCAGTTTTCTTGCTTTTCCTTGGTTATCTGATAGATCTTGTGTTTTGTTTCGTGGGGCTTGCTTTCACATGTGCTTCCGCAAAATCTTGGGGTAGGTCGATGGTGGCGGGGATGGCGTGGTCCACCGTGTGACCAGGCGATCAGGGGAAGCTCAGAGAGTTTGCAGTCTTGTTTCAGAGATGACTTACTATTGGTGCATAGTCGTCCATCTTGCCGAGGAACTCGCGCAAGCTTGTTTCCTTCTTAGAGGGTTCTGGCGCGGGGGCCATGGGATCTTGGCCAGGCGCGCTGGCGTTCGCGTTCACTCCGGTCAGGGTTTCGGTGTTCATCTCGACGTCCTTTTCGATAGAAGCATCAAGATCAGGCTCAGTTTTGATTTTAGCTTCAGATTCGGACGGAGGAGGATGCTCTTGTGATCCGTTCTGAGGTGTGGGTTTGGGAGGTTGCGATGTTTGAGAGTCGGACATGTTGGGCAAATATCGGCGGAAAACCCCTGCAAGTATCCTTGAATTGAGACTGGGCTGCAGACTTCCAAGTACAAGGCCAATCAATGGCTACGGCGGTTATACGTTCGTTTATAGGGAGATTCAAAGTCACACGGGTAGTGCACGGGCCATCCGAGTGGACCTCGGGCTTTTTTACTTCCTCGACTACCACGCTACTTATCATCTGACCATTTCATATGTTGGACTTGAACCTATCTACATCTATACAAGAGTGTTTTTTTCATCATTATCATTCATTTTGATCTTATCACTATGTACTCATACACTTGGAATGCAATAAAAGCAATCGCCCAATCCGGCGCAATGTCGCAATCCCAATAGTAAAACAAATGCGGTTCCCGAAGGAACAAATATCACAATCCAGCCCTAGACTCCGAAACTCAATTGCAAATCCGAAGTTCTCATGACGAATCTTGCGGATGAAAAGCTAAATCAACAAGATAAATGGTTGGATATGGCAATCCTCTACTGTCCCAACTGCATATGAGGATCGATGTGGTCGGGAGTTGGCTGGGCATGCTGCTGAGGGTACTGACTTCCGTGCACCTCCTGGCTCAGAGTCTGCATGAGGTTCTGTTCCGCAGTTTGATCAAACACAGATTGGCTGTTGGCATCTGGTGGAAGGCTGGGCGAGGCGGACATATCATGGCCTGACACGGGTGCTCCATGAGCTCCAGCAAGCGCCATCATACCCTTGATCCCTTCCACATGAGCCTTGTCTTCTTCACCCTGCTTCTTTTGTCTTTCGCGGGCTTCCCGCTTGGCTGCCTGGGCGGGAGCGCGGGTTTTCAATTCGCCGGTGACGAACTTCAGGTAGTATGGTACCTCAATTCCACTCTTCAAGAAGAAGAGCTTCAAGTTGCGAGCTTTGTCCTTCAGCTGAACCTGATTACGATCTTTGAGTGCTTCACTAATGGTTCCACCAGGTCCAAACATTGCAAGAATCTGACTCCAGTGGGGGCCCTTAACGCGGTCCAAGCCAGCCATCAACGCATTCTCCTCTTCGGTGGTCCAAGGTCGACGTTGGCTGGGAAGACCGGATTTGCGGCTGGTCGGAGAAGACTTCGCGGATGCGGCCATCCGGGCACGTTCGTAGAGAACCTGAGTGGGCTGTGACTGAGAGTAATGGGGAATCCCCGGCATGTACCCATGGTTGGAGGACATGCCATTTGCTCTGGCTTGCATAGCTTGCGCTGCATTGGGGTTGTATTGCTGGAAGGTGGCCTGCAACGGGCTTTGCTGGAAAGTCAAGGGGGAGGCCTGCTGCGTTTGATAACCTCCAGGGGGGGTGGGACTATGATGGTATTGTTGGTGAGCTGGCTGTGGTTGTTGTGCAGCAGTGTAGCCATGAAGATACTGGTTCTCGGGTTGGCTCGGCTGCTGCTGCGGCTGCTGCTGTTGTGGTGGCGGCTGTTGGTGCTGGGGTTGCTGCGGTAGAGGCGACGGACTAGCCTGAGACTGGGTTTGTTGGGGCTGTTGTTGATGCTGTTGTTGCGACTGCTGCTGGGACCGTCGGAGGCCATGGCCCTGTAGAGCAATCTGCGCAGCTCGGGCAGCGCGCGCAACAAGGTCGCCGTGCATGTTTCGGTCCACCGGGACTTCAACTTGTTGGTTGAGTGAGAATTGACCCTGGTGGGTGGTGTTGGGTGACTCGTGAGCATCGCCATTTGAACTCGAGGGCTGACGCCCCTTGACAGCCTTCTTTCCCTATGTTATATTAGTACAAGCACAACAACTGAGAAAGCATGAAGGCAACAAACGAACCTGTTGGGTATTGATGGCGTCGAAGTTCTTCGAAATGTAGGAGCTGAGATCTCGGAGGAAGTCTTCCCAGTGGTACTTATCTGGAAGGGCATTCAGCGCTTCCTCGTTGTTGATTTCATTGAGAAGAATATCACGGCGAGAGGTGAGACGGTTCACGAAATCTGTCTCAGAAGGTGCCAGTTGTCGGGTACCAGGACGTCTCGCCAGCAACCGCTGTTCCATGTCATCAGGGAATAGGTTGTAGAGGAGCTGCGTTCGGGTGAGAGATTTGTTATGCATGGCTGCGATGAAGGCCTGCGTCTTGAGTTCGAGGTATAAAGCACCTTGAACCTTCAGTAAACGGCCACCTTCAGGAACAAAAACATCTAGGAAATGATCGTTGAGGTCCGCAAATCCAATTTCCTGCGATCCGAAGATGCTCGAGACGAAGGACGCCAGGTTTGCTTTGCGAATGACATCAATTTGAGAAGGGTCTGTGATTTCAAGGTCCGTAGGCTGAAGGAATGAGTGCTTGACGGTGTAGACTCGCTTTGTGTGATCAAACAGGGAGCGCATGGTGGCGTATGCTTGGCCATTTTCGGAGTCAGGTTCGGACACCATAGCAGTGAGGTCTTGGTAGGTGTTCTTGGAAAGGAACGACAAGATTTGCGTAGACTAGGGGGTGATTGGGCAAACGTTAGGATACAGAGATCACGTAAATAGTATCAATTGAACTCACGAGATTGTCCAGAATAGGGAGACTCTGGATCTTGAGGTGAGAGTTGGCCTTGAGGAAAGCAAACCCTCTGGCTCCTGGGAAATCATTTGACGGTGGTAGTTCTTGAGGTCCCATTGCAACGGTTTGCTCCTGGCGCTCTGTGTGATCCATGATCTCGGAAATGATTGTGGCCACGTCGGGGTTGAGATCAGATGTACCATCCTGGGTGGTCGCGATCCCAGTAGAGGTATCATGGGTGTCAAGAGTGCCATGCTGAAGAGATTGGTTTATATTATGATCGGTTTGCTCGACGGTGTCAATGACGCCTTCGCCGAGAGCTGATGCCAATTCTTCTTCGATTTTGTGGCCAGGGCCATGCTGATCGGCCATCAAGATGACATCGTCGGGTAGAGAAATATCACCGTCGGGGCCATCGCCTGTACGGCGCTTTTTGGCAGCTGGAGGTGAGCCATGTTCCTCGTCATCGAGGGAATGAGGCACTTTTTGGTCTATCAGAAAAAAATTAAATGGTGAGTATTGATTCAAAGGTTGCATTGAGCTTCATTGGCGGTGAGGGTAATAGATATGGGTGGGGGGTGGTCGAAGCTGGTGAACGGGACGATCGGATAGGCGCTGGAAGAGAACACTTACCAATGTCACCTCCATCAGAGGGGAAGGGAGGAAAGTCAGATGTTTCCTGGCCATCGAATGATGGCCGCACGCCTCGAGTCTCGACCATTTGGACGAAGCGCCTGCCTGAGGTCGGGGTATCAACTTCCGAGAGCAGAAATGAGGGCTTAGGGGTAGGGCGCATTTGTAGGGCTTGCGGAAGAAGGATGGAGGAGCGAAAAGATGATTTTTCTGCCGGGCGGTGGAATTTTGGGGCTTATGGGTGGACGCGTGGTTATTAAAGAAAGTGTGCGTGGAGGTTAATGGATGAAAGGTAGATGAGGGGGAAGGAGAGAAGGCTTGGTAAGAGGAGCGTGGTTCGGTTTACAAAAGTGCGTTTGTTTTATGTCCTCAATATACAAGTTTCTTTTTCGTGTGTTCACCATACCTAAGGTACATGATTTATATTTTGATTTTGTCTCGCACCACTTAGAAAGGTATCATAATTACCATTAACTCTATGAAAATTGTTTATCCACTTGTCATTTTGCTTTACAACTTATAAGCCTGGCAAGAACCCTGCCTCTGATAATGTAACTGCTCAGGTGTTGAATCTAGGGAGATAATCTTATTTCTTATGAATTATCGGATTTGCGATAGCACCATCGTTTTCTGGTATTCTGCTGGAGAATGATAAGGTGTGACATACAAACAGTCCGCCATAGAAAATTGAGAGAGTTCTGGGAGAATCATACCATTACCGACCCGTCAATTGTTTCATCGAGTACATACATAGAGAACCGATATCTTCTCTAGGAGCCTCGTTTACAACTATGGGAATATAGCAGTATTATCGCCCGGTTCAAATAGTATAACAGGATCTGGACCGAGCGCCACTGAGGGTGAGTCAGATTTCGGTCTGTCAACTCTCCGGAACTAATCTTCTTGGCTTGGATTGGCTTATGTGGGAGAAAATACTCCCTGCGTATGTAAATATCATCACTTTTTTCTCCTTTTCTCGCTCAGAGGAAGCTATGGTACCGGTACCTGTGTTGAACAACTTAGGTCGACGGGTACCTCACCTAGGGCGGAAGGCTAATGCCGTTTTAAGACTAGCGTGTTAAGTATACCTTTCGCAATTTGTTCACTGGCGATGCCTACATGTACCTAGGTACGCTACTTATAATCTTTTGACGAAATTTTGTTTTGTAGACGGTATTCTATTATTCTATACTATCATATTCAATAACTAGAGTATTACCTGGACATGTATGTAGGCTGGTGTGTATAACTACAAGCCCCATCGACCCTCGGATAAATTGTGCGCGTCATCAATCCTATTTTACCTGAGTAAATCGCGTGCAACCTTGAGTCTACCAATCCAATTAATCTAATCGAGCTGTGATAAATATCCACACAGAAAGCCAACCTTGGAAGATTTGGCTATGATACTTTTTGGATCCATACATTGAATGAAGTTATCCTACTGAATTATATATATATATCATATTTCAGTTGTGAGATTGAGTCCTACCGATATCCATTGGATGCTTTTTGAGCCCTCAGGAGCTTCTCGAATATCCCTTCTAATCACTTCTGATATGAATTTTGATATGACACTTCGTGGTCATTTTCTCTGCTTAGTGTCGTCAAGATCCAGCTGGTCCCCACCATCCGAAGAATCCGAAAGCTTACAGTGCCCTGAGTTTTGATATCCACGAATAAAAAACCGATATGTCCACTTCTAGTTGTACCGGTCTCCGAAAGCGGATATCTCATCGTCTGGTTCCCTGGTATCCTGGCAGCCCTAACACTACCATACCATTCGAGGCCTGGACCATGGAGGCGGACCATGGAGGCGCGAATTTCTTTACTTCAAAGAGGATGCCCCCGTAGTTTGTAGAGTGAGTTAATTGATCTGGTCAAGACTTACTGTTCTTCGATTCTTAGAAGACCATGCCAATGCACGGTTTATTCATCGCTCTCCTGGCCCTACAGGGCCCAGCCACGGTTTCAGCTCAAGACTCCCATTCTATCGAGAAAGTGTGGGGAGTCTTCGCATTTACTGTCCACGGAGACAGCAAGCCCAGTGCACTCACTAGCTCTAGAACCTTGACCGACTATGGAGCCAACGAACTCGCCGCCGCAGCATCGGATTTCCGTTCTCGTTATGTATCTGGAGGCTCTGATACTGGAATCCAAAACATATCCCCAATCATTTTGGACTCAAACGATGTGGATGTGCTCTCAACAACGGATCAGAACATTGTTGGTTCCGCCCAAGCATTCATGCAGGGTCTATACCCACCACTCGGCTCAATGAACATATCGAGTGGTCAAATTGCGAATGGATCATTTGCACAGGCGCCATTAAACGGGTACCAATATCCTCGGATTGTCACCGTCGGCGAGGCGGACCCTCAGTCTATTTTGATTGAAGGACACGCAATGTGTGACATGTATGATGCCGCCGAGGGCGAATACAATGCCAGCGACGAAGTCCAGGATATCACGCGAGATACAGAAGCCTTTTATAGGAAACTGTGGAAACTGGCATTGTCTGGAGTCTACGATGAATCCTTTGCAACTTACACGAATGCTGTTCCAATCTCGGAATATTTGGATTATGAGGTTGTGCATAATGACAGCTTGTTGGAGAGTTTGAATAATGCCGACATCCTTCGTGCCCGCTCGCTGGCGGACCAGTATTTATGGAGCACAAACAGCCAACAATCATCTTCCAGCGGGTCTTTGATCAGGGTAGTCAGTCCGATTGCGGGGCAGACATTGGCATCGAGCATTCTCGAAGCCTTCGACCTGAACATCCAGGAAGGTGGAACCAGGCAGAAAATAACCCTTTTGTTCGGTGGTGATGAGCCGGCTGTTGCTCTGTCGTCTTTGGTGGGACTCGCAAACCAGCATCAACCAAACTTCTTCTCCCGCCTGGTACGAGGCGGCTCGTTCGTTTTCGAGCTGTACAGCTTCGAGGACGGCAGCAACTTGTATCCATCATACCCTGGAATCGACAATTTGTATGTGAGATTTTTGCTTCACAATGGAACTGACAACACCACCGACTTCCAAGCATATTCCCTTTTTGGACACAGTCCCAGTCGTGCCTCAATCCCATATACCGAGTTCCACTCCGAGCTGGAAACATTTGCCGTGGCCTCAACCCAGGAATGGTGCCTCCGCTGTAACGCCGAAACTGTTTTCTGCAATGGAGTGCTAGATCAGAGTGAATCTCAGCCAAAGCAGAACAAAGGTATGGGTCCCGGTGTAGCCGGAGTCATTGGTGCTGTTACAACGCTTGCAGTCATTGGACTCATAGGAGTCATTGTGTTCCTTGTGCATCGTGCTCGCAAGGGAACCAGCCCCAAGAAAGGAAGCTTGGGCGGGTTCAAAGGCTCTGGAAAACTTGCCAGTGATACCGACGTGTCATTCAGTGATCCCATATGGAGAAACTCTAAGACCGATGATACGCAACCATCTAATGGTCTCGCCGCCGGAGTTGGAGTTGCTGTACAGGGCCATGAACGCACTGGAAGCTGGGAGATGGGACAGGGGAGCAAAGAAAGTGAAAATATTCGGCCCGATGGCGTGGAAGGGAGGTCGCCTTTTGAGCATGAAGAGGATTGGATTGTACACAGTGGTCTTAAACCTGTGAGAATCCGGGAGAGTGTATAGACTGTATTATGTTGTCGCCGAGAACCGTATTATGTCGTCGCCGTATTCTTCTTTTGAGCAAAGCTCTTTGTTAATCCAAACTTGTTGTTCTCCAACTCTTCCTTCTCGAGCGCGTTTGCTGTTTGGGGCTACTGTGGTCAATATCGACGCGTGCTGAATCTCGACAGACGCGTCTAGTATAGACCTCGTGATCCCAATTTCTGAATAGCCTCGTTCCTTCTCCACCCTGTACCTTCCACTCGAATCGACCCAGCCATTCTTTTTCCTTCGAATTACTTTGTTTCTTTTGCTCTCGATAGGTAAATCCCCATACCAATGAACATAATGCGGTATAACATACCAACATTGTTGGCATTGTGCCAGGACACAGGTGTACACTGCAAGTGGACCAGTCAAGCAAGACACTGTGAGTTTCCCTTTGTGACAATGCCCTTAATCAATGACCTTCCCCAAAGAGATGAAGATTTGATTGAATTGTTGGTGGTTGGGTTGCTGGTGTGAACTGGGTTCCAGTATATCAAGAAGAGCTGTCATGGGTCTCAGGGCCATCGACTCTGTATAACCCAACGAGAATGACCGTGTTAACAATTGACGTAGGCAGACGAGCGCATCCTGACCGAAGCAAGAAGCCTATCCTTTCAGAAAACCCAAGGAATCGACCGAATAGGGAGTCAATCAGGTCATCGCGACCGAACAAAAATTCAGCATCAAAAGCCTCCAGGAACCACCCTCCTCGTACCAGCAAAAAGTCCACCGAGCCTGTGTTCTCCACAGATGATGCAGGGTTTGCCCAATTTCTGAAAAAGCACACTTCTCCAAAACACCAGCGAGTCACAGCTGGGGGGAGAATCGTTCCAATGGAGCCACCAAGACCGCCCCTTCCTGATAACTCATCACCCGTGCGAATGGCTGCAATCAATGACGAATCCATTGTTCCACATGTCTTCGTTGCTGGTAGACTTGTGAGCCGCAACAGAGCAACACAAGAGAACTCGACAATCATTCTTTCTTCCACGGAGTCCGATAACAACTTGCATGGGCGGTGGACGCCGCCTTTGCTGGCAAGCACATCTCAGTTCGCCGCTCCCGTCGATTCACAATATTTGACTGCTTCCCAAGCAGAAGAATCAGACATTCCATACGATGAATGGTTTGAGTACCAACCCCTAGATGAAGTTGATACGGAGTTTGTTGGCCAAACTTCAAATGCAGTGGAGACCCATGAGCCCGCCTCTCAGGCTGAGGAGCGCCGGGCACGATGGGCTTTGATCGAGACTCATATTAACTATGAGGATTCTGCAATTGCGCAGATAATGTCGTTCATGTCCCCGTTTGATATTTACCCAGGTGAAGACTTCTATGTTCGATATGTAAAAGTGGCGTGGATGTGCGGCCTCGACGCCATGATTGAGGCAAAGTCACGACTGAATAACAAACTCCGGAACCATGAAAGATATCTGGAGGAGGTCAATGAAGTTATCGCGTTAGACCCACAGCTTTCACCTGGTGATGCTTGTTATAATTTGCGTGTTTACAACATCAACGAACGGGCAAGAATGCTCGGCGCTCTTGATCAATATGATACGTTCATGCGCTATGCAGAGGCAATTGGCATGAACAATCCTAATGATCCAGAAGGTTTTGCTGCCCAACAAGCCCATGGGAATCCCAACTACATTCACATGCAGCCTGGAAGAGCGATCGATGATGGTTCGCATGGTAACCTGTCAACTGATGGTACCAATGAGGTTGCGCGTGCAAACATCAATCGTGGAGTCGATATTATTAACCCCGAAACCGGCCATCCCATCCAATTCCAGAGGCAATTATTAACAGCAACAAACAACAACCGCAATGGTACAGGCCGCACAGATGGGAGCAACTCAGACAGTGATAATATGCAGGTTGATGGAAGCTCAGAGTTGATGATTCGTGATGGTGTTGATGGAAATCGCAACAGAAACAGAAGAAACTCACGCTTCAATCAAATTCAGGTTGATAGAAGATCAGAGTTGGATGTGAATGGCACAAGCGGCAATGTGCCTATGGGAAGCAATGACCCGCTCTTTGACGCCAATAGCCGATTGGACAGTCTCTTTATTCCCGAAATGGGTTCTGAGGCGGAAATTTCATGGACCCCTCAGGAAGCATGGACAGAACGTCGTCCGAGAAACGATATTCGTGTCAGCAGAACCTTGCCCCGAAACTTCGGCCGAAACATCCACAATTTTCGAGCGGCATTGCATTCCATCACTGAACTTGATCATGAGGAGCACGCCATCGAACTGACTAGCACGGATGAAAGTGATGGGAGTCATACACCAAACCTTGTGTTGAGCGAGTAAGTTCTTTGCCCTACGCTAGCACTTGGAGAATACTAACTCTTAGAGCCACAGCAATGAAGATGAAGTAAACCACAGTGCATTTCAGAATAGGATGCAGTATCTTCAGAATGAGCCCCGCGTCACATCAGTTTCAAGCAGTTTGGATGATGAACAACAGACGATGAGAAATTCTAGCCCCGGACCTGGACTGAACGAAGAAATGCTCTCAGAGCTTTCCTTTGATCGGGAGCACAGAAGTACTGAGGAATTGGATTACCAGGCATCCATCATTCCATCAGACTTTTTTGATGTGTTTGTTGTAGACGTGGAGGGTGATCAGGAATGGGGAGGATCCGGTGGAAGGAGAGGACGCTTCCTGGACGAACAATTTGAGGATGGCATGAACCACAGGTAAGTCCCATACATACTCGTTTGCTTGTGCGAAGGGCGGGTTTGACATATAGTAGCCACAGTGGAAGCTTCACCCTGACAATGAACAGCTTCGGAGGGGATTACCCAGACGACATGTCGGATACACCCCTATTATCTCAGAATAGCCCATTCGGCAGACATAACCCATTGTCCCGGAATAGCCCAAGCAGAGCTATCTCGAGGTCGAGTGTCCGCCATAGGCACTATGTACCTGTAGGGGGCCTCAGCAGCGTTGGGTCTCGTATGATCACCTCGAGTCTAAATGCCCGTCGAAGGCATGATGCACGTGAAAATGTCCGAAACGCCCGTCGCGCGCTCACAAATTCATCGAGATTGATTGACGATCTGAGAGATAAGGTGCCTGTAACAACTGTTCTCGGTCTCGACACGCCAGACAGTCGGCACAACTTCCATTACTTGCCTGTGTATTCGACACAGTTGATTGATGCCAGTGTCAGACATACTGCGCCCGCTATTGTGAACACCAGCAGAATCAATGCGCATGCTCGAATTTGATACTATGCAACCATGGCGTTGGGGCATTGGTGATGTGAGCCCATTGCCTATGTATGTGTTTCCGGAGTTCCCGAAGTGTTTCAGATTTCAAATGATGAAAGGAGAAAAGAGAAAAGCATAAAAAAAAGAGATTGGAAAACATGGAAACCATGGACGAAGTTCTAGTCAAGGGAGGAAACGATATTGAAGGGATTGAAACATGAATCTGTACAATATTATTATGTGTTGATATTCTTCCAGAGGAATGAAGTGTATGATTATCACGTGCTGTACACTGTAGAGATACCCGTTGACTTGTACTCTGTAGTTATTTATACTCGGTATGTCGCCACCTAATTCCGTTCCTTAATTCCATATTTCCTTGAACTTATATCTAGAGTACTGTTGACTATGCTACTATGGTAAAATTATATTGGGATGACTTATAATTTCTAATTGATATTTCTAAGCACTTCTATGACCTCTTTTCTCAACTCTTCTCAACACTTCTGACGTAGATGGATGTTGCGCAATGCACATAGGTGGATTATTGCCCTGCCTAGATTTTAGATGACTAAGCCCTGGCCTCCGCGTCCACGGGTCCTTCTCCACTCCAATTCCTCCTTGCTTCCCTCTTTTCCCACTGGTTTCTCGATTCTTGATCCTCATTCTTTACTCCGTATTTGTTCTGACATGCCGTCTTATCCATGAGCCCAGTTACCGTGGCTTTAGTCGTTTCAGTTCTTTGGGTGGACAACCCACGTTGTACCGCTTCTTACTAACAATTGCCCCCCGCGCGATTATATCCCCAGCCGGCACTTGGCATTCTGAAGATTACCGCCCTTTCATCGGCCTGACACCTTACTTTTGCACCCTTCGGATTATCTTCTCGAGATAGATCCTAGGTGACTATCATCACGGTCTCGATTTTGATTTCGACGACCCACCCAATATGACGCAGCTCTTCGCCTCCAGTCCGTCAGCGGTGACAAATAATGAGAAGCGCGGGAATTTCCCCGCTCTCTCCCTTCCATCGCGGAAACACTCCAACGAGTCTAGCCACTTGCCTACGAGGATCAAGAACTTTTTCCGTATCAACAGTTCAAGCCATTCCCCCCAACCCAACACCTCTGGGAGTACAGAACGGGAACGGGATAGCCATGGAGCGGCCAAGAACGACAAGCCTGCTTTCCGGCAGTCTCGATTCCTGCCAGGCATAGGCCGCAATCGATCAACAACTGTTGCTAGTGAAGGCAACCCACTCGACGAGGCGATGTCGCCTACCGCATCCGCCAATCCATATTTTGCCCACCAGGGCCAACCAGCACTGCGACACCGCAACGATGGGTCAGTGCCATCCTCTCCTCCCGACACCCCTGAGTTGCAAGTTACGGGGGTCTCGGCAGTAGAACAGGCGACTACTGCAAACAAAGAGGAATTAGCGCGCAAGTTACGACGTGTGGCTTCTGCCCCGAACGCCCAAGGCCTATTTACCAGTGGCCAGGGTGCCCGTCCTCAGACAGCGGAACTGGGCAAGGAGCCCCTGGTGGAACAATCCGGCGGATCAATGGGCCTCGCAGATCTAGCCAGCGAGGATACCAATCTGGCGATACCTTCTTCGGTCAGCTCAGATTTCGGTAGTAACGCTGCTTTCCGCCGCACCTATAGTTCGAACTCCATCAAGGTTCGAAATGTGGAGGTCGGTCCCGCTAGCTTCGACAAAATCAAGCTGATCGGCAAGGGTGATGTTGGCAAAGTTTACCTGGTGCGCGAAAAGAAATCGAGCCGTCTATATGCCATGAAAGGTACGTTTTTCTTATATACCGGTGACTGGCCGATGACATATACTGACTTGCGGCTAGTTTTGAGCAAGAAGGAGATGATCAAACGAAATAAGATTAAACGAGCTTTGGCCGAACAAGAGATTCTGGCTACGAGCAACCACCCGTTCATTGTCACCCTATATCACTCCTTCCAATCAGAGGATTATTTGTACCTCTGCATGGAGTACTGCAGTGGTGGCGAGTTCTTCAGGAGTGCGTTAACCTTTCTGTCCTATCTTTGACATCATCTAGGATTTCTTGCTGACTTGTACATCTAGCCCTCCAAACCCGCCCAGGCAAGAGTATCTCCGAGGATGCGGCTCGATTTTACGCCGCAGAGGTCATTGCTGCGCTGGAATATCTTCATCTCATGGGTTTCATCTACCGCGACTTGAAACCAGAAAATATCCTTCTTCACCAGTCTGGTCATATCATGCTTTCCGATTTCGATCTGTCGAAGCAATCAGGACCTGGGGGTGCCCCCACGATGATTCCCGCACGCAGTAGTGGCAACTCCACCACAGGTTTGCCCACGATTGATACCAAGTCATGTATTGCCGATTTCCGAACAAATTCTTTTGTCGGGACAGAAGAGTATATTGCACCTGAGGTGATCAAGGGTTGTGGTCACACCAGCGCCGTTGATTGGTGGACCCTGGGAATTCTGATTTACGAAATGCTGTACGGCACTACTCCATTCAAAGGCAAGAACCGAAATGCGACATTTGCTAGCATCCTGCGCGACGAGGTGAACTTCCCAGAGCACTCGGGTGCGCAGCAGACATCAACCCTGTGCAAGTCCCTGATCCGCAAACTGCTGATCAAGGATGAAACTAAGCGCCTAGGAGCCCGTGCTGGTGCCTCCGATGTCAAGACTCATCCCTTCTTCCGGCAGACCCAATGGGCGCTCATTCGTCATATGAAGCCGCCTATGATTCCCCACCAAGGTCGTGTTGGCACAGATACGGTGAACTTCCGCAACGTCAAGGAGAGCGCTAGCGTAGATATTGGCGGTACCGAATCTACTAAGATGAAGGGTGTTCCAATGGATTCGGGCCTCGCGACTCCGAATGGCGAACTCAACGATCCCTTTGAGGAGTTCAACAGTGTCACCCTTCACCATGAGGGGGATATGTAAAGCCTAGGTTCTTGATTTTTCGTCACTTGTTTCTTTTATCCGATACACGAGGAAAACAGCCGTATGTGCGTCGGCTCGCTGACGACCATGATGCATTAACGACTGTATTTAGATGCTTTTCTTCTTCCATTGCAATCCTTGCTGGGTGTATGGAGTGTTTCGGGACTTTTTCTTGGTGGATCTATTTGAGCTTTTTTTTTTCCTTTCGTCCCATTGTTATGCCTTATTGCTCGTGGATTGCTTTGCATATTGCATTTTCTTCATTTCTAAAGCCTTGGATCACTCCGAGTTGCGCCTCTAATTCGGGCACAACATAGCATCGACATCGAACTGTTGGCATTGCCACATGGTTTGTGTCACGACTTCTGAGTTGGTTTTTCTTTTCTTTGCGCGTCACCCTGAAAACTGTGCTATACATTTGCTCTTTCATCCTACTTCGCAGCGGACGGCGTTACGGATTCACTTTTTTCGGGTTACGTCTTCCACGTGACGTTTGTATGGATCAACTGATTATTGCGTGCTGTTTTCAACCTCAAATTTACGTTTTCAAGTTTTACCTTTGCTGTGAAACCATGTACGAAATCTCGAAGTAATTTCAGCAATTTCAGCATTTGGCTATTGTTTCAATCTATTTGATGATCTACATGTTTAATTGTCTCATCTCAAGTAGATGCGCCTATCATTTCACACCCTGTAAATAGCCATTGAATTCGCGGAAATAAGTGTTTCAAAGCAGAAACAGGTGACCAAGAAGGCACCTTAAAGAAAAGTGTTAGAGATACTAGAGATCTACAGTGAAGATATAGATGTGACTGGAAAATCTCTTAATGCGTGGAGAGAGAGAGAGAAACTCTCTATATACTAAGACTAAGTAGATATTATGGATGCTACCGACAATTGGACTACTTAATAGCTTAGAAATTGATGGAGATGGTCTTGTAAGACGATCATTGGCCACCTCGCCGAAAAGGCAAATGAACTGAATACTGTAGTCAGCTTTTTCCCACAAGCATAATGGAATTTTACGCTGCCCCTGGTAATGATATAAGTACAGCAATGATACCTCTTGGTATATCTATACTAGTTTTACCTATGTTGCTACAGCTCGGTCCTAAAATTATAACCGAGCTGACAAGTGTTGAAACGGGTAGTGTTAAATCGAGCCTGTTAATTTTAATGAAACTAATATGAATAAGAATAAATACCTAGGCCTATAGCCTACTGCATTAAACACGATATTATCTACCGAACTGCTCTTCCTTGACCCCTTCCGCGGGCGACTTTCTGCGCCGCCAATCGGCGGGCACGTTCTTCTAAACCCCTCTTCTGTACTTGCCTGGGGGTTTCTCCATTTCCGTTGACAATTCCTTCAGATGCCCCGGAAGTCAATAGTATTTGAATGATCTCATTCTGTGCATTCTTAAGGCGCATGGGAAGTTGCTCAAGACCCGTAGGGTCATCCTGTTTCCGAATCATTGTACCCTTCATCGCTTTGTGAAGGGGAGTATTCCCTTCCTTGTCAACTGCATTCACGTCTGCACCTTGACTGCAAAAGTGTCGGACAGCATCGGCTTGATCGAAGTTCTTTACGAGATAGTGAAGAGCTGTACAGCCATAGTCATCCTTCTCATTGACATCAAGTTGCTGGAGTAATTGGTCTATGAAGGTCGAGCTGATTGGCTCCAGCCAAGCAAGGCTGCATATTTTTTGCAGAATATTTCGTCCAGCTTCGTCACATCGTCGCGCATCAGCTCCGCGCTTCAGTAGAAGCCCGGTGATCTCTTTCATATGTGTCAGACCACTGGGAGTGAGTTGGTGAGAATCGATTAGCTCTCCAAGAGGACTGGTCCCAGAATTATTTCGCGTGTTGAGTATATCTGAACAATCCCGAGCAGCTCCCAGAAGTATGGTTATGGCCTTAATATTTGCCCCATTGCCTGTGTTGTTTTTGGCTGCGTAATGGAAGACTGTAGCGCCAACCTTATCTCGAGCGTAAAGGGTATCAGGGTCGAAATCAAGAAGTAGCTTCACAGTAGCTGCCATCCGCGACGTGATCTTATAAGAGTCAATCGTATCCATGTGCGTTCCTGCCACTGCCCAATGTAGCGGGATTCGCCCCTCTTCATCGATGATAGACACCATATTTGTATTCTTTCCAAGTGATCGATGCTCAAACAAAGCTTTAATGGCTTCGACATTGCCATATAATGCAGCAATGTGTAATGGCGTTGTTCTTTCCGCATACTCTATGGCAAAGCTATTGCCGCCATGCCATCTCTGGAATACATAAGGATCTGCTCCTTTAGAAATAAGACGTGAGACTAGACTGTAGCTTGCGTGGCAGACAGCTTCGCCGAGTACGTTTTCATGTAGGACACTAGTATAGTCGCATTCGTCCTTTGGTAGTTGCTTATCAATTTCCTCATTCCCCTCATCTTCCATCTCCATAGGGCAGTTCATGTCCAGAAGCCAACTAATGAATGGTTCCATGCGCGCCCAACGCTGATCAAGCTTTGGTCGTCGAAGCGCCTCACTTCCTTCATCTTGTGCTTGCAGCATCATAGTGCCCACTTCTTTCAGGCCCTCGACTGCTCTGAAAAGGGCTGTGAGACCTTCTGAATCCCGATCTTCCAATGTCCCTAACGAGGGATTATGGTTCATCAACCAGAGCACCATCTCTTGGTTGCCCATTGCACAAGCCTCGAGAACAGGAGAGACATGATGTCTTTTGATATAGTTTTGCAAGGGCTCTGTCAAGCTTGTATCCGAGGAATAAATCCGTACGAGCTCACGCAGAATATCGAAATTGTCGTTATAGATGGCAATGTGAAACGGATTGCTTTCATCGAACTCGTAATTTTTCCAGAACACATAGGTATAAGGACAATCGTTGTACGACTTTAGAGCTGCCAAATCGTTTCGTGAGATGATTTGGGAAAGTAGACCTTGGTAGGGTGATTCATAGACCTGTGATCCATCTGAGTCAACAAAGACGGGGGATGGATTTGAATCATGATGCGGTCGATGGAAGTCAGTGTAAGGCATCTTTTATGTTCCGAATAGGTAAAGTAGAGCTGAAGGTTTTTGGGGAAACAGAAAATTGGAGAATAGAGGGGTGGTTAAGGGTCTTTATAGAGCGCAAATAAAGCGGAGGCCATTTATAGCTTAGTAAGAAAGTTCTATGGATCTCGGAGTGTTAATTTCCCCCTGACTGATAGCCATTAGATTTCAGGTTATAGGCCAGCTCACCCCAGTAGACGCTAGGGCTTACCTCTTAAGATTCTGTAAGGATTGTATGGTTTCTATTAGGTAGTAGGAGCAAACAGTGGTGGGCACGTGACCTTCTAACAACAAGGCTATGTTAAACTTAAGACTATTCACAGATAGACATATATAATAGGGCATAACAGAGTCAGAATTCAGAGCAGTAATATTGGAAAGAGAAAAAAAGATTTTATAAAATAAACATGTTTCGCTTGAACGATACAATATAATATCACAACTCGAAGGGATCCCAATTTGCAAAATTATACAAACTACATGATGGGTCTCTCAAAAGCTCCACTCCAAAGAGCGAATGTCTTCAATGCAAATGATGAGGATCCGCCGCACAAGCCTTCCGACATTCCTCCAAGAGCTTCGCCTGTCTGGCAACGTGCGCGAGGCGACCAATAACCTCTTTATTACCATCATAGAAGGTAAAGACCGCATACGGAATGTTCACATCCTCACAGAATTCCCGAACAAACTGCTGCGTCTTGCGCAGATTGTGGCGCGGGATACGAGGATACAAATGGTGAATAGCCTGGAACTGGAGACCACCATGGAAGAAGTCCAACCAAGGCGGGCAATCGACATCCATAGTAGTGCGGAGCATCTTCTGAGGGAAAGATTCCAGCGGGCCGAGATCAGCAGTGGACATAGCGTAGTGGGACAGCGTGATCTGAACATGCAGCGGCGAAGTCACCATATGGGAGATCAAAACGAAGACAACGCGGTTGAACCAAGTCGGAATGCTGCACCAGACAACGCCGTATCCGAACCAAACCCAGAAGAAGATGTGGCCGGCGAACTCGAACCAACGGTGCCACCAGCCCGCTCCGTGCTTCGGTCCGCGTCCGACGATAATGTGCTCCCAGCTGAGGAAGTAGAGATTGAAGCGGCCGAAGAGGAGAATGGGGTAGTACAGGTAGTGCTGGTATTTGACGGTGACTTTGGCCACTGCGTCGAATTCCATGATGCGGTCGTAGTAGGTGCTGCGGAGCGAGCTGAAGAAGCGGTGCGAGAGCGCGAAGAAGGGCATCAGCTCGATATCGGGATCGTGCTCGGGTGCGTTGGTTACGATATGGTGGACGTTGTGGCTGCGCTTCCACCAGCCTAGACTTAGGCCGCCGAGGTAATCGGCGATGATCATGCCGATGGTGGTGTCGATCTGATAGTTATGCGTGATACCCATGTGACCGGCATCATGGGCGGAGAAGACGAGTTGGTGCCAGAAACAGCCGAGGAAGAAGGCAGATGTGCAGAACCAGGACTGTTTGAGGAAGAAGATGAATAGTCCAAAGAAGAGGGTGTAGCGGGAGATCTCGATGGCGTAGGCCTTGTAGTTGCAGTTGTATAGTCCAGCTTCGCGGATGCGATGGTGCAGCTCGCGGTATTTCTTTGTGATGTATTCTTGGTGTTCTGCGTCGAGAGGAGGATACTTGGATGCATCTAGCTCAATCTCCTCTTGAGTTCGGGCATCGATCACGTAGGCTCGTGCTTTGGTTTGTGTTTCTTCTTCCGCTAGTGGAGGGATGGCGCTGACTGCCGAGGCAATTGTTGATACTGATAGTCTGCGTCTTAGGCCCAATCTGTCGTCTTCGGCTTCGAAGATGGGAGATGGTGGTGCCGAGCTCTCTTCGCTTGATAGCTCTGAGCTCACCAGGTCTTCTTCGTTGATCTCGTTTTCGATCAATGGGCGGAATTCGCCACCTTGGATGGGAGGGAGGAAGTTGATCCAGCGGCCCTCGACTCGGCCAATTTGGAATTTGCTCATGCGCTGACGGGCTTCCTGTGAATGGAGTCTTTTAAGAAGGGGATTAGTATAATGCGCAAATTGTATTGAACAAGAATGGAGAGATTTTGGGAGACTCACGCATTGACTTCATCCGTGGCATCTTTGCCAATCATATGCTTGATGGCCATATCACCTCCGGGGTGATATTTGATCCAGGAATCCAGTCTGAGGACATTGCCGTCGACAATGATAATCAACTTGCCTTCAGCAAGCATGCCCTCGATCTCACGTCTTGAGAAGACATTGTCCCTAGCCCTAATTGGGGTGGACATGTTGCGCATCTAATATGATCAACCAAAGAATCCGATGAGAGATGACCGTGAGTTGTTTAATTCAAAAGATTGAACATGGAAGAAGGATATGGCGTTAAGGCAATTATAAGAAACAATCCCTCGGGGACATCTCTTTTTGCTTTTTTATTTGCATGATGAACCCATTAATCTATTAAGTTACCTAGACTTACATAGCGCCGTAGCGCAAGACATCCCGTTCCTATCGACCCAGGGGACCGACACAAAGGGGGCAGTGTAAATTGGTCTGTCCAACCGACATGTGGATACGGAAGCACTTCCTTGGGGAATGAAGAGGAGAGGTCGAGGTGGGTAATGTGTTACAATTGGATAAAGCAGTGTGACAGGGCTGTGGCGAAGATAAAATGTGGATGGTCCATACGCGTATCTCGTCAACTATACCATATTTTCTATGTGTCCCGTTGAGAAGTCGAGCTAAAACAAGCTTAAACCTTGGGTGCCCCTTTCGGAAATTGAAAGGTTAGATCTTTAGATCCCCTATCCCATGTCGAATACTCGACTCCACTACCTATGGAACGTTTCTAAATATTGCTTTTACTATCTAATCCCACTAAATGGAATCCACAGAGAACATTCTCTAGTTCCCCCTAAAAATGAAATATGTGTTTTCCCCTGAAAAAAATGAAAAACCTCAAAAGACCATTGTATACAAAAGTGGCGATTCGTATTCGCAACGAGATACAAATAATGGGCTAACCTTTCTTGGCTACCACATTGTACCTGACTTGGGCTAAAAGTGGAAAGCCTCTAACCATTTTGGGAGAGAAACCTTGACACGTGTCCACCCCAAACCCTAGAAAAAAACATCCTTGGAGACAACTTTATTATTATTCGGGTCAAGGGACCAGGTCCCATAAATTTAGAAATGAAACGTCTGTGAACTGTCGAGAGAAAGATCTTCTTTTGTCTGCCCCTCTATTACCGCTCGAGCCCCGCATCTGGGGCGACTGATAAATATCGCCAATTTCCTAGTTAAGGACACTTACGTATTCGCATTCGTTTCTTCCTTCTGCGTAAGGGTGAAGTTGCCACTTGATCACTTGCATTGAGTCTTTTTTCTCCTTTCTGGGTCATGTTGTCATGATCCACCATATGAGATACCGGTCAAGGTCATTCCAGAGGGACATGTTCTCAATGTGAAAAACGCAAAGCCGAGGCTCCTTTCCTACACTAGAGTCAATCCGTTGTTAGGGCGACAAATTCACACAAGGCCATATTAGTTGGAATTATTGACATTTTAAAATCAGTTAGTCGAGGCGATAACGTCACATCAGAAACTATATGTAGAACTAGGCTTCCATTTAAATAAAGTAGAGGCGCAGGTGGCTCGTATGACTTGAACGCCGCAATAAAAGACCTGCGCATTTCGCGGGGCAAAACATGTTCTGGACGGTATCGCCTCCTAGTAATATCTCTGGACCCTTGGCATTGGATTTTCCAGGGGAACGTGTCCTCAAAGCGTCTACAAAGTATGTTGTATGGTGTTATGTGTCTTGTACGAGTACGACGTACGGAGGACTCCGTACAGGATAGGATAGGAGACCACCACAAGGCCTCTGCGATAAAGAATATCCACTTCTAAATTGGGATTTCTGGATCGGGTATGAGACATTTTATTATTTCCGAGTTCACATGGAATTTCGCATTCACACATAATAATCATATCTGTGAAGGATCAATAATTTTCGCAATCAACCGTGTGACTCGAAGTGAAGCTAGCCTATGTTGTATGTTGCATATCAATTGATTAGGAAAATGATCTCGAAAGTACCGATTGAAAAAGCTAACCTAAGGCAGAGAGATATAAATTGCAAACTTGACCCACTCGAGCACTTCACTAGCACCGGTTAATTTCAGAAGCCCTGCATCCTAGTCGACACCTAGTCGACAATAGGTCGCTAGTGCCAAACTGCGAGCTTAGTCTATGGATAGAGAGAGGGGGGGGGGAGAAGTTTGAGGGGATCATTGTTGATAGCAGACAAAAATGAACTGCAGCGGACTCCCGTCTGCCTCAGTCCCCAGTTCAGATGTGGATATATACAACCAATCCAATCCTAGCTCCTCCGTGGTGCCCACTCTGTAACATATTGTTTCGCAACCGTATCGACAGTTCTCAGGCCTCCAAAATATGTACTAGGCACCATTAGGATGCAACATTGTAATCATTGCTTGATACAATGGGACAATCATGTTTCAGGAACGAGTCAATCATCCGACAGGCTTCTAAACGCTTCTACGTTACTGGCTACGAAATACTCGATCTACAATGGCCGCAAAGAATTTGTGCCTCTGATGGACCTCTCCACCTCTGAACATTTGCTAGAAATTTAATATATATTTTATAGGGGGTTTCTTTTTCTCCCTCAGTTGTCAAGATGGGGAACGCAATAGGGGCGCATAGTGCACCACAGCATCGGCCGTTACAGTAGTTTGCAGTCTGCCTGTGGTAATTGCTCAAAAGGGACCCTTCCGGGAGCTGAGTTTTGGCCGAGATTCTCATCTAGCCACGGGGTACAACATAGGACGCGCGGAGAGGCTGCCGCAGCTGGGGGAGCAACGCTAGCGCATAGAGACAACCAAGTAAGGCCACACGGTTTGTCCATGGCTGGTATGGTTGGCTCTTCACTGACAAGGCAGCTAGATTCTATGTTGTAGGCTAAACGAGTGCTTTCTAC